GTTCAAGGGTGGCCATGAATTCTCTCAAGGTTCCTGTCAGCATACCTGGACAGCTCATTAACATAGCCCGCCCAGTGTCCTTACTGTGGACTATGGTGCATTGCATTGCCATCTATTCCATCTGAAATGGATTCTGAGAACTCGTGTTCAACCAACCGGAGCTGACAAAGAATGCAAATGGCGTTAATGGTCGAGGCCTGAGGATTGTTTGAGTTTTAAATGCAGTGAATGGTGACCGGGCCTTGAGGATTGATTGGAACATATCGGACAACAGGACGATAGGACGATGGGACATTCTCAATAGCCATACGAGGCAGAGCATTTCGAGAAGAGACTCCCTAAGCCTTGAGCTGCTGTCGAAAAGAATACAAATGAGCGATAGACTTTTATCCAGCTACTTCATTTCATCGCTCGTAAGTCGTGAATTGCTAGAAATCAGTGATTGCCGTACCCATTCGTGCCATTGATCCCTTTGAATGATAGTGTAGAGAACCTTTAGGGAAAAGAGCATTGTCACTTCCGAAGATAGTAATGGCAGCGACGATGAAGCTCCTTCCAGTCCTCCAATACGACCAAAAGGTGTATTTTTATTTAGAATTTCAGGAAGAGCAACAAGAAGTAGAGAAGAGAAAGATAGATTGTCGTCGGAATTTGTTTTATTCACATACCAAATGCCAAGCAGCCAAGCATTTCAAAGCCGTACCTGCCAAATCCCAAGATCATGTGATCGTGATTTTTATTGATGAGCTAAATGCACAATACAGTGCTGGCACAACCGCCAAATTTGGTTTGTTTACACTGCACCAAGCGAAGAGCTCCACGAATTTAATGCAATGCAGACCGCTTTTATATCTTTGATACTTTGATATTAAAGTGAGATATATTACGATAACATGTTGTCATCATATCAACTTTGCGGGGGATCAACAAAATGTCCGTCTCAACCTTTAATCCTCTTGGGCGATCCCGAAGTCTTCGAACTTCGACAGCGTCAAGCAGCTTGAGGCTCCCTTCAAGCTCCAACTCACAACCACCCTCTGGCCCCTCATACGTTGCCCTTTTCATAACCAATCTTCGACTTCTGGATCTAGATTTGCGAGATGACTGGCCAGATATTACGGCGGTAACATTCTCTACCAAGGATGCGCAACAGAATCAAAAGAAACGAATACAGAGTGTAGAGTGGGCACTATTTCAGCTATTTGCAATCTGGGATCCGGAAGAGACTCGAAATGTACACTACTGCCCTTCATTGTCACTTTGGAATGTAACAAAACAGCTAACTCGTGTCTATAGAAATTGCAACCATTTTTCCCACCACTCGAACCTCTTCAGTCCCTCAATCTGCGCACCGCATTGTTTCGATGTCTCGATCAGGCTAAGAAGAATGGAGTCCTTGGACGAGACACCGTACTGAGGAAAACCATGCTGGACGAATGCAAGGGTGAAAGGCTGGAGGAAGTTTTGGCGGTATTCTCAAACGCTGTTCTGAAAAGGGTCGTTGAGGAAGACACCTCTGGACGATACGAAGCTCTTGCCCAACAACTGGCACTGGAGAACTTTTCATACACCGGAGAAAGGACAATATTATCGGCCTTGATATTAGCACATAAGAAATCTTTGGGCAAGCATATTGCCGAGAAGAACAACCTAAGAGCCAAATATAGCGACTTTTCTGGAACACTTGAGCTCAATGATCAACGAACTCTAAAGCGACGGGAAGATCTAAACCATGAGATGAATGAAGGAGAAGGCGATACTGGATTATCCGACAGAGATCTAAGATCATTGCAAAATAAATTTCGCAAGAATTGGTCCGGTAGTAACGAGTGGCTGGAAACGATTCTTTACGGAGATAATAGGCCCAGTAGAGAGGGACTGTTGGCCAAGCGTTTTGATGAGCTTTGGGAACAGATTGAGAATGGTACTGTTGCAGACATAGAAGGAAAGAATGATACCGGGCTCGTCAAACGGCTAGAGGCACGAGTGCAAAATCAGGAGAGCCGCTTGGCTAGATGGCAAGAATTTGGACGGACTTTGACTCGAAACGGTACCAAATCACCCACCAAAAAGGTGCAGGCAGTTCCCATCGAGGAGAAGGGCATAAAACTTGGTTTCAATGATCACCAGACATTACAAATCGGGAAGTATTCTACAAAGGATTCCAGTTCCGTAAACAACCCCCGTCGAGATGAATATGCTCGTTTGATGGAACGAACTCGCAATGCTTTGAATGATGTATCTAAGCAGAAGGCGTTTTCCAAAGAAAGCATCCAAGGTGGCTCGAATAAAAGGTTTAAACAGCCTTCTATTGATTTAACCAAAGAGTCATTGTCACCAAGTAATCAGGATGGGGACATATCTCTATCTACCAACGTATCTCCCGACCGTTCGCCTGTCTCGGTGGGAATTCTTGATGAGGCTGCCGAGGTTTCGACTTCTCGTAGTCACGACAATGAATCGATCAGTACACCACGTTCGAGAATATCCCACAGACCAATTCCCATTGGGTCTTCATCAATCATTCAGCCTGGACAGGCATCGGACAATCTCGGCGTCGCTAGCGAGAAATTATTTGAGGCCACAACTGTAACATCGGCTATCAAAGATGACTATATATCTGCCACTCCAAGCGCTATGAGATCATCCCGTCGCCCCGTCTCCTTTGACAAAGACCCAGAACGTGAATTTGGAAGAACCCCAGTTGAGACACCCGTATCAATCACGAGGAGACATACAATGATATCACAGCCAAGTCCATCTCCTTCCAGATCAATTCAAGCCTCTGAAAACCCTCTTGGACCTGTTCCGGAGCTCAGCCAAGCAGAGCAGATTTTAAACTCCATGTCAGCTGCATCCCCATCGCCGCAGAAGTTGAAACGCTCGTTGTCTTTAGCAGAACGTACCCGTCTTACCATGGCTCGTTCGAACCCACGATACTCGAAATCCAATCTTAACGATGATTTTGATGATTTGCCAGATATGGAACGCCTCACTCTAAATCCTAAGTCTAGAGCCACACCTGTCAAATCTTCTGTAACAGAAGAAGAAAAACATGCGGACTTGATAGAACGCACACGTCAGTCTATGGCAGGCTTTGAGGCAGCCCAAAAGAGGGCACAGCTAGAGCGAAGACAAAGTATCAAAGAGGAAAAGAGGAAACAGCGACAATCGCAGTTTCCAAAGGTTGTTCAAGAGGAAGAAGATTCATTATCTCCAGCCACGCCAGCAATTGATCGAGAGGTGTTGATGGATGGAAATGATGTCGATTATGCCAGTGTTTTCATGAGTAGACCGAGAATTGCTGTTAGTCCGACTCCAGCGAAGGATAGAATGATATCATCTATGATGGAAAGCGAGGATGATGAATTGGAGGACATGGATGAGGGTATGGGGATGGGTGTGGATGCGGATTACAAAAACGCTTTCATGAGCAGGCCAAGGATCGCTTTGAGCCCGACACCGGCCAGAAACAGGAGAATTATGAATAGTGATGTGCAAGAGGAAGGAGAAGCGGAAGCTGTAAATATGTGGCATGATCTTTGAGCAGCATTGAGCAGTCACCACGTTTATGACTAACCAATGAATGGTGTTTTTGTATCACAACGGTTTATGATTAATGAGAAATGAAATTCGTTATGAATGTCACACCTTCCTATTTCATTCAAATGAGATTCTAGTAGGACTCGGCCAACACTGATACTCTGGCATGATGAAAATTATGCCCTTGTAAGTTTTTCAGGATCAAGCTCAGTTGACTGTTACAGCAACTAATTTGAGCGGGGGCGAAGAATGATTTTCACACCAAAAGAGCGAATTAATTAGAACATTTTAATTGACTTACACATGCGCATTCCGAGCCGCCAAAAAATGGTGAGCTCATTCTTCACCTCCCACTCTGATATCTGCTGGAACGTTGTCTTCAGTTCCCTCGGTCGGTATATGCAAGCTGACCTCTGGTTCATTTCGCAATGTAGCAAGATTGTTCGCTACCCCTAACAACACGACGTTTCTCACATGATGGCTCTCTATATTTGTTGTCTGCTTACCCATTGGCGTTCAGGAATATCGCATTCTGATCCATGTGAATTAATTTTTCTTCAACTTCGTCCCATCAAACTGTCGAATTCGCCCCTTCTAAAACTTTTGAGCCATATGTGAGGGTTCTATGGATCAAATCACGAATACTGGGGAAGAAAGAATCGCAAGCTGGCGTAGCGGTATTAATTTCACCCTCGAGTCTGAATGCTCTGCTCACTGATGATATTCGACATGTATATTTCAATGAGACAATTTCCGTGATATCTATCCACCAGATTCGCCCAGGATACTTTAGCACACTGCTTCTCGACTGTTTCGACATCAAAAAAACAAAAATCACCCTACTTGCAATAATGGACCGCGTCTCTGGGGCCGGTAATATGACTTCTAGTTTCTTTTAGCTACACAATAGCTCATTGTTGAAACAAGAGTTGGTTTGAACTTTTGTTAGGGTCATAAATTGTCGATTGTTATACCAACAGCCTCCCGTGAGGCAAACAGCAGGAATCATGTGTGGCAATCCATCATCTCTCGAAAAATTAAAAAAAGCAAGAATCGCTTTGCACATGTATCTTCACAAAGCTTGTGATAATTAGCGCAAGCTTTGTGCAGTTTGTTTCTCATGATGAGGGCAATCAATGGGGGCAAATGGTTGGTGTTGATGCACAAGCATGGAATTGGAAGTATAAGTTGTGCTCATTTTCCGACCACGAATGTTCAGGGACAGCATCTTCATTCGGAAAGATCTAGTTTGAGGACTTCTGGGGTATGAGCTGTCTGATTCAGACCACTTTGATCAATTTACTTTCCTTTCTTCTCGATTTGAACTTGATTTCATAGGTTAGAATCCGTCCTTCGACATGGCTAAACTATTCGACTGCTCGAAATGCTGCAAGAAGGAAGCACATGACTACCCGGTATCGGCATGCAATAAACCTTACCCACTGTATAACCAACAGATGTGCGATAACTGTTTCGAAATCACCGAACCTCCACACGAAAGTAAGAATTGCACAAAAACCGTTGGGAAAAGTTGCAAATCATGCGGCCACGCTGTGTGTCCAAGGAACAAATGCCTTGAGCTGGGTGGCAAGAAAATTTCTGAGATTGGGCAAGATATTGCAGATAGATTTACTCCCAACGCGCGAGATGCATGGTTAAGAAAATATGGACCTCAGTCCAATGCAGCATCAAGTGCAATGTCTCAAGCTTCAGATAACACCGCTGGACCATTAAACCCTCTACCCGAACCTGTTGCCGATAACAGAACGATGGAAGAGAAACTTCAAAGCTTGTATGATGAAGAGTCTCGGAGAATCCCCAAAACCGAGAGCCAAACTTGGGATCCATCTACTAAGATTAACGCGAACTTTTACAAGGTCGGTCTGAACAGCGAAGCGCAGATCCTAAAGTACTCGGTTTGCCTTGGCAGAATCATTTCTCGTGGAAAGCCCGAAGGGTTCATACCTACACGACCAGAAACCAAGCGCTATTTAATTATGCGGCTTCTCGAAGAAAACAAAGATCTATTCAAATCAATCAGCTGGGCTACCGACTATGACTCCTTTATTGTCTCTAACGAACCACTCGTGAAGCATGATTTGAATGAGATAGGATACTCCATTTCAACGCTACATACACGCAGCGGACCCGATGGCAAGCCGATCAATATGGACTCTTCATTGACATTCCTCGGACTGGTTAATGTCAAGGCCTTGATAGACCACGTCAATTCTAAGAATATACCCCTCGACCACCCTGAAGAGGAATTAAAGTTCCTGAATATGATTTCTTGGAAGAAAGTTAATTCCCCTCAGTACGAAGGAGGTCGTGTGGGCAAGAAATTCTTTCCACGTAGCTTTGTGGTTGATGACGAAGAATGGATGTCTAAACAACGATTCAAGCAGAGGAAAACTGTTCTACGCTTCAAAGACAATGATACGGCGCCTTTGTATCGGATAAATCGTGGTTTCTTCAGCTCAATGAGGCCTGGGCAGGGCTCAGTCTTGCTCAATGTTAATGTGACAACATCTGCGTTCTTTTCTCCGATCAACCTTGCCAAATGGATAGAATCAAACCCGAATGCTTGGGGAGATCCTGGTAGACTTCTGAAGGGGGTTCGTGTTGCTTTCGACATTCATGAAAAGAACAGGCAAAAAGTCTTCAACATCAAAAGTATCGCGCCGCATAGTGTGTCAAAGACAAAGTTTATGAAAGATGGTACAGAGATGTCAGTTTATGCTTACATGAATGCTAGTAAATTTTCCACTTGGTTGTTGTTTATGAGCTCTCAAGTTGTTGACAGTCACCTAGCATATCATAAGAGTGTGTTCGACAAAAATGCCCGGTGCATCAACGTGGGAAGCAAGGCAGAGCCAACTTGGTTTCCAGCAGATCATTTGAAAATTGTTGAATGGCAAATTGTTAAGAAGGATCTACCAGAGCCTTATGTTGCTGCTATGATTGATGCCACCAAGAGTCCTCAATAGAGTAAAGTTACTATCAAGGAGGCGGGATTGGCAGAATTGGGCTTCTTTGAGAAGGACTCCTTCTACAAGGTGAGAAAAGTATTGCATATATTATAGAGGCTTATTACTTTATTGTCTATCTACTAACATTGTCCACTAAAATTAGGCATTTGGAATTATACCAAACACAAATTTAGTCGAGATCATAGCGGGAACCCTCAAGGCTCCGCCATTGCTACTTGGTGGCACTGACGAAGTTCCAGCTCGCGACGGTTCCTGGGAAATGAAATTCAAGAAATGCCGGAAAGCGGGTATTGAAAACACAACTCTTCACGTTCTGCGGTTAAGATATGATCATAGTCAAGAGTATAAGCAGAAAGATATGAAGGGAGTCACTGATACCTTAGTCAGATCTCTGGATGAATTTGGACTTAAGAAGATTATGAATCGTGTGTTTTATGAAGCATTAGTTCCTGACGAAGCACAGGAACCCGAAAAATATCGCCAAGCTTGCGCTGATACTTTCAAAAGCGCTCTACGGCCGGTCATTGAAGGCACGAAAATCGTGCCCTTGATCATGGTTGTGATTCCAAACCGAAGTCGCAAGCTCTATCCAGAAATAAAGAGATGGGCAGATTGTGATATTGACATCCCGACAGTTTGCGCGGTGGAAGAAAATCTTTCGGGAGCAGGGGATCGCGCTAGATGTGGTAATATCAGGTGTGTCACAATCTTCCACCATTTCTAGCATGAAGATATACTAACAATGATCGAATAGCTTAAAGTTTAATCTCAAATTGGGAGGCATCAATCAAGAAGTGAGCAATGGGTGTGGAACCAAGTCCCGGACTATGGTTGTTGGAGCAGATGTCACACATCCTGGCGACGAGGAAGGATGCCCCTCCATAGCTGCTATAGTTGCTACCGATGATGACAGCCGATTCCAATATCTCGGCTCTGCAAGACTCCAGGAAGGAAAACAAGAAGTACGTGTACTCATTAATTTCATGTCTTCTGCATCGCTAACCTCTGCTCCTGAAGTACATTTCAGATCTTCGAGGCATGATGAAAGAAAGACTTCTTGCCTGGGCCAAACGTGTTTTAAAAGACATACAACCAGGGTATGGTGGCATATATCCGCAGATTCTTCCCGACCAGATTCTTTTCTACCGAGACGGAGTGAGCGAGAGTCAGTTTGGCATGGTTCGGCATCACGAGAAACAACAAATTTTCGATGGATGCTCTGACGCATACATGGAACTAAAATCCAACCTCAAGGAAACACTCCGTGGCGCCTTTCCAAAAGTAGCCAAGCGTGAGAAATGGAAACCTAAACTCACCATTATCGTTGCAATTAAGCGACATCATGCCAGATTTTACCCTTTGACTTTAGTAGACGGTGATCCAAATTTGAATGCTGGAACTATTATCGATTCGGTAGTCGTGACACCCAATCACTTTAGTTTCTACTTGCAGAGCCATTGCAGTCCACTCGGCACGGCTAAAAGTAATCAGTATGTTGTGATTTACGATGATCTTGATTACAAGACAACTCCAAAGGACATCATGAATATTGTGAGTATCTGACTTCGAGACCCACACCTCTAGATGCACTAACTGATTGTACGCAGACAAACAAGCTTTGCTACACTGGCGCTCGTGCTTTCAAAGCCCTCTCTGTCTGTACACCAGCTCGCTACGCAGATATGCTGTGCGATCGCGTGAGATGCTATTTGAAGCCTGTACTTCAGGGTTATCATGATAAGGACATCACGGACGATATGGATGGAACAAAAAGGGCGGCTGTTTATGAAGAAAATAAGCTCGTTTGGAAGCCAAATACTTCAGAAAAGCTACCAGATGGGTGGAAAAATCCTTGGCATCCATCGATCAGCAATTTTATGTTTTATCTTTGATGTGGAAGGCTTTCTGCACTGCAGATTCGGGTGTGAAAGTGGCGCTTGGGTCTAGATTCTGGCGTTCATGCATAATTTTCATTCCGATGTGGCAAAATATTGGTTAGTACTATTGGCATAAAATTAGAATGAACATGAGATATTTTTTCGGGATGGAGAAACACAAAGAAGTAAACACCAGTTCCATTGGTTCAGAAACATGTGTCACGTAGCTCTTCAAAAAATTAAGCGAGCTCAGGATTCCCCTTGCATCACCCGAGAAACACTAGTTCCCCGTGAGTCGATATATCACATTCTCCCATGCAAAACATACAGAAAAGCAAAATTTCAGCCTTAAATCCAAGCTCAGCCTCAAGTATCCGAAGTCAAAAGTCCCACTTAATAGCTTGACGTCTTCATCAAATCCTACAGCAACATTCACAATGCCAATTCTCAACACCAATGCCGTATTCTTACTCGCCCTCGCCACTCAATCCATAGTTTTCCTTGCTTTCATAACCACATGCGCAATGGCCGTCACTGGGTCCGATCATACATGGTTCGTAACCCCACGATCCGTAGACCCACAAACTCCAAGTCCTGAAAACCTATAATAACATTTCTCTCTAGGTCTATTGTAATATCTCTATGTCTTCTGTGCTTCTCATACCTAGTACCGACTATGCAACAAATCATAAAAATCTTCCACTACCAGCGCGGAAACTATCAATTCCTCCCAAGAGAGAAGCAAATTGCCACCCAAAGCAACCTTCTACAGGAAATGATCTGGAGGGAAATTCCGAAATGGTTGACTGCTGGATGCATTTTATATTTGATGTGCAAGATTGATACGAAGAGACTTAATCGACTAACTAAGCCTTATTATATTGCAATGTGCGTGGAAATAGGGATCATTGTATTCGGATGTTTGACTGATATCGTGGGGTTGTGGATGCTTCATTCGGAGGGGATTGAAATGTTTGGAAGAGTGTATGGTGGTGGTATAAGAGAGATATCTGTGTCATTGTCACAATCATCTTTGTCACCACCATTGTCGGTCAATTCGCAACCACAGCCCTCTTCCCCGCTGGGAAATTCTCGAATGTCGTCTCTGTCTTCATCATCTGTGTTATCGAGTTCTTCGACTATCGTCGATCGAAGTTTAGTTAATGCAGAATTCAGAAGCGGGAATAAGGATCTGGAGAAATAAGACAAATCGACATCTCATGAAATAGACGATTGGTAACTAGCAAGAACTTTCTCGGAGGATATATGTACAAATATAATTTACACCGAGGACGGTTATGGCCATGCAATTTGGATGATTTGCGCCAATGGAGAACTTTCGGTTCACTTACGCAGAATGTAACAATCAAAATCACAACCTGATAGCCATCAATTGATACCACAATATATGACTCAAGTACCAGCCACTTTAGTCTTACACATTTTCTTATGCTCTTTCCAGTCTGCTTTCTGACATGCCGGACTACAATACCTCACTGCTCGACATCCCGCGCACTGCTTGTGCACCGTGTCTCCCTGTGGGATATTGCCACACTCTTGACATCCTCTGGGGTCAACTAGAGTAATTTGATCAACCAATGTCCGTGTTATTTCATCTATGCGAGAATTTGGCGAGGTCAACATTGAAATTATTCCTTTCTCATACCTATTATGCTCTTCTTGCGAATAATGAGCTTCAAGATAATCCACTGTCGATAATGGCATAAGAGCAATCCTCGTTGCATGTCTACTGAGTGTCTTCCATCTTTCAACCCGCGGAAAGCCTTCCGCATCTTTTCCTTCTCCGCATGTGCAGATTGGTGACTGATTCGACTCCGTGTAGGAGAATACTGAGCCATGTTGACGGTATTTGCATCCTGGACCGTGGTCCCAGCCTTTTCGACATGCTTCTACGGTTGCTGGAAGCATTCGCATCATTAGTTGCTCATCTACATCTCTCATACCGTAGGTAATTGGCTGAGTAGCTTTGTGAGCTAGTAGCTCCTTGATCACGGGAGTGATTGGGGAGGATTCGGCTGCTAGTGGAAGTAAATATGCATCCAGGACAATCGAGCTCTGATCAATATTATGTGGCAAAGCCGAGACAAAGATGATCCGTGAGGTACTATGCGGGTCACCAGATTCAAACAAGAATGTCTGCTTCCGACCCAGAGCAGATGGTTGAACGAAGGAAACTGCCATGTTGTGGATATAGCTTTTGATTTTGAATAAAGCGGGAACATCTTCTTGCAGTGCAGTGTCAGATTTGCGCCAGTACGACCGTTCTCGTGCGCAGAACATACTATGCATGAGATTCGAAATCCATTCTCCAGTTTCGCGGCCAGTACCAGATATGATTGGCTGCTGATTCATGTTTACCTTGGGAAGAGTGAGAGGGTAAGCGTCTGAGCCATCCAACACAACTGGAAATGAATTCAGTGCGTAACCTGTATTATCTAAAGCTAAACTCGGCTTAGCAACCAATGTTTTCACCTTGTTAGAAATATCAATTATTGCTTTGTGGAGTGTGATCGGATATGGGAATTGGATCTGGCCGATTTCAAAGCCGTTGAATCTTTCGGAAATGGTGCAAGGAGATATTTGGCGAACTCTGATGGCACTTTCGGTTTTCAAATGCTCAAAATTCTTTTGAATCTCCAAGGTCTCAACTAAAAGACCATTCTTTATTCGGACAAAGCAAGGCTTTTGAGAAGCAGAAGATGTGCGTAAGATGGCTGCATGATCTGTTGCAAAAGGTCGCAATCTGACTCCTGGAGGCTCTCTTAGAATCAAAACATTATCCTCATCAAGGCTATAGCTACATATAGCCCCACCGTACATATGATTCGCACCCAATCTGTTGCTCAAACATGCTAACTGTATTCGTGTGGATTCTCTGGAATCTATCATCAATACCAAGGAGGGTACAGCACATATCACGATTAAGTTCGATGTCCCCTTCAAGCCCTGCTTATCTTCAATAACATCGTGAGCATCATTATCATCAGCTCGTTGGACCAGACTACCAAAAAAGCATTGAAGAGACATGAAGAGGGCCTCGGTCTTACTTTTCGTATGCCGGATTTTGATTTGTAGCCCAACCGTGGCATACTCGTCATCCATCTTCAATGATTCAAGGATCTCCCGTGGAACGCTCAGAGAGATCCAAACCAGACGAGGAAGTTTGTTTTGATCAAGTGGGCCCACACCCACTTCTTGATTTCGTAAACTTAACGGTCCTTCTTTGAAGTCTTTCTGGCTTGCGAGCATGATCTGATGAGGTATTTCCAGTAAGAAGGGCTGAGCACAAATACCTAGTTGGTAAAAGTGTAAAGATAACTCGAGGAGTTGGAGACCACCGACACGCAGCCTTTCCTCCTTTTCGATATGTCCAAGAAGACAGCCCCCAAAAGTTGACAGTTGATCATTCTTGACACAACCTTTCGCTAGGCAAACAAGAGCGGAAAAACCTAGGCGATTGTATCTTAGAAGATGGATTTCTCTTCCTGTGTTTGGTGACATGGACTCGATTTCGAACATCTTCAGGTAGAGCTTGAAGAAGAAAAGGGCAAGTTCATGCGGTTCAAAGATCAATTCTCTACCGGCTGGATCGTCTAGATTTGGGTATCTCCACTCAACTCGCATATGGTAACTATCATTATTATTTCGATGGATAGAAAATTGTCGTTGGGCATCCAGTCCAACGGCATACGTGGTAAAATCGAATAAGTGACCGGACGGTGCCAGCCCCAGAAGTAGTGAGAAGGTTGTGATGTCGCAACACAGGATATGAGATAATATGTCAACTGGATCTTTGGTATACAAAGACAGCGTCTCAGTAAACATGACTGCGGTTGCCTTACGAGACAATAATGGCGCTATGGCAGGCAGCAGATTCAGAATGCCAAGCGGATCAGCCAGATTATTGGTGTCGATGACGTCAAACGTATGAATACCGCTTGTCGCACCGGGATTGTCAAAAGTCAGTGGAGTTGAACGCCATGCTGTGGTAAATAGACTGAGTAATTTCGTTTCTGGGGTTTCATTACCCTCCAAGCTTTGTAGCGCATAAGAGAATCTCAAAGCATCGCCGCAATAGAGTCGTACGGCTATTCCTTTCTCACGAACTCTTTCCCTAAAACTCGTGCACCACTCCTGAAATTGAGTCTTCGCTAGCCTCACAACATTTTCTGTCAATTCCTCCTGGGAGAAATTCGAATCATCAAAGGCGCTTGCAAGGCGAAAGCCCAAAAGAGGATCCGAGCTCGAAGAGATCGCAAATACGTTTCCTGCAGAGGTAAGTGCCATCAGCGGATTTATAAGTTGGCCGTCTTGTTTCAAAGCTTCCACATCATGCGAGTTCCCGCGATTACGCCGTGGTCCCAAAACCCATCGAAGGCGTCAACAACTGTTTGAATGGCACTTTCCCAATTCCCACCTGCTGAGCGAAGAGCAGATGCATACTGTTTCCGGCCACAGACATCTTGGATCCCGATATCCCTCTTTGTAACATATTGTTCTCTCATGGTTGACTTGACCTCTGCTTTAAACTTTGTTTCGAAGTGATCTCGTTCCTTGGAATCTGATCTAAGATTTGCGACCTCGAGGTATTGAGACCACATCTCTCGAACTTGATCCAATGTGTCTTGGTTCATGAAACAGATCGATGCGCCATAGTTTGAAGATGACCATACTTCTAAGTTAGCCGATTGCTGAAGAAGTTTGCAAATCTGTTTTTGTAGCACGGCATTGTCGGTATTCGTGATGTAGAAATGGTAAAATATGTTCCAGATTGATGCATAGGGCTCATTGTCGATGACGAGAGAGAAGAGAAGAATGTTGCGCGCTATATCAAAGGTTCATTAATGTGTGAATCTGGAAGGAGAAAGGATGGCGGGAGCTGTCTTACCAAGAATTGCACTTTCTGAATCGCAACACATGAACTCCCATTTTATTAGTTCGTCTATAGGATAGAGCATCAATAATTGCGCCTATTATGAATCAAATCTTGAGATGACATGCCGCCTCACCTTCATTGCACCACAGGGTGAATAATAAGTTTCTGGGATCACCACAACCCAGCAACAATACTCTTACCGCATCATCCTTTTCGCGAGCAGGGCGCCGAGATTGTAGCAAATTGATCGCCGGCGTATTTCCAAATGGATAGAAAAAAGGTTTTACGTTAAATCTAGTCGGTCCTAACATTTTGAGAAATTGTTGGATCGTGGGAGAGAAGCAACGGAGGGAGAAGTAATATCTTGTGAAGTCCAGGGAAGGTCAGGTTTAACTTAACCAACCAAATTGCCGACTTTATTTATTCTTGTCAACCAGAAATTCCATAAAAGAATCTTGTGGTCATGGGAAGAAATAGAATCAATTTGTATGCTTTTACATTCCCACTAAATCAATGGATTGAAGAGGTGGTTTCATAACATGTGTTCTAGTGAATTGAGACGACACCCCAATGAGATGCACAAAGATAAAATCAAAGAACCGAATTCACTTGAATCTATCAAATGACTTTTCCTTGGATGAAATGATCTGTGATCTTCAATGAAGATGGAATAGCCATAGAAAGCTCGCAAACAAAACAATGGAAGTCCTTACCCACATATGCAGACAGCCCTAGTAGGTATCAAACATGGCCTTTCAAATATTAGTTTGTATCCTGTTATAAGTATAACAATGTTTGTTTCGTCGTTAAGTTGCAGCATCTTTTTTGACCATTTAAGCTTCACTGATTTTCTTAGAGAAGATGTGACTTCCACATATCTTCAAACTCTCCATGTTTCTTCAGACTTGCCTGCCCACTTTGTTTGAAAGTCTGAGCAGTCAATAACCATTCAAAAACAACACAGTTCTGAGATAGAATAAAATCAGATATTGAGACTTTCAAAATATCCAAACGTAAGATCGCTCAGTAGTACTTTTCGGATTTGTCGATGCAGTCTTGCGGTTGAACCAAATTATACTAGATTCGAAGGGCACGTCTAGTTAGATGTGTATTAGGTTGGATCACTGAGTTATAGATGGATCTATACGGCTATTTGAAGGTATATAGTCGCCTAGTAGTCGATTGATATTCGCGAGAGTGAAGACCAGTCTAGACAATCAGTTCGCTGTAATCGTTCCATTCACACAAGCAACCCCCATGCCTTCCACACCTTCCAACCCCGTACATATTTCTCCCGCCGCAGTCCCATTCTAAAACTCAATTAGTAACAAGTAACATTCGAAAATATTTGTAGTTGACTTACTGCAGTCGTCAAATCAATGCCTTCGAAGTGGAAGTCCTCGCAATGAGCACTATCATGACAAAGTAGATACAACCCATTCTTTGGCGATTCATCTATACACTATTAACCTACAAACTCCCTACGCAACGAAGTTTGACTTCTCAGGAAGATCAAAGCGGGAAGACTCACCAGTAGTAGCATACCAACATGGGTTACTTACACAACTCGCATCCCCAACCACTGCTGCCACACTCCCATTAATCCCCTCCCATGTAAACCCCTTCGCATAAGCCGCAATGCTAGTATTCGTTCCGCTTGGAATACCCTTCTCCTGATCATAATAATCCTCGATAAAATGGATTGGGTAGCTAACGTTCTTCACCTCGATATTTCTCCACGTCACATTATTCACGTTACACGTTGTACCTATCGCCCCCTTGAATCTTGCTGCCATTAAACTATCGTAGATATAAGCATTTTCAAACGTATAATTACCACCTGTGCCTGAAGAGCAGGAGACAGAGAGACCATGTGTTCCGGAAGCGATGACATTGCGCATTGTGACATTTGTAGCGGGAGGCGAGACGTTGATCACATCATCACCATTGTGAATTTCGAACCCATCGATTAGGACGTTAGATGCAGAGAGGTCGATTCCATCTATTCGTTCATTTAATATCCCATACTGACGAAATATTCTCAAATGCCTGTGAGTGGAGGAGATACATACCAGTGTTGAAGGGAAATCCATCATTACTCCTAGCATCAATGAAGACATTCCTCATCTCGACATTACTTCCCCCTATTGAAAACACCCACGCCACAGGATTAAGAATCTTGAGATTGCGAATCACAAGATCACTTCCAAAAGAATCAGCAAAAGCCTGTCGATGAAAGGAGGGCTAGAAAGGCAACATCTTAAACATACGTAACCGTAAACCCGAACCAATGCGGCCGCCCTCCCTGTACAGAGTCCCATGGACTACTCCACCAATTCTCCCCATGCGCCAAAAACCAACCACCACTTTCCTCCTCGCTGCCCTCAAAAGTGACATTCGTCCCCTTAAGCGTAATCCATCTTCCCGGATAAATACGAGTATTGTTGACCACCAGCTGTACCGCCGTTACATTCTCACTCAAACTGATATTGCCCTCAAACGAAAACTTAACACTCGTAAGGTTTGTGAAACTGAGGGGAGTGAGTAAATTATACGTGACATTTGGTTGGAAAAGAATTGTAGAGTTCGGACCACAAATATTAACAGCGGTCGTGATGCCTGGTGCGTCGTCGATTAAGGGAGAGGAGTTGTAGGGCATGGAACATAATTTTGCTGAAGAGAGGGAGAAGGAGAGAAACGAGAAGATGAGGAAATCATGTAACTTCATGTTTGACAAGATACTGGACAACTCTTGGCTTGCAATACGAATATCGAATTCAATGTTCTACAAGTCGCATTATGAGTATATCACGACTTTTTAAATGCCGCATTGAAATTACCCATGGGGTAAACGTATGCGGGGCATTCAGGGGATTTGCAGATTCGCTAACCCTGGTGATTTGGATCAAATGTGCCTGTCGTGCCCACGAATCAAATCTTTGGAATTTTTATTTATTTTCATATCCCATGTTGCATAATGGCGTTTCAGCTGGCATGTAATTTCATTTTTATGAGAAAGTGGCGAACCAAGGGAATAAGGTTTAGAAGTCACTGATGGCTGGCTTGCATGACCGGGCATATTAATCCACAAATCGGATGAATGCCCGTGGGTGCATCGACGATGTATTCATTAATTCCAAAAGCAGGCATGATGGATGATCATTTCTTCCAGGACCAATTTTGGCAATATCTCAAGTACTCGCCACAAATATGAATTGAAAGTTGAAAGATGCCAAGTTGTTGTGCACCTGCGATATTTATCATAGTTTTTTTAATGTACATGCCATTTGGCGCTGTGTTGCAGGAAAGACCATTACCTGACATTTTCATAAATTTGTCTCGGCAATTACTTGCGATTAAAAACATGCCCCTTTTCTTCCCCAAATCATCCTTTGCCTGTGATAGATTGGGTTAACGCCGTATCATGCTTTTCAAATGCCACTTCTTGAAACATTCCTTGGATTTGATATGGTGACTAAACTTTATGCGGAAAGACCTCTCTTCTCACTCTCCGAGAAGAAAATGACCATTCTCCATAGCTTCTTCACTAGAACTTCTGCTTCTTCATCCAATGCCTATAAAGAATGTTAGTAAATGTGCAACAAAAATCCACGAGATAAAGCAAAAGAGAATTACGTACCCCCTCCAATTGCTCCACCAATTCTTGTGGCTTCCCCCTAGTCCTAACATGCTCCTCAACAACCTCCACAAGTAACTGTTCCTGCACTCCTAGATATTCCACAATCTTCTTTTCAACGAACGGTCTCAACTTCTCCACGATCACAGAATCATCCACAAAGTCCCACTTGACATCCCACGCCCAAAGTCCCTCTTTCTCTGTAGGTATCTCTTGTGCGAGTTGTCGAACCGCCTGATCACGTTCTTCATCAGAAAGACCAGCTGCTGCTGTCGAAGGATCGAATTTGATTGGGATGAGTGTGCGCTTCGATGCAGTATCGGCCTCTTCTTCATCTTCAAGAAGACCTTCAACTTCAGCAACAGTGCGACGAGGTGGTGCTGCCTTTTGGGCTTTTTGGGCCGCAGCTCCAAGGGACAACTTGAAGGGCTGTTGAGCCATGCGAGAAGATCTGGTCTCGAGTTCTTCGGCTTGACGATCGAGGAATGAGTCTGCCAAACCTCTAGCTTGCTCTTTATCTGATGTCTCGCGGCGTCTCTCATGTTGTTCTGCAATTCTATCTCTCTCATCGGCAGCGGCTTCACGTTGAACGTAGATTGCACGGTTTCGAACCCAGAGACTTCGGTCAACATAATAAGGATCAGTCTTGCGAGCAGCCTCAGCATCATCGTCCCATTCCTTGAGTCTTGCAGCCATCTTCTGTTTCAGATCATCCGCATTCGCAACATCCTCGTCTTCACGTTCTTTTTCTCGTTGAACAGCAGCTGTGCGAGATTTTTCGCGATTAAGCCAGCGCCTTTCTTGGTCGAGATATTGCTTCTCAAGTTCAGCCTCTTTTTTCGACTTTCTTCGTCGCTCGAGTTCCTCATCGCTAGCATCACTGTCCTCGTCTTCGCGGCTATAATAACTGTCCCCGCCAGATCCACCATTGGGACCACTGCCATTAACAAACTTGACACCAGCTTGATAGTCTCGTGGTATCTGTTGGCCTTGGAATTTAGGGCCCGAAGGTGCATTAGGTACACCTCTAGGTCCAAGAGGAATATTATTCGAACCGGCAGAAGGTCCACTGGGAATTTGTGGCCCAGGGGAAGCAAGGCGTGAAGGTCGAGGCGCACCGTTTCTTTGCCTTTCTAATGCCTCCATTTCCTCCTCGCGCTTAAGACGTTCAAGATCTCGTCTATTACTTCTATCTCTAAAAGCAGCAATTTCTTGTGCAACCGTTTCTCTCATTTCAGCTGGAATGTCCGAAAGTTCATCGTCTACTGCCAATGGAATGTTAACAACTTCAACGTTGTCACCCCCATTTGCATCCTGCATAGCAATATCCTCTGAAGTCTCTTCAGCCTTAACAAACATAGGTGGATGAAACAGCTCGTAAAGTACCGCCTTCAACCCTATTCTAGCCGCGTCGAGACGCGTTTGGTCACCTGTAGCATCATCGGCTCTTGAAGCCTGATGATTCTCCAAATAGTTCAAAGAATTATCATCCACAAAGACCAGTAATTTGCTCTTCTCCACTTCATCCTCTCCATCCTTCTTAGTACCATCAAAAGGCGGTTGTTTCTTGGTTGGAATCTCAATATCTTTCAAAATCTCCACAGCCGTAGCCAAACTCTCCGCATCATCATACTGCGCAAATCCGAAACTACATTCCTTCCCAGCTCCATCAATAGCTCTATCCCATCGGCGTAGCCTACCTGCAGAGCTCAGAATCCTCTCTATTCCCTCGTCACCGCCAGCTCCTTCCGTAATACCGCCCACAAATATAGTTCTTACGATCTCTTCCTTGGTAGGCGGCACTAAAGACATAATACTTTCTCTCATCGATGCCATTCTCTGTGCGTTCTGGGTATACGCGGTAGCTCTGTCTGACCCTCCTCCGGACATAGGGTCTATTCCTGAACCATTGGCTGAAACTGGTGTATTGGATTTCGCAGGACCGGTACCTAATCTAATGACAGGCGCGCTGAAGTTGATATTCGGCATGTTGGTCGGAGGTTGAAAACTAGCTGGGATCCCGCCGGGTCGTGAAGGCTGTGGATTGTTGACTTGCTGTAAACCGGGGGAGGAGCTGTACCTGGCGCAGACATGCCGGGTGGAGGTCCTATTCATCCTTATATTAGCTAAATAAACCAATACTTCATTTATCAAGTGTTTTTTACCCATTCCCGGAGGTGGCCCCATACCAGGCGCAGACCCATTTTGACCTGGGAATCCGCCAAATCCTGGAGGTCTACCATAAGGCGACGCTGTACAGATCAACATTCATTAGCAAATGATGAAAGACGAGGGAGATTCAAAGCCATTAGCTATCTTACCACCATAGGGATTGTACGACATAATTATCAAAGCCTTGAAAGTGTAATGTAGCAATTGTAGTGTTTAAAAATTTGTGACTGAAATTGATAAAGAAAAAGAGGAATTGAAGCTGGCGCAATCAATGTTTCTTTTGCAGTACAATGTAATATTTACTTCACAGCTTGAATCCCGAGGATCCAAAATTCGTAGCGCACAGACAATGTAAATTTCTTAGCGCGTCACCCCAAAAAAGTTCATCGGCCCCCCGGTATCAACGACATCTCTGTTGACGACCTCTCAATTTAATCATCGTAAGTCTAATTCTTCTCGCAGATCCCCAGTCACCTATCTAATATTCATATAGTATCATGGAGTTAAGACGCATTGGATCGGCCGCATTTCGGTCGAGCACAAGAGATGCACCACTCGCCCAACTATTACAGTCCAATAGACAGAATGTAATAAGAACTCCCATAGCTCATCGGGCACTTTCTACAACTTCACGAACATACGCACCAAATTCAGAACCCACCACCCGAGCGCCTTTCACTCCAGAAACATCTACATCCTCGCCTTCACCTTCAACGCGAGAAGCTTCTAATGGCTCTCCTGCATCCCCTCCCACTCCAAAAGAAGATACCCTCGAATCGCTCGGCACGCAATCTATCAGCCAGACTCTTAGTTGGATAAAACCTGAGCACCGTACCGCCCCTTCACACTTCAAATCTTCCTCTGCCCAATTAGAGAAGCGAACCAATACTCCTAGAACCTATCAATCGCCCGAATTAAAATCCTCCAGTCTTCTCAGCCGATTGAGTAATCCCACCATTTCTAATCCCTCCAGCAATTTGACACGCCTCCCAGGGATGTCTACACAATTTGCAGGAATGCAAGTTCCCAATAAGAAGACTGGATTGACAGGAAGTCATGAGGATTTCATGCATGAAGTTGCCTCAATGGTAAACCCAATTCAACCTCCACGAACTGAAATGCGGCTCTCGCCCCGAACTGGTCGAACGGTGGATATTAAATCCAATATAGATTTATCACGGGGAATCCGAATGCTGGAGGCTTCGTGTGCATTGAATAAAGTTCGTCATGATCAAACACATCAAAGGTTTCATGAAAGAGGTGGTATGAAAAGGAAGAGGCTTCGTCGACAAAGATGGAGAAACAACTTCATGGAGGGATTCAAGGGCATTGTGGGCAGAGTGAAGCAGTTGAAGAATCAAGGGTGGTAAAAACTTTCATGAATGGGATGTGAGGGTGGAGATATGACCTACTTGCACATACTTTACAATCAGAGGACATGCAGTACTCGTACATTGCAGAGAGAGTCTGGGAGATACGTTAGACTTCATCATTATGTATATTACTGTAGGGAAGTAACAAAAAATTGTGAAAACCCCAGATATGAAACTCGAATAAGTACAAAGCATTCAAAATGCACAGATGAACACACCGGGCACCTATCAACTTGACTTACAACTTCAATATCAGCCAAATTCGTACAATTAACGGTAATCTAAACGTGGGATCTGTAGGACATGATGATTTTTTCGACTGTGTGAGCACGACACACACGCATGTCCTCATTGGAATCCATGCCATGCCCTCGTCAAACCCCATTAAACGTAGTACGAATGTCTCCCCTATTTCGTTTAAGCCAATGGCTTCGAGCCCATCGGCAGATCAGCGGCAGATCACTAGCACAGATACTCCTCTGATTTGCCACCCAAACCATGTGGTTTTTTGAAATTCAACTGTAAATCAAGCAGTCAATATTTTTACATCGAGATCGAATCGAGCCAATTAAGAGCTTGTAATCAATCTATTAATTAAATTTTCTTGTACCTCGAAAATAACTGTGGCTGCTATATCACATATAAATAGAAATCTTTCGAAGCTCGAGCTACTTTCCAGTCACCAAAAAACCATGCGCCACACAGCCACAGGTCCACCGGCAACAGCTATCAATATCTAAGATGAAGTCGAAAATGAATCCACAAGCCAATGTGTTAATTCTAAAATCCGGATGATGTTACTTAGAGCACCTATCATTACTCATATTCTTATCAACTCCCTTCTTTCTACATAAACTTGGCAGGCCATCTCAAGTTCTCAACCTAGTTCAAGAAGTCTATCTACCGTTGTATTGTATCAAGAATTACCGACCGATCCGTTCCAGGAATGTACATCTACTCATCTCCAGTTGGGCCAATCATACATGGAAGTACTGGTTGGGATCCGAATATTTCGTTTTGAGAAGCATCTCTATCTTCCGTTACTTTACCCGTGATATATCCGTCCACTCACTTATTTCATCTACTCAAATCTCCTCACCCGAACAGCCAGCAATGCATCTAGAACAATGCAAATTCAAAGATAGAAAAAGCTTCAACAGCACTGGTCTGCCTCATTCAACTGAACCTTTGAAGCTAAAGCCCTATCAACTTTCGAAATCTAATCACAAAACTCAATCTACAGATCTATTGAAGCTAAATAGACTATTCTGTAAATGAACACTCGCACAGAATCTTAGATTCCATGTTGAAACTTCAAGTTTCGATAGCCCATCGGATGGATCTCCTGAACCTACCATCTAATCATATCCGAGATCGCGCCCCGTCCTTGTCGTCGGAGGGAACTCCGATCCCGCGATGATATCGAGTTTCCACAAATTACCAAACCCTCAGACAACCACATCAAATCGGAATCGCACCATTGCCAAATATCAAATTGAATCGGATGAAATAATCCTCCATTATTCTCAGACACACCATGATGAAATCCAATGTGAAATAACTCGCTGATTCGAAATTTGAAATTCCAAATCGCTGTATTTTGACTGACTATCCCTCCATCCTCATAGCTTTCCTTCTGCAAACTTTAGCTGAACTAGCAGGGCCATTTGGCATTTCAACCTAATGATGGTTCATGTCGCTCGCCTCCTATCAAGTTTCATGAGCTTACCTCCGACAAATTCTCCGATCCCACCTCGTCGGATCTTCTGACCCACTCTCATCGTGATTGCTTTATAGTGACCCTTTCCCCAATCTACTGCATGGCAGTACATAATATTGCCTACGCTGGCCTGCTTAAGGCCTGCTTAAGGCCTGCAGCCCGGGACTGCACTTGCTCTCGTCGCGCTACCCAACAATTGGTTACTCGCCGTTATGCCTAACAGAATTTCTGGATAAATGAACTTTCTTGGAATTCCCCTCCACTGACAGTTATAGCTAGAAATACTCTGCAATTGACGACAGGACATCTAATTCACGGTCGCATCACATATAATACTACTAATATATACTCGTCAACATCAGATGACTTTGACAAATGGGTACCATGTATGTGCGTCGCTTCCGCCAGTACCATAGTGGCAAGTTCGCATATACTCACACCCTTGACCTACGACCAACCCACAATCCCCATTCTACGGAACTTTTTCTCGTATAAACGAAATTCTACAAACGCGACAGGCTTTTTATACGCTGTACTGAAGTATTACGATATAATCTATACTGTAACTTGAAATTTAAAGTTTAGTTACCATGTGCCCCTATCTTATCTAAAAGACTTAATAGATGTCTTAATGATAGTGTGTATTTACAGGGCGCATGAAGCTTTGTGATATCATGGCAAGCTATAGAATTGCGAAAGGATTAGCTCTGGGGACTTAAGAAATGTACAATAGGAATGCTGTGGTCCAGGCTCGTCAATAGACTAATTTGAAGATTCAGGCGCCGGCTGCCAAAACTGTGAAGCAGAGTATTCCTCGTTATATTCTAGAGTTTCAGGACATTGAACTTGGGAAATGCGCACGTGAGCCCGCAAGATGTTTCCTATGCTATATCCTATGCTCGAGGATACTGATATAGAGGCAGCTACAGCCTCATGTACTGTCATTTTGACCATTTTAGTGAAACGGAACGGCTAGATAAACATCAGTAACAATTTCGGGGCGCTTAAGTTTCCCTTTTCGTGTCAGTATACATGCTTGCCGTTCACAGACGCAGGTTCAGAACGAATAAAGTACCTGGCTGTATGTTTAGTCGCTCGATGATCCAACAACGGAGGCGGGTTCAACTCCGAAGCTCATTGTTTGCCTGCCGCAACATCACTCAATGTACTTTCAGTAACATCATTTAATATTGCTGCTCTGAACAAGATCAATAAATGTATTTTCTCGGTGATGTATGCCGTCTTCTTTTTGAATGATACGATCATGATAATGCTGAGGTTGTATTGAAATGTTTTTCGAACACGCTCTTAGAAACCTGGAGATGTCTTAAAATAACGACTTTCGAAATAGTCCACGTTGCGAACCGCATCGAAGTTTCTAGATTCAAATAAGCGTCCCTGGATGTTCCGTTAAGTTTTATCAGACTCGTTATACATAATTGACATTATCTGGAACCAGTCGCACAGTGTCTACCGTTCATCTAATCGACAGTTATCCCCAGAACAAGCTAGAAGACAGTTATTAGCTTTCAATCTTGCGGCGTTTAGCCTCTGCTTAAGCGCAGTAGTGGTAAATTCACCTCCTCTGGCTGTTCATATCAACCTTCCAGTAGCCACCAGTATTGAGACAATACTGGTAATCTATATATATCATTCGTTACAAGCACAGTGAGTATTCTCGAGAATTCCATATGCTGCAGGCACCCTGTGGTGGCAAAGTTAATATTCCGGACGAAGAGAAATTCAATATAAACCCCATACAAATTTATATTTCGTACATTACGATATTGATATATATATTCGTCAATGATGAATAGAGCTCTTCGTCACTGACGAATCAAATCGGTTCTTTTTGCGACCCGTTTATTATTGAATTTTGATGGAAAAAATGAAAATATAGTTATAAAGTTGATTGTTTTGGAATCCAATTATAAACAAACATAAAAGTAATACTATTGCAATGTAAGGTATTTTCTATTTTCTAATCAAAATAAAGCCCATTCCGTAAAATCAACGCCATAAACCCATCCCGATGACTTTCACGATCCCCGTCACTTCTATCCTCCCGACGACGTCCCTTATTTCTCTCAATTTTATAGTCTTCAATCTACCAAATCTCTCATTAGCAGATCCATCAACTATTAAAAAGTCCCATTTCCTATGTTTTCGCACAGAGCGAAACTCCTGCACTATTGCAATCTCTTCCCAATCGTAGTTTTGTGTAATAATTTGTACCCTCCCATATCGCTCCCTGGTTTCTCCTTCTAAACACCACCGCACATACGAATCATCGCGATTCTTTGTCGAAATGCCTTGCCCAATTTTCGTCCCTATCGTTATATCGATATCAATCCTCGCTTTTTTGAAGAGCTTTGTAGAATCCTCATTGATTGGCCATTGTTTTAAATCTTCCCCTCTAAAATGCTGTTTAATTAGACTGAGTTGCACACGACTTAGGTTCGTGTCAAGAGATGCCCTGAATGTTATTGGGAACTCTAGGCCTTGCTCCAGATAGCTCTTCTTCTGTCCATAGCGACTCTTGGATTCTGGTAAGTGATTCATGTGTTCCATTTGTATCAATCGATTCGACAGAGCCTTATCCATATTGACCATATTAACCACCATACTCTTACAAATACCAATGTATCTTTCTATTGGCCATGCCCAAAACACCCATCCTGGGCCTAAATCTCTAATTTGCGTTGCTATTCCGCGTTAGAATTTTTCTACTTGTATACAAGTAAAAATTCGAGAGATTGGATTTTCATACCCAAATGAAGCAAAGAGTGCTGATTGATCTTACACACTTTTATGCGATCTTCTTTGCCCTGATAATATAACTCTTGAAACGTTCGTACGAATTCCCTTGATTTCTGTTCGAGATTGTCTATGTCTTCCTTCGATATCGACCTTTTGCGACATAAAACATATATATCTCTTAGCAGAGTGAAGTTCTCCAAATAGGGTTCAAACCCTGGTAGATTTGCTAAAAGAATGGTTCCATCCCGTACCAGGAACTCCTCCCATTCTGCAGCTTTATATCCCTTCCAATATTTATCTATACGTCTAGCACCTTGTCCAAGCTGCGAGGGAATTGTATATCTTGCCTCTTCTTGAATAGTACCTAATCGGCGCCATTCTTTTTCTGGTACAACATACGGTGCCAAAAACACTTCCTCATCCAATCCATCCTCCCTTCGATCCTCTAAATCGCGTTCAATATCTTCTGAATCTGATACCTGTGACGTGGTCGCATTCCTTACTCTATACAGCGAAGGATTTCCTCCCCTTAATGTTGATAACAATGCCTTGTCTTCTTGTTGTTTCCGCTTCTTTTTTAACTCTTTAACCCTCTTCTTATAGAATTTCTCGTCATCCAGATTGAACCGTCTGCCTCCCCACAGAAGATGAAGATCCTGTACTACATTCTGTAAGATACAATGCATTATATCAATCCCAGTACTCTTTGTGAAATGAATTGACTCGAGTTTGAGTAATATAGAACTGCGTGCGAACCCCCAATATTTACCTTTTGCTATCTTATCCACTCGCATTCCTTCCCATTCTCTCAATTGAAATCGAACATTATTCCTTAGTTCTAGACCCCATCTCGTAATTGAGCTGCAGTGTGTGGGATGTAATAAGAACCACCATTAGATTTGCGAATACCACAGATCATACAATAATGACATGGGCGATACGCATTACCGGGCTCCTTTAATCCCATAGCCTCAGCTCTCCCAGGACCATCCCCAGATACAATAATAATCCATGCGCGTAGTATAAACGGCTTTTTTGTAAAGGAGTTGTATAGCCGATGCTTAGAACCATTATATTCATCTAGACTATGAATACCCTTACCTAAAACCAGCATCTCATCTACCATAGGTTGCAGAAAAGAATCTAAATCACCAACCTTTCTTGGTCCTGGTATCAAGCAAGACAATAAAAAGTTCTGCTTCTTCACTCGCTCGTTTGGAGGAAGATTGAGATTGAGTAGAATAACAGGGCATATATGATGATTGTTGATTCTGGTTATCTGGGCACCATCTTGTAATAGCGCTAGAGCTATATCTTCTGCTGTACTTCTAATTAGTATTAATCTACAAAGACAGAATGTAGGGGCGTCTTATTTCTGAAACAGACCAAGCTTCTTCCTATGGTAATTCTGATATAAATCGCCATCAAAGACATCCCCCACTCTTTATTCCCATCTCGATCTTCGATTCTATCAAAACTGGCCCTATAAGTTGTTAGACACTCAGCCTTAGAAGACCTGAATTGTGCACTTAATCTCCCCTTCAGAGGAAAGAAGAGATATTGCTTTCTTGGACGTTTTTCTCCTCTCTTATTCGTTCCTTTATGCCATCTGGGTTCCCTACACGACCCATAGCTACAGGAATCGTCCGCACTCTTGCTCCCAGTGTAGGCCATACAGCTTCTAATACAGCAATCAATCCACTCAGGTTGTAAACCCGTCTTGTTTCGGAGCTGTGTATTCTTCCTCCAAACACTTGGAAGGGGATTGGAGGCGTTGGCAATATAATCCCTATATTTCGTAATAAATTCAATCATCTTTTGCTGTCCAATGCGTGTAGTTTGCGTTTCGAGTGTAATCCAATCAACTAGCATTTCGGTATCTATTGAAGGTTAGTTCATTATTAAATAGAATAGAAATACTTAGATTACTCCAGTCTATTTGATCCGATTCACTGCTGCTATCAGATCCGTCACTACCATCCATATTATCACTATCCAGGCCCTCATTTGAATCATATTGTATACGATTTAGCTCTCGAATTGTAAACTCTAGATCTGCATCCAGCTCAATCTGCTGCCCTCTCGTATCTCCCCCTCCCCCTCGTCTAAAAAGTCCTCCATTGCCTGGGTTTCATCCAGTGTTCTCCTGACTTCGTCCTCTGCGTACCCCCAAATGGTATCATCGTCTTCTTCATTATTTGTATTAAAACTAGATACCTCTCTTGAATATCGATTATTGCTGCTGATAGTGTAAGTGCTGAGAGGCTGCTCCTTTCGATTGTGTCTATAAAAGGTAGCTCGATCAACTAATTTGCCAGCTGGGTGTCTCCAACAACTACATACTTTCTTCGATCCAGAGAGGTAAGTATTTCGACTATTTTCGTTCACTTGTGTATCAATGCGATGCTCTTTATTGATATGTTTTTTGATAGTCCTCAAAGGTTGCGCTTTACCGCAACAATGCCTGCATGGACAATTTTCGAATCTATGTTGTGATCGGCGGTGGCGTTGTTGCTGTTGTTGCTGTTGTTGCTGTTGTTGCTGCATATCCCTCTTATTTTGAAAATTACAAATAAAAACAATCGTTCGGCTTCTTTACATCATGCTTTGAAAAAATGTATAGAAGCTCAGCGTACTCTTCAGAATCCTCACCCTCCTCCGGGAAAAAAAGTAAATTCCATGCGTCCTTACTCCTCTGGATCATAGCTTGCTTTGGTTGCCAGAACCCGTGTCGTTTTGCGCTATATTTGTGCTCTTTCCACAAATAGACCCACCATCCACACGGGCCAGGAAGGGAAAGACGATCAGAACTCGGCCGGTTCATTAATCGATTTAACTTTTCTGGGGCCCATACAGAGAGATTCCGCCAAATAGCTCTTTGCGAGCAATCGAACAATTGATGTGGTAATTTCTTGGGGTACCTAAGCGTGTTAACGAGGATTCCAAAACACCTGCCCGGTAGGTAAAAAAACGCAAGTAAAAAACGCAAGTAAAAAACGCAAGTAAAAAACGCAAGTAAAAAACGCAAGTAAAAAGCGCAAGTAAAAAAGATCGTCAAGCCTAAAAGCAAAAATTATCATTAACAACTGACCTTGCCCCTTGACAAACCACCCAGTCATAACCCAATGATGGTACACCGAAGGTCAAAGCCTGTAAAGTAGCTTCCAATCTGTAATATGCTTTGCTCCAATAATCCTTCCAACGTGGAAGGTTATGAATCCACGCTATAGCCTATTTTACTGTTAGTTTAGATTGTTAAAGCTTAAAAACCCATGGAGAGATGATCTACCTCACTTGGCCTCCCCCAAATGCCATTATCGACACGCTCTTTCCATTCATCAGAGATCTCGAGTCCCATTTCTTCCTCTAATCGTTTTACCTCCTCTTCATCGAAGTCATCGATATCCATTTCCATTTCACTATCTTCTTCTCCTTCCTCCTCTTCATCTATCTCTTCCTCTCCCTCTTTCTCACTTAGGCAGCTGTTATCACTGAGCTCATCCCCATCATTATCACTAATAGCCTCAAAATCAAAAAGATCGTCGTCTTCCTCCTGCTCACTCATTTCAGACTGCGAATCGGTATCACTACCGATTTCAATCAAAGGATTGAACGAATCAGCCCCACCTAGGATAAGCTCATTCGCCCCCGAATCAGGCCTAAAACCATTAAAAGTTAGTGAGTAAATTAGTGAATATTACGATCTGATACCTACTTTTCCACTTTTATTGAATCAAGAATTTCTCTCTTCTTTTTCTCTTCCAACACTTTTCGATCATCTTCATTTGCGCTTTGATACAATGGAGATTTTTTTAGCTTGTTAATATGATAAATGACTTTAACTCTCGCATTCTCTTTGGCTTTATACGCTGCGCGCACGTCAGGGGGAAGATTCTGTTGCCTTTTTCGCTCGTAAATAGAATGGGGATTGGACGAATATTCATTTACGCTTTTGCGACGTTTACCAGGAGCTCCGCTACCAACGCTTTTTGATTGTTGCGACATCTTTAATCTTCTAAAAGATACAACCTTAGATGGGAAACGTAAGTGTCTTTCAATTGTTTTGATTCAATTGAATTAATATTTGAAACATAAGTTAAACTAAAAGGAAGAATGAGTCTTCGCTGCAAAGAGGCTCGAGAAGTGGTGGTTGGTTGTAGGCACCAATCTCGATCAATATTAAAAAGCAAAGGGGGCACAGACGATATGCCGAGTCACATGATCATGTTTGCTTCATTCGCTCTACAAACGGAATTTTGGAATCCTTCATACAAACGCTTCCCTTTTCTGATTTGAAACGATATTACAATAAAAAGATTGTAATTATAATCACTTTCTTTGGTATGTATGACTCCCTACTCTGTTGTAGTAGTGCTACTAACATTTTTATTTATTGAAAGGCTCAAGATTACATGCAAAGTGTTTCAACCTTTTTGAATAGTGTGAGGGATCTCGTAATGCCAACACAAAGACAGCATTTACGGGAGCTTGCTAGACTAAAAAGGGCAGAGACCGCTAGGCGATCAGGGAGTATGGCAAATCAAGGAGCTTCACAAGGACTTCAGAATGCTCCGACCCACAGGCCGGATCCTTCCCCCCTTCACTCTCCAAGACGTTCTCAAGAGCAATCTCCTGCTCCATCTCATCAAGACTCCCCCGCTCCATCTCATCAAAACTCCCCCGCTCCATCTTCCCCCTCTATTGAACCTGAAGATCGTACAAACAATACAAGGGGCCAATATAGCGGCAAAACAGTCAAAAACACTGGAGCAAGAAAGTCTATCATTGGTAGAAAGCCTAAGGCTAAGAAGAGCATTAAGAAGTCTAAAATACCCATTTTCAAACACAAGCCAAGAAGGGTTTTATCCAATGGAAAGAGAGTTCGTGATCTGAGTGAGTAGAAATCGTTCATCAAATTTAGACGTCGAATCATCAAATTAACTCTATATAGAGCTTTTGTCGAGAGAGATTAAGTTTTATACCAACACTTGGGCAAATCTTATACCCCGAGCAGCGTTTGCGAGGCTTATACGACAAGTAGCTCAAACGATTAGAACAGACCTCCGATTTCAATCCTCAGCAATCGAGGCGCTACAAGAGGCTGCAGAGATGATGTTAGCTGTTCGTTTTGATAGTAGGTCTTTATTCCTTTCGTATAAATATATACTAAAATATATAGTTCTACAGGACATGGCACGACACGCGAAACGAACCACTATTATGGGGAGGGACGCTGGGTTATTGCAACGAACGTTAAAAAAAGCTGTAGGAATTGACGATATTGGTCTTGCCACAACACAAGAAGGTTTCCGAGGGTACAAAAACTGATTTTTTTTAAACTCGCTTTTACTTGTTTTTACTTGTTTTTACTTGTTTTTACTTGTTTTCATTCGCTTATTTTTGCGAGTTGGGAGCGCTAAATATGAGCAAAAGCGTCATTAAGAGAGTATTAATGAGATTGGGATAGGCGTTAGGATATGGATACGGAATGATGATAACCCCAAGTATATTTAAAAGTATTAGATACCCCCCAAATAACAGTTTGATATTACTTATATCATCAATCCATTCAAAGATTATCAAACGAAGTTATATTCAATATGCCACGGTTTTCTGCTGCCTCAGTAAGGCGTAATGGAATCCTGCCTCAAACCCCAATTCGAAGGGGTCAATTTGGGCAGCGAAGTCCTTCGACTTATACAACCACCATTGGTAGATCACCTGTTGCTTTGATATCGAGTACAGCGGTATCTGGATACAGGAAAAGAACAATAATGGATTTCAAGGCGATTTTTGATACAGTGGAGGGATGTCTAGCTTGGCGTTTCAAAGATAGCTATGATTCTAGTATGTTTATGCACTTCTGGATTCATATGCAAAATCAATTGAAGTGTGTGCGAGAGCAAGACGATTCCCGCAATTGGAAAGCATTACCACCTACTCTTCGACAGCACATTCGAGACGATGCTCTAAATGAGTTCCCCAATTTGAATGACTTCGAGAATTTATGGCTTGTGGACGCTGTTTGTACTGCTATCATGCAGAATAGACAAAGCAATGAGAAGAGACTTGCAATACTGAAGGAAAGAAGACATCGAAATCAAGGCTCTATGAGCTTCTCAAGGAGTAAGTTTTGTACTAAGAGAGATCGGGTTTTATTTAATCTAATGTCCCATAGGAGCACCTGAGCAGAATAGAGGTTTAATACCTGGTTTCAAAGGTCAACGACATCGAGGTATTCGGAGAAATGTCACGCATTCTGCTGAAGCGGAGTTGTCGCCTCTTTTTGATGCTGACGATATGAATATTCAAGGATCAAGTATGATACCAAGCCCAGTGAGAGCGGTACCAACCTTATCGAGGACTTTGCTATCACAACCCCAACCCATCCACGATCTCGAGGGGAGCAGTCTGGAAACCGAGGATCCGTCAGATATCGAGAGGCAAGAAAGTATTGATGGACGAGAGAGTATTGGTGGACAATTTAGTATTGATGGACAGGATAGTATTGATGGACAAGAGAGTATTGGTGGACAAGATAGTATTGATGAAGAGCCTCTTGAAAATGGAGGGAAATGTACACAAAGGGGATGTAATAATTTGCGCTTGAAAAGGGCGGGGAGAGGTTGGAGGATGATGTGCTCTCGTTGCTGTGATGCGATAGAAGAGAGCTATGATGCATTGGAGCTTTCTCTACCTAGAGCACTTGATCGAAATAGTCGAGGCAGAAGTTCGACTCAAAAGAATAAGGAGATTCAAAAGGATGCTCTGACAATCCCAGATATCAAACAAAGGAGGAGTGATCGTGTTGGAATACGGGAAAGAAATCGAGCAGATGCACGATCTAGAAACTTGATGATGGAGGCATCGCAATCTCAGAGATAAAAAGGAATAAGGAGAAATAGGGATGAGCTGGTTGCAGAACTTATAGTACTATTTTTACGTGTTTTTTACTTGTAATCTTGCGATTCATATAAGGTCTTAATTTATACACTCTCAAATTTTTATATAAATGTATGGTTCAAAATGTGATAACCGATCTGTGTATGAATATATGTTTCAGATGTGATAAAAAATAATGATATTTGAATTTGAATATAAAAAGGGGCGATAAATTCCATCGAAAACGACGAAGTACCTTTAAAATAAAAAACTTTCGTCACATACGACGATCAGATTAATTATATTAATACTTTAAAAACGATTTATTCAATACATAATGAAGGTATTGTAGAATTTATGGCAATTACGAAAGGATCACTTCGTCAACCACGGATTCTGCCACCACAGGGGCAAACGGCGCTCTCTAGGCTCTAACCGAAACATCTCCCTCAAAAATATTCATGATAAAACATACCAGTACCCACGAACGTTTGGATTCCATCTGAATAGTTGAGATGAACCCCTAATCTTTCAAACAGACTTTTCTCGGATGAGCAAACCAATGTAAACATCCTCGTCATCCTCATTACCCTCGCTATCTCGCCATCCTCACCATCCCCGCTATCCCACCAATACTTCCCATCGATGTGACAAACGATTCGAGATGAAGACAACGCCTCTTATGCCCCACGCCCATTGTCTGCAATCTGATATTTCTTGTTTTAAGATACCATGCAGTATATGCCCGGGGTTACTGACCAATGTCATCTAGAAACGGGTTCGTACATGGTGCGACCTGTTCTAGACACCATCCAGCCTTGTTTACTTCTCGATCTATCGCCAGTTTTATGCTTGACCCGGAGCTGTTGTCCATCTATTACCTTTCCAACGACGATTCTACTTATTGCCACAGTAATCTAATCTCTTCGCATATATATTAAGTCTAGTATACGATCATATTCACATCTTGAACCCCCATCTAGTCGACTCAGCAATGTCGGGTTCAAACTTTCGCACTCTCCTTCCCGGCGATATGGATACCACCATGAAAAATAGCAGTTCAAGCGATTCTTCCAAGAACAAGAACACCACACCGGAAACAACAGGTTCCAATAGCCACGCAACCCCTGCACCCCTCGATAAGAGATCAGAGAGTGCAGGTCCCATCTCAAAGAAGAGGAAAGTTCCGACATCAATCACCGCAAACGCTTGTGTCAATTGTAAGAGAGCTAGAGCAAAGGTAAGTGATTCTAATATCCTTTGACTTTAGCCATGAAAGTAAGAGGCCCAGCATGAACACCTGGTAACTAAAGTTTACCCAGTGTGATGGTAAACAACCTTGCACTCGTTGTACTAGCAAGAGAAGTTTATACCAAGATGAATGCAATTACGAGCCACATACTAAGAACGCGAAGACGATGCTGGTGAGGGATCTCAAAGAGAGCCATGACATCAGGCACAAAGCAGAAATAATCTTCACATGGCTCGCGAACAACACCGAAAACGAGCATGATATCCTCGAGCGCATTAAGAATAGAGAGTCAATCACGGAGATAGCTAATTGGCTGGAATCCATAGAGAGTACTGGTGAGTCACAGTTATCTATATATGGAGGTTCCAACAACGAAGTCGACGGTGATCTGCCTAATGAGTTTGCTTGGACAACAGTAACAGACGATGATGAAGTTATCGAACATCTTATCTCCCTGTATTTCACTTGGGTCCATCCCTTCTACCCTTTGTTCAATGAAGGTCACTTTGTGGAAAGTATGCACCGAGGATCAGACCAGTTTTGCTCGCACAGTCTGTTTAATGCCATCTGTGCCATGGCATGCTATCTCCACACAATCGTTGACGAAGATACCACTGACTACAGACGAATGGGCGCCCAATTCTCTGATTTGGTCAGAAACAGCATCGACCCGCAAGACAATAGCCTAACGAACATCCAAGCATTTGCGGTCATGTTCTTGGTACGCTGTGCACAAGGACAAGGGTTCAGTGGTTCAGTATACCTGTCCATCGCAAGTAGATCTATGGAGAGCCTCAGACCAAGCAATAGTGATAGCATCGATTATCGACAAATCTGGAGGGAAACAGTTAAGGGTTTAAATAGCCTGAATGTGTGAGTACCCAGACTCCCACCCAATACAAGTTTACCAAAGGCACAACTAACACCCTTAGCGAGTGGGCCCAGATGACTTTCACAATGGCACCAGCTTATATTCCAGACCTGCAGCCAACTCAATCGGCTGAGGAAATAAGCTTATGGGAGGCTGATATGGACAATCTCAGTTGGGCGCCGTATCGATTTCCTACAAACTTCATAAGTGGAACGACATTTCCCTGTCTGATAGCAACCACAAATCGCAAAAAAATGGAGCTCGTTGATATCATCCACAAAGCTACGATACTCCTGTCTAATACAACTGGACCTCTGATATCTGCTGAAGCCCTGTGGGCCATTTATCGCAGATTATTAACTTGGCATGAAGATCTACCAAGAAATATCGCCATAGGTGGAGAAGAAGTTCAAGCGTTGCCGCATGTATATTCACTGCAGTAAGCTCAGTCTTTTGCTGTATCTTCCTAGTCCTGCCGCAGATCATCGACTGACGACTCAGTATATTATATGCCACGACGGCAGTCTATCTCCTAAGCCCACTACTAGGTTTCAAGGAACCTCAGCTTGATGCACTGATTAGGCAACATGCAAAGGAAGGGCTCAAGCTTCTTGTCGAACGATATCACTTTCACTATACGTCTCGCTACCAACCAGTCTCCCAAATGTTCGCCATGCTTTACCTGATGGAGGTCTTGATTCAATCATCTCCAGAAACCGACAAAGACTCTGGGAAAAATGCCATAGCATATACTAGACTAGCCACTGATATTTTGACAGAGTCCAATAGTAGCTTTCCTGTTGCTAGCGTCTTTATGGGAATGCTTCAGGAAAATACGAGGAGATTCTTGATTCCATTGCCAAACGAACTTGAAGATCTATTCCGTCACAGTCATCGCATGTCGAAGTTTCCTTTAGACGATGCCATCAACGCATTTGGAAGCACCACTTATGTTCAGCCAGTTGAAGCGATGCGAAAAAGGATGAGTCCTGATTTTGGATCTAGATGGATGATGCATGCCGCTGCTGGATATCCCAAGGACTTCCGAAGACCACCACTCTTACGCCAACCTTCAGCCGAAGCAACAGGTGCACAGAACCTGATGCGAATCCTCAATCTGCACAACCACAACACAAATTGATAGATTCTTTTGAAGTAAGGAAAATGGGGACTGCTTTTTTTTTATTCTTATGTTTTCGTGGAGAAGATGCCTTTCGGAAATTGTAGTTTGAAATGTAGGATGTGCTGTTGCTAATAAAAAACTTCGTCCGGTCCACCCAAAAAATATCCTGATTCTGGTCCATAATGGCACTGTTGGAGACGTCCGCCAAGACAATTTTTTAACTGATATTAACGCCGTCGATGAATTCTGATTGACACATCTGGAACATGAAGCCGAGATAAAGATGATGTTTCTCGCCAGGCAAATATGCTGGTGGTTGCTCTCCAGAGACTTGCAGCAAATTGCTATCCATTTGTATGACCATCTTCCATCGTCCATCGCAATGACGAAATGCGCATTATCTGGAGCAACTAATCAGGATGAAAACTTTGGCTTGCTGCATCCTCTTTACAGCTGTGGCTAAATATTAATCGTCAAAATCATCGTGACGCATTTGTTAGCTCGAAATTCAAGGAGCCTGTAGGATCTGATTTGAGAAATCATGGAACATTTGAAGTGTGGATCAGCCAGAATCAGTCTACCGGTGCTCCAGGATCAGATTAAGGGAGATTCTTTGGTATATTCTACGTATGACTAGATGAATGTCTTGCAAGAATGGCCGTCTGGAAAGTCCAATTTGATGATATATCTCGAGTTTTGGGAGGAAATTTTGAATTGAAGGTGGCGAATAAAGGAATACATAGTCGTTGGTGGAAATGAATGAATTTGACGATAAATCTGATATTGTGAATCGATAGCTTTTGATGCTATAGGTGGCGGTTCATCAGGGCATAGTACGTCTTTTATCGAAGTGGCAATAGTTGATACAAATCCATGGTGGCGAAAGGAATTTATATGGGTGAAGGTGTAAGTGCAGGAGTAGGAGTTGATGTTGGTGTACCTACTAGGTATCTAGGTGATACCTTATTAACATGTACATGGTGAGTGAAGTGGAAGGTGTAGTCATGGCACGTGTCCGGTAGTCGGCAATGATCAACAAGTCGGTATACGATACAAGAAATGCTTGTCGAAGCACCATTGATGAGCTATATAGTAAAGCATTTAATATCAACCATGTTTACATCAAACCCGGAGTCCTTTCTTTGTTCGGGTTAACAAGTGCTTCTTACAATGCTGCTCCGGAAAAAATACGCTAGACATATACACTCTGGACCTTAAGACCCCAAAGTAAGTCCCGAGTGAGTGAACTTGAAGGGCCGAAAGAGTACTCATATCATGATATCTCGTGTGTTTAAATTTTCTTCCTGGGTATCTATTGTCTCATTGGTTCTTTGACTCATTTGAGTGGAGTGAACGATGACAGGTCAATTCAAGGATACCAAACTGTCACTACCGCCACCTGAATTATAGCTAGTCAGCACTTGGTTTCTGATTTAACAAGATGTCAAATGTATGAATGCATCAATGGATAGAAAAAGTAGGGTTGTGTGCATGTTCATGTATCAACATTCGATAGTCCAGGATCAAGTGCACTGGTACTGACACCGGTACTGGCACTGGCACTGGCACTGGGTCCATGATTGAAGATAAGGTACAGTCGAATCGAGCACTATGAGGTACGTGTTTTGATATCTATCGAGGCGACTCGCTATCTGTCATGTTCACTTGCTAACATTAGTCATTAAGTGGTATATCTTCACTTGAACCCATAGCACAGTCATATTACGATAGTTGTTACAATAAAAGCCCCCGTACACCTGCAATAGCATCCGGTAAAGGATCTCAATTGAAGATTTTCAGAACGGTATGTATCGGGCAAATGTATCTAGGCCCTTGACATATTCTCGACGATTGATAGGGCGACAAGGTGCGACACCCAGACGTGAAACCTACATGGTGAAGCTGTCTGACTCAAAGACGCCGGCTTGCATGAGCCATTTACACTTACTTGCACACTTAACAATCTCATTGAATACTGTGTATACGAACATTGATTCGAATATACTTCCATCACAATCTTAAGGTCAGAGGTTTTCCTGATTTGTTAGACCCCAAAGACCTTCGACAATAGATTGCTCTCGTCTCCCTCGCCTCTTTTACAATTTTCAAAATTTTCACTCTTCTGGGGTGTACTACTTCAAAGGCTATTTCAGAACCTGCAATGTCCAATTGGAGCATCTACATGACAGTTCTTCTTCTTATTTCTCCCCTCTTTAATTTTCCCCTTTTATTCATCTGGGGAAGGAAGTGAATTCTTCCCCTTCCCTTAAATAAAAAAGAGACTCAGAATTATATGATCGTGTGAGAGATAATAAAAGATGCGACAACTACATATTGCTATACAATCTAGTTGAATGGTCTCGTATAGGGAATCACATACTTACCGAGTACTTTCCGCAGAAACCTCGGCACAATGATTTGCTTGCAGGCTCAAACATTTCTTTCATTCCTATCATCTCTGTCATTCCTCTCACTCCTCTCGCCCTTCTCGCCTCGCACTTCTCATCGATTACTAATAGATTGCAGTGTGAGCAGCATACGTTGTTTGAGAATCTACCATTTTGTTTTCCACTCCCTCCTTCTTATTCCCTTCCTGCCCTCTTTATACCTATGTTACACAGCATATTCATCAATTTCTTTCATTGACTAAGGAAAAAGGAATCAGAATATCCTTTACTCTCTCAGCGTCAAAGAGCTCTAACATATAGACTAATGCAATATATAGCGTCATACAAGTTCATAACATGATCTAGTGTAGAAGATGCACTCCTCATAGCATACAACTAAAACAACGCGATTCAATGATTTATTCGCACGCACCGAAACATACACACTTGAACGAATAATACTCCAATACAAAGGATATCCATTCCTAATCTGAGTCACGGTCGAGCTTCTTCCCAATCTATTCGATCCTCTTCCATACCAAGTAAAGATCTAATGTGCGTTGCATACGTTAGTTTAAAATCTATCTTAGGGATGGGAACCACTCTGTCTCCTTTGACTCATTAGGGCAAGAGAGAGAAACAGTTCCCCCTCCTCCAGCATTGGAGAGCTTGATGTCATCACGTAATACTCATGCGACACGTAGACTACGTTATCACATCATCTGATTTAGTGTAGACCTTGAAAACATACAAAATCTTCCGCAAAAACCTCAGCACAATGATCTCTCGAAAGCTCTAAAACATATCTCTCATGTCTTTCACCTCCGATACCTCTAACAGTCGGCTCTTCGAACAGCTGAGTAGTTCCTAAAATCCACCGCTTGAAGAGCCGACTATCAACATTCGTGAAATCTTTAATATGTCTGATATCTTCAGCACCTTCAGCACCTCCAACACCTCTGACACTCACCACTACCTGTGTTATAAGACACACATTACAAAGATTGCTCCAAAATCTACGTTTACCTTTTGCCTTTCCTTTTCCTTTTCTATTACCATGCTCCTTTCAATTTTTCCTCTACTTATTCTTTCTCTTTTTTACATTCATCTTCTACCAGTTACCTATCCATCATCTCCTATCATTCACTCGAAAAGGAAACAAAACATCTCTCATCCCTCAGCACCAAAGAATCTCAATATACAATACTAACACAATATACCAATTACATAATTATACAATCTACTCTAACACACTCTTTATAGTACATAAACTCTTCCGCAAAGACTCCAGCACCCATTGTATCTCGCAGGTTCAAAAAAACTACCATTCCATCTCCATTCCTAGTAACCAATATAACTAAACCATACAACTCCATTCAACACACTCCCTTTATACAAAGATATCCATCCAGATCTTCTCGATGATCTTACCTCCTATCTAGAACCTTCTCAACTGACACTTCATTCTTATATACTAAATATATCTTACTAATCTCTCGCCCTCATCGCTTAAACCCCTTCATTGATTTCCGCTTCAACGTCAACGTTAGTATACCATAATATTGTAGGAAACGGTATAAGTAATATGATTTCTTATCATTAAGATTTAGACTCAAAGAATAGTTGTTGCTAGATTTTCTTATAGAACTGAATATATCTACTATTGACATGGCATTGAATATACTATTAGAAGTACACGAGAAGCCTGAGAGAATTTGATCTAGAATGCTCATATCATGGTCTAGATCGAACCTGGAATGAATATTTTACTTTCAAAAATAGTGTAGAATGTAATTCTACGATTCAAAATAGTTAGGGATATATTATCATTCACCTCGAAGATTATATATCACTATCTCACCATCTCTACACATTTCCCTCATTGTCATCATTCTCAAACAAGAGATATCTTTAAGAGTCATGTAATTCCTCTTCAGATATACTAATAATTCTATCAAGACATCACTATGTACTATCATCTCATCAAAGTCTCCTACTGTCAATCCCATTGAAAGTATAAGTATCAGTATTAGTATCCTCCAGAACTCTATGTACCAAATAACACAAATCATATATATAAATTCATCTTAGCAAATCTAGATACTTAGATACTTAGATAGCCAGATACTTAGATAGCATATCGGACGAATAAATTCATCATTCCTCATTCATCATTTATCATCCAACACAAAATACAAAACACATAATCTTTACACCTCACAATTCACTACTACACCCCATTCCCAAATCTCATTTCCAAATCCTATACTCATATAGCACGAATAGATTTCTTGAGAATCTTAGCTTAGATTTTTTAGTTAGTTTGTCGAGTCATAGGATTGATTGAGTTAACTAGGTATGTAGTTTGCAAGTGTGATTCATGTAATGTGAAGTACGAAGTACGAAGTATGTATTGTTGATCTTGATGTCAATCTTGATCTTGATCTTAGTCTATGTTTTAGCGCCTAGGAAGATGAGTCGTTATTATGTATATATACATACGCATACGCACACATCAAAACTCTCACCTAATCTCATTTTACGTGGTTTGAATACACTTTTCCTCACTTTCCCTATCCTCTTTGATTTCCCGCGCTCTCCACCCAGTATACTAGAACTTTGCTTCTCCTTCTCTTCTCACAATTAGAGATACTTTTCATCTGTATTAATGTCTTAGTGCTCTTATACCGCTCTCTTCCTCTCCCTCTCCCTCTCCCTATCGCTTAAACTTCCTTTTTATCCCCACTGCTTTCCTTTTTTTCCCCATCCTATAACTTCTATACACACTCACACTCACACTCACACTCACACTCACACTCACACTCACATCACATCACCATACCATACCATACCATACCATACCATACCATACCATACCATACCATACCACATTATACCACATCACCATATCACACCATACCACATTACGTCATACCATACCATACTATACTATACTATACCACACTGCCACATTAAATCCCACCACATCACACTACCACAAAATTCCATTCTATAGATAATCAATAAATATCAAGATAATTAGATCGATACATAGGTACATAGATAAATAGATATTTAGATGTTTAGATGTGTAGATGCATACAAATAAACAGAATAAAGTATTTTCAACTCGAGCGTAGCGAGGATCGGGGGCTTGGGGGCTGGCCCCCATATATATTATGTATCATAGAATTAGAATTAAAATTAGAATTAGAATTAGAATTAGAATTTATAAATCAAATTAATACTAGCCGTGGGAGGAAAAAGAATTTCCAGACTACAGACTCGTAGACTTTAGATTCGTCTTCCCCAACGGATCTAACCTTACTGCACGCTACACACTACACACTACACACTATAAACTACCTACACACAGATAAATAACAAATCAATCTCTATTAATCTCTATCAATCTCGTGAATGATCTACACACATATACATGCGTCACATCACAAGTAAAATAGTATAGTATTCATTCTCTATTGCAGACTTCATTTTATCATCTTTACTTGATATCAACGTCACATCATTTTTACATCATTATTACATCTCCATTACCATCACATTACCATACATTACCATCACATTACCATCACATCACCATCACATCAACCATCACATCAACCATCTCCTCTACTCATCTCATAGCAAAGGTAATATATTCTATGCAATGCAATACGTATATCTACAGCCATCCAATCCCATCCCATCTCAACCCTCATCACCACTCTTCCCGCTTCTATATTACAGCATCGCCATCTCTCTTATGAACCCGCTGTCTAGTATAGGAAAATCAAAAGCCAGCGCTGACGAATACACCCTGCTCAGAATATCATGACGCTGGCGACATTCATGCGTACTCTGATTATTAAGTATCCCCATGCTCATCCTCATACCATTTCGATCTATATCGACTACCAAAACCACAAGCAAAACTCCAATCCAATCCAATCCATTTGCTCCGTACCATGAAATTCATTCCTACCAAATACCAATCAAAATCTAGCTATCCTATGCATCATAAAGAATGACCTTTGCAAAAGCCAATTTCTCTCCTCAAAAGGTATTTCCGTATATCCTCAAACACCTAGCCGATTGTGAGGAAGAACAGCAAGAAAGCTCTTTTGAAATCAGTCCCCTCCATAAACGCTGAAAGACACGTGCCCATTCCCATCCTGAACACCGTTCATCAAAGTTTGCTCCCTTGCTCACCCCCAATAGATTATTCGTAATGACCGTACTAATAACTCCTTCATTATACAATGGAAATTTGCAAATCCCCTACGCTTTCCCAACCCAACCAACATGCAAGAAGAAATCAAAAATCTTCCCACCCTTTGCACCTTCCACTCTCGCAATTTCCTTGACCATTTTCCTCTTTAACTTTCCATCTCCCTTTAATGCCTCTTTCAGAATCGCTTCCTTGATCACCAGATATGGTTTTGGATTCAATCGAGTCTTTTCACAAAGATCAATTTCCCCAGGTGTCAAAAGATGAAAATCGGGAGTAGATGATGGGTTGAGAGGTAATGGTGTAATTGTTGAGAGAGGTTGGACTTGTATTGGTTCGCGTTTAATAATAGGGGATTGTTGCTTAATTCCATTTGTGAGAGAACCGTTACCATTCACCAAGTTTTCCTTGTCATCGTTTGGCTCAGATTTGAGGATAGAATCCGGCAATTCAGGAGCAACCAATGCAGCTGCACCACTTGGAGTTTCGACGACAGGAGGAGGTTTATTCTTTGTATTTGTGGCGTATCGTTCACGATCCATACTACCCATAGGTTGTGCCTTATGAATTCTCTGTTGCTTATCCTGTTCGTATTTCTCTCCGCTCTTGAGATCTCCAATCCTCATTTGTCTCCACTCTTGCAATTGAGAAACTGCTAGTCGTAAGTTTAACTCATCAATGAGACCTTTGGAGAATTCTTCATAATCATCATGATTCATCATTCTTGCGAAAGGTTTTGTACGAGTAAGGAGATCCCTTTCTTCCTTTGTACGCTTTTTATCAAGAGCAGTTGCTTTGCGATATTCCAGAAGGTTGTGTTCAAATATCACCTTTTTACGATCGGCTCGTTGGGTTAATCGCTGGTTGTATATGTTCATCACTGTCATTTTGAGCTCGAATTCCGGTTCCACCTTTCCTGTAGTGGGATTAACTCCATCACCAGGTTCAAATGACATTAACTGAACGGCCTCTTCTGCTTCATTTGCATATTCGGTCTCGAACTCCAGACGACCAGGCATGTAACCTTGAATATCGTGACATGATGGAACACTAGCCGTGGGCTTCTTTTTCGGTTGCGGTGGAGGTTGATTTTTAGCTGCCTCTTTTCTTTTCTCTATTCGCGCCTTCTTTCGAGCTTGGAATTCGTCTCGCGGCAACGCGTCCATCAACTCTGTATCATGTGGACTAGCTCGTTTTGGTAATGGAAATTTTGGACTGTCCAAGTAAACCTTCTTGTAATGATCTTGAACCTCTTCTTTGGTTCGGAACCCTCCAATATGATCTGCGATATCTGCCCAAGAACCCAAGCCATATATCTCACAACCTTCCAACAATAGTAGTTCTTCATCTGCCCCCCAATCTGGTTCATAAATTGGTACCGAGTTTTGTTCAATAACTCTAAATGGGTGGGTAGCAGGTTGATGTTGCGAGGAGGATTTGCCGTCGGAGAAACATTGTACGCATAGGTCATATTCATTGCAAGCAGAGTGGGCGCATCGAATCCGGACCTATAATTGGGGAGAGCGTTAGCTATTAGGACAATTACGCGGGGCGACAGATCGGGTGTTGCTCAAAGGTACATACGGTATTCGTGACATCTGCTGAACACATATCACAGACATATTTAACACCACCTTCACCCCCTCTCATTGCCGTCTTCTTGCGAATGATCCCCATTGTCAAGGTGGTTGTGAATGTTTACTTTGCGCCACGATTGACCAACAAATGGAGATGACAGGACTGAGGCTTGTTTCTGGATTAAATTGTACTGTGATTGAATGAGTGTGATGATTTCTTTGATGGAATTATTCCTCGAATTAATAAGAAGTATTAAAGTTGTTACGGTGTTGATGATTTTGTGAACGGTAGTTCGATCCATGCGATGAGGTTCCAAGAGTGGGTACATTACAGATGTGGCTCGACAAGGCTACGGTCGAGGATCAGTAATAGCCTAACCCAGATTAGAGCCACCAGCCACATAAATCAGTGAGGCTGAACATTTTGTTGTACTGCTGCTAGGTAGGGTTCTTGGGAGATGATGGAGGATCCCCTCTGGTGTATATTGAGGTTAATTTCATTTTGTTACTTGACCTATGTATGAGAAGAATGGGAAGATTTCTGTGCTCGATACACGATAACAGTTGATTTTATAATGCAGCATTTTCTACCGCATCAATGTTCAATATGTTCGTGTACGAGCTTGTGATGTATAAGTATACACAGCGCATGTAGGTGAAACTTAGCCCGTCAAACAACAGACGGCCGTCCTTATCGGATCTTGTTATCAAGACTTTTCGGAGTTTAGGTAAATGGCCGCGCCGCCCACGTTGTGAAAGAGACGCTGAGAACCTGCAAATGATAGTAAGTAGATGGATGGTACGTGCACGTGATTAAGGAGATGGTTATCAATTCATCAATTCATCAATTCATCATCAATTCATCATCCATCCATCCATCCATCCATCCATCCATCGTTGAAGCACAAAATTCGAGGAGAGATATGTTGGAGTCGCTCTCTGTCCTGAAGCCCTTGGGTAGATGATGATTTGTTCTACCCGAACCAAATCTCCAAGGAAGAGAAGAATTTCACACATATCTACTCCGTACTGGCTGGTACTTGCTACTAAGCCACTCCCTCATTTTATCGTGATTCTAAGCCCCCTCGAAGACATCCCTAGTAGAGAGTAGCAATGTTACATTGAAAATCGCCCCCTTACAAACGCTGCCCTCCCTAGCCAAACATAGAGAGAGAGTCTGAGAGACATCGATGGGATTTTTATATCTGTAGAGCCTTTCATCGTGACGAGGAGTGAGACATAAAAACATCAAAAGGAAAAAGGAAAAAGAGCAAAGTAGAAGAAGAAGGTTACAAATCCCGTGGCCTCATTCTTCCATATTGATTGATAGATTCATTCATTCATTCATTCAACCTCTCATTCTGCTCTGGACCATTGATTCTGTCACTCTTATTCCATTACAACCACATCGCCACGACTGCTCGTAGATTTCACTCGTTCCATATCATCTCACTCCCTTCTTACTCACTCGCCCGCTCTCTTCATTATCGCTTCGGTACATCTAATCGTATCAATCAATTACCAGTATTGGCCTTAACACCCAATCTATTTTGGCGGGGCAATCGCCTGTGAGCACTTGTTTGAAGCTAAATCCTGACCGCAACGCACTGAACGAACACTTTACTGTCAATCCCTCGAAGAAATCCCGATATCTACTTTACTCCTCATTCATTACCATCTACCACCTACCACCGACCACCTACCATCGACCATCTCTCAACATACAACATCAATTACAACCTCATTACCGAGAATCCTACAACTTATCCTTCTTCCTACGTCCCCCTCTCCTACCGATACAATTTTGTTCCCCATCCCCAAGATGTCGTCTTGGAATATCACCAAGAGTGAGTTAATTTCAATTACAATTCGTTACAGTTCAATCTTGAAACCACTCAGACCTACCTCCTTTAGCTAAATCTTATCCCTGGTTACCAACGCAATGTCACTTCGGAGAAGTCTATTGAGCTTTAAATCGTCTGATGCGAGCATGTGAAATGGACTTGTCACTAATTATCTCTATCCATTTTTAGAGCTCAAAGAGACGCATCTTGGTCCCCTAACGTCTACCTTTTCTCGAACCCCATCTTCACAAACTCTTAGGGAATCATCCAAAGATGAGAAATCTGGCACACCAAGTCCGGCACCATCTATCAACGATAATGGAATAGGTATGCGCACATCTCTAATCTGGTTCACGAAAAGTGTACTGACCTTGAAAGCTGCTTCCGAAGCCATAGCCACTCAACCACAATCCGCTCCTCGACCGGGTATTCTCATCGTTACTCTTCACGAAGGAAGTGGATTCTCTCTACCAGATCAGTATAAACAAGTCTTCAGCAATCATACACAGAATTCATTATCTGCGGGAAATGGCTTTGGAGTTGCAGGTTCAGTACGTTCCGGGGCTTCAAACCAAGTCGCTGGATCTTATTCGAATACGAGACCACAAACATCTGGAGGTGGAATTCAAGTTCCTACTAACCATGGACGTATCTCCTCCAAATACCTTCCATATGCCTTGTTAGATTTCGATAAGATGCAAGTTTTTGTCAATTCGGTTGCAGGATCCCCTGAAAACCCCTTGTGGGCTGGAGATAATACTCAATACAAGTTTGATGTTTCAAGAGTTACCGAATTAGCAGTTCATTTATATCTCCGAAACCCAAATGCGCCTCCGGGATCCGGTCGAAGTCAAGATATTTTCCTTGGTGTTACGCGCATCAACCCTCGATTCGAAGAAAAGCACAAATACGTCGAAGACCCCAAGTTGGGAAAAAAAGACAAGGAAAAGGCCGCTGCAGAATTTCAAAGAAGAGAGAGCACATTGGGACAGAGTGGACCGGAATGGTTAGACGTTCAATACGGTACTGGAAAGATTCGCATTGGCGTTGAATATGTTGAGAATAGAACAAGAGCATTGAAGATTGAAGATTTCGACCTATTGAAAGTGGTTGGAAAAGGAAGTTTTGGAAAGGTCATGCAAGTCAAGAAGAAAGATACCCAACGAATTTACGCCCTCAAGACCATTCGAAAAGCTCATATTATTTCACGATCAGAAGTCGCACACACGTTGGCAGAAAGATCGGTCCTTTCTCAAATCAACAATCCATTCATTGTTCCTCTCAAGTTTACTTTCCAATCGCCAGAAAAGTTATATTTCGTCTTGGCATTTGTCAACGGCGGTGAACTCTTCCATCATCTTCAGAAGGAATCTCGCTTCGACATCAATCGTTCAAGATTTTATACAGCCGAACTACTTTGCGCTTTAGAATGTTTACATGGTTTCAACGTCATCTATCGTGACTTGAAACCAGAGAACATTCTTTTGGATTACTCGGGTCACATTGCACTTTGTGATTTTGGCTTGTGTAAACTTGACATGAAGGATGAGGATCGCACCAATACCTTCTGTGGAACTCCCGAATACTTGGCACCAGAATTGTTGATGGGACAAGGTTACACTAAGACGGTTGATTGGTGGACCCTTGGTGTTTTGCTCTATGAGATGTTGACTGGTTTACCTCCTTTCTACGATGAGAATACCAATGAGATGTATCGCAAGATTTTGAGCGATCCATTGAACTTCCCTGGACCTGAAATTGTTCCACCTGCTGCTAAGGATCTTTTGCAGAAACTTCTCAACAGAAAACCAGATCTAAGATTGGGTGCAAATGGTGCATCGGAGATTAAGGCCCATCCTTTCTTCCACAGTATTGATTGGCGAAAGTTACTTCAAAGAAAGTATGAGCCTACATTCAAACCTAACGTGGTATGTATTTTATTTTATTAATTTCAAATATTCACATGCAATATACTAATCAAACATAGACGGATGCCCTTGATACCACCAACTTTGATGTAGAATTTACCTCCCAAGCACCAGCCGATTCATTGGTAGAGGGTGGACAGTTGTCATCCACCATGCAAGAACAATTTACTGGATGGTCTTACAACAGACCGGTTGCTGGATTGGGAGATGGAGGCGGAAGTATCAAAGATCCAAGTTTCGTAGGAAGTGTACAGGATAGATAGACGGACGAAGAACAGGGGAAAAAGGGAACTGGAATTCTGGAAATGACCAGTGGTATGATGATATGACTTCAACTTTACTCGGGCGTCTTTTCTCTCCAGATAGCAATTCGCATACAGATTGAGGGTTGGAGTGGTTTCTCTTCTTCACGAACGAATTCTAAGAATATTATCAGATAAGACGAGATGAGATGAGAAGTTATATGAAAATGGATATTCGTTGTTTTTGTATTCTTTTTTAGCTCTGAAATCTGAGCAATGAAAGTAGTATTGGGGAATCACACGAGAGTAGAGTAGAGCAAGTAGAGGCGTTACGAAAGCACTTTGTTATGGACCGGTGGGTATGTGAGTTTGATAGAAAGGAAGGAAGGAAGGAAGGAAGAGAGGGAGGGAGGGATTTGAACTTCTTTCACTTGGAAAATCGAAGTATTTGTTTCTTCGTCAACTGATTGGGATGTGATAATGTGATGTGCTTTTATGAATACTTCTCTGGGTCTATGTAGAGGTCGGTAACAAGATTAATAAGATGTTTGACTCGAGGCTGGTCCAGAATCCGATTTGAATAATAATGATCATGATAGTCGGCGAGTCGGGTTATGGAGGACAGGACAGGACAGGACAGGGGAGTAGTCAGTGGCTTATGTAATGTCAAGAGCCGATTAGGTGGATATGGATATGGATATGGAAGTATTTGTTCCGATCCGATCTTTCGGGTTTATTATTTTTTGAGTTTAAGGTTCTATGCTTTTTTGGGATTCACCGAGAGGGAGAGGGTCTGGACTGGATTGGACTAGACTGGAGTTGGGATTTCTTCTGTATAGATTGATTGAAAGAGGTAGATAGATTAGCCTGTGAAGATTGAGGGAGAGCATAAATCAACCAATCAATCAATCAATCAATCAATCAAAATGTACTCAGGTCTCTCACTCCGCTGCATTCAATTCTCACTTCTTATTTATCCCACCATTAGCGTGAGTGTCTCGGCTTGGCTATTGGGCGTAATTGAGTGGTTGGGTGAGTGGATTGGAATTAGGTATGGACGTCATCAGCCATTGGATTTTATTTGCTGTTGCTTGTTGTTGCTGTTCCGGGTACGTACTTAGTAGAGCTTGAATGAACCCCTCCTTTTTTCCCTCTTTTTTTTTGGATCTCATACAGATACGCTTACTTATATACAAACATACAAACATACTTACATACATACATACATACACACATACACATATCTAATATCTGTATACATTGAATCTATCAAGTAAAGAAAGGTATGTTGATATTTCTCTCACTCCTCTCTCACTCCTCTCACACACACACACACACACTCTCTCTCTCTCTCTCTCTCTCTCTCTCTCTCTCTCTCTCAACCTCTCTCAACCTCCCAAGAATTCAACCTGGATGAATGAATGATGAATGATTGAATGGTGTCACTGCTTGAACCCCACCCCACCCACCTACACAACATTCGACCGACCGAAGTTTCCAGAGTCAAGAGAGAGAGAGAGAGAGAGAGAGAGAGCATTTCGGTTGATATTATTCCTTCCGTCTACTCTGACTCTAAACTAAACACATATTTTTCCATCTCCATTTCTTCTTGATTATACAAACTATCTTAATAAGCTCTCAACTGACAAGATACAAAAGCCAATCTATTTGCAGACCTTTCGGAGATACTAGGAATACCTCTCTTGTCTTTTCGGAGAATTTATTGCTCAAGAGGGAATATAAAGGTATGCGTTTCTCTTTTCTCTTTTGCTGTTGGACTTGTCATTTTGTGATATATATCTACGAGAACTTTCTGAAGATTGTCAAATACCTATCATTCATCATTCATCATTCATCATTCATCATTCATCATTCATCATCATCATCATCTAATATTCTCACCATCATTCTAACTTTATTTCTCATAGTTCCCCCTAAACCTTATAATCAACAACCCAAATAAACTTCGACAATTATGCCTCAAGCAACTGAACTCAAAGCATGGAGTGCTCTCCAATCTCACCACGACAACGTTGGTCGTAACTTTGTCCTCAAGGAAGAATTCAAAAAGGACCCTCAACGATTCGAGAAATTTTCCAAAACCTTCAAGAACACTGCCGACAACTCGGAGATTCTCTTTGATTTCTCCAAGAATTTGATCAATGAAGATACAATCAAGGCATTAGTGGCTGTTGCAAAAGAAGCTGGGTTGGAGAAATTGCGCGATGAGATGTTTGCGGGCGAGAAGATCAACTTCACTGAAGATCGTGCTGTTCTTCACGTTGCATTGAGAAATGTTACCAGTGATCCAATCAACGTGGATGGAAAGGATGTTATGCCAGGTGTTAACAAGGAGTTGAAGCACATGGAAGAATTCTCGGAACAAATTAGAAGTGGAGAGTGGAAGGGTTACACTGGAAAGCCTTTGACTACCATTGTCAACATTGGTATTGGTGGTTCTGATCTGTAAGTTTGGCGGCATACCCGGTGAGATCATAGCTAATTCGATTTCAGTGGTCCAGTTATGGTTACTGAAGCTCTCAAGTACTATGGTGCTAGAGAGCAAACCCTTCACTTCGTTTCCAACATTGATGGTACACACATGGCTGAGGCATTGAGAGATTCTGATCCAGAAACCACTCTTTTCTTGGTCGCTTCCAAGACTTTCACTACTGCAGAGACTGTCACCAATGCCAACTCTGCAAAGGAATGGTTCTTGAAGAAGACTGATGGAAAGGGTGATATCGCTAAACACTTTGTTGCTCTTTCTACCAACGAGGCTGAGGTTACCAAGTTTGGTATTGACGCTAAGAACATGTTTGGTTTCGAAAGCTGGGTAGGAGGTAGATACAGTGTTTGGAGTGCAATTGGTTTGAGCGTTGCGATTCACATCGGATTCAAGAATTTCCATGAATTGTTATCTGGAGCACATGCTATGGATATGCACTTCAAGAACACTCCACTCGAGGAGAACATTCCAGTTATTGCTGGGCTTTTGAGTGTTTGGTATTCTGATTTCTTTGGTGCTCAAACTCATTTGGTTTCTCCGTAAGTTTTTATCTATCTAAGCTCCTTTTGCATATGGCTAATTGAGACACACAGCTTCGATCAATACCTCCACAGATTCCCAGCTTACCTTCAACAACTTTCTATGGAATCTAACGGTAAGGCTGTCTCTCGTGATGGAAAGATTGTCAAGTACACAACTGGTCCAATCCTTTTCGGTGAACCAGCTACAAATGCTCAACATTCTTTCTTCCAACTTGTGCACCAAGGTACTAAGTTGATCCCAACCGACTTCATCATGGCCGCTGAATCACACAACCCAATCGATAACAACAAGCACCAAAAGATGTTGGCATCAAACTTCTTCGCTCAAGCCGAAGCTCTCATGATTGGAAAAGGAGAAGATGAACTCAAGGCTGAGAACACCCCAGCTGAATTATACAAGCACAAGACCTTCTTGGGCAACAGACCAACTACATCAATTCTCGCTCAAAAGATTACCCCAGGTACTCTTGGTGCTTTGATTGTTTACTACGAACATCTTACATTTACTGAGGGAGCTGTCTGGAACATTAACAGTTTCGATCAATGGGGTGTTGAGTTGGGTAAGAGCTTGGCTAAGAAGATTCAAGCCGAGTTGGATGTCAGTGGAAATGTTGGAGAGCATGATAGCAGCACTGGAGGATTGATTGCTGCTTTCAAGAAGAAGTCTAACATCTAAATGAGAGTTGGGGGTGATGGGGAAAAACTATGGGATAATCAGGATGTGGTAATCGTGAAATAAGGACGGACAGGCAAAGGATTTTCTCGACATAGTAAAATGGGGGGGAGTAAAAAATAGGATGAGGAGATGAATTTGCATCTGGATATTTGAATGAATATGGATGAATGAATGAATGATGGTTGATTAGTTAAAGATATGATACGGTTATGAAATGAATGAATATAAATATCAAATCATTTTTGAAGTATCAAGTTTCCCAGTGACTTTGGTAATGAATGAATGAGTGTGAATGAGTGTGAATGAGTGAATGAATATCCTCCTCATCCCATCTTCGAAAAATGTGGATTGAATCTTAAGGATGACAGCGGCCGCTAGCGTAAACTTTATTTCACCTCCTGCATGACCACCCATGCCTAATAGGTAATGGAGGATGCGGAATAACTGGAGAGCTCAACTTTTTGATGATGCAAAGTGTTCAGTTCCGTTTATCTCGATCCGTTTGGTTTCGCACATCGCACTTGTCATTGTGGTTGGGATTGGGATTGTGATTGTGATTGCTTGCTGAATTGAAGAGTTGGGGAAGATAATTAATTGATTGAAGGAAGGAAGGAAGGAAGGAAGAGAGAGGTTTGGGTTTGGGACGGGGATTGAGATTGGGATTGAGATTGAAAAAGGAGATTGAGAAGAGAGGGATTGGAAGGCGCGACGAGCTACGAGTATTGAGAACGGCAAAGAGAACGGGGACGAATAGGAGTAACGAGCTACGAGAACGGGAACTATCTAGGGTTTGGTATTGAAGGGAAACAATAATAAATATGCGCGTGGTTAATTGGTTGGCGATTGGGATGGGGGTTTGGGGAGGAGGCGTGTTTGCGCTAGAGACTGAGAGGGGAGATAAAGGGTTAGAGGGGGTGGGGGAGAGGGATGAAGAGAGGTTGCCTTTGCCGAGTTATCATTTTGGGGCGGGGATTGAGGTCGAGTGTATGGAGAGGGATGTGTAAGTTTTTTTCTTTTGGATGCTTTGGGTTTCTGCGAGTTGGGGAGAGGGAGGGAAATGAGTAGGTTTATGCGAAGAGGGTTGAGAATTTGAGTGGTAAAGGAAAGGGAAGTCTTCGGCACACATACACTTGCAACGATACGAACGCACGCGATTCGCAGAATATTATAATCGAATGGATGTCGGGGAAATTGGAAGGGACAAAGGAGAAAGAGACTAGTATCTATGATCGACATTCGAGCGCAGCGAGCTTGGGGGTTTGGGGGCTTGCCCCATAAAGAGATATGGGGAATATAGAAAAGAGGAAGAGTAGATGAGACATTTGGAGAGTGGAGAGTGGAGAGGAAGATGCTTATGAATGTCTGAGCATGAGGATGCGACTGCGAACTGTGCGCGAATACGAATTGTGTGTGTGCCGAAGACTATGGTCGAAATCGAGAATGGATCATGAGCAGATTCAAATATAGGAGTCTCAAGAGCTTTTTGAGGCATTATGCAGGAAGAGAAAGCAAAATAGTGAGGATGAGAATGTAAGAAATAAAAGCTAACTTTTCCATCAGCGACACAGGAGAACATGTTCAACTAGAAGACAATTCTTTAAAATACATACCATTTCCGATATGTAATGAAACGGGAAGACCATTGGAATTAAAATATGGAGTGGAAGAAGGTTTGTTTTATTTCTCAGTTCCTCTTATTAGAAAGTGGATTTAATATTGACCATTTCTTCAAACATAGAACTCAACTGCACAATTCCTTTAATAACAGATCCTTTCTTTCATCTTCTCGAATTTTATATTCATTCCGATGCACCTCTCTCCTGTCGGATTCCTTCTCGACCCGCACCTACTGTTCACCACATGAACAGCTATCCAAATTATAAACAAGAATACATTCCTCTCACCTTTGCTCTCTCAGGAACATTACAACTCTCTCACCTTCACATCTCCACTCACTTAAACGTTCTTCTCCATAGCGTCCCAAAACATCATCTTCAAAAACACGATTCGGGTGTAATTGATAGTGGAGTAGCTTATAGTACTAGTCCTTTAAGTCACATTACTGGTCCAGCAGCTCTTACTAAAAAACTTATTATCGGAGATGAATTACCTCTTAAATTAAGTATTCGTTGGTTTCCAACCCCATTACTCCCGAGGGAAAATGGAAAGGTAGAGTGGAATGGGCTAGGGGGTCATGTAAATTGGATGACGATTGGATATGTCATTGTGGCGTTTGGAGCAGGAGCTACGGTTATGGGGGCTTGGATGGTAGGGTGGGAGGTTCCGAGGAGAATGAGGGGGTGGAGTGGGAGATTGGCGAGGGTGGGGGGATTGGGGGGCGCGAATAGTAAGGGATTGGGAGGAGCGACGCCGTTGGGGTATGGGGTTAAGGGAGGTGGGGGTGGAGGAGCGGTGGGGAATGGATGGGGGTTTGTGGGGGTGGGAGTGGGAGGGGGGATGGGAAGAGAGATTAGGGAGTAGGGATTAGGGACTTGGAGAGGAGAGAGGGGTTGATGGGATTGGGTAGAGTTTTTTTGTTGTATTTGTTGTTGTTGCTGTGATGAGGCTTCGGATTCAGTTGAATGGAGTTGGTGGTGGTATCTGCTACGTTGCATTGTAATGCGTATTTTCTAGCTGAATGGATGGATAGATAGATACGCGACGTTGATGCTATACAATCCATCACATCACATCACATTATACCACATCACATCACATTCTCATTTCTTCAAGAGTTGATGATGAAAACATGCAGATTACAGTACAGAATTCAAAGCGGGAATACATAATTTGATTTTCTGAATCGAGGGAATGAGTATTTAGTTTTGGTTATGCCTATGCGCATGAGTATTTGTTGTACTGTGACATTTTCACTTATCATGATTGTATTTTCGAGTTTGAATATTGGGGGGGTGTTTTTTTTGTATCTGTTTTTCTTTTTTTGTTAGATTGTTTTATGTTAGATTGTATAGCAAATTACTCTCACATCCCTCAAATATTATTTAGTTATTCTTATGCTCTTTGATTGGAAAAGGTTTTATTTGTATACCTTTTAGATGCTGTGATAGAATCTCTGATAGAATTTGATCTAAAGTGGCTTGATTCTATTTGTTTAGGATAGATTCTATAGGGAAAGGGGGTATGGATTCTATAGGGAAAGGGTAGATTCTATGGTGAGAGGCTAGATCTTGTAATAGGAGGATAGATTCTATAAATATATTACTACTTTTCCTTTCAGTTTTTGGGCGGTTATAGGCTAGAATCCAAGGGGCATGAGAGTACAACAAGTGTGATTTCTAGGGCACGAGAGTAATTACATAATGTTTGAGAGGCGTGAGAGTAATTTGTCGTATGCTATACTATATCAAAATATCAAGTCATACTTAAACATAATGGGGGCAAGCCCCCAAACCCCCCTAGCTCGCTACGCTCGAGGGACTTGAGGGATTTGATTTGATTCGATTCGATTTGGGCTGGGTTGTGCGGGGTTGGATTCTCTCAAATTGATTGAGAAAGAAAGATTATGCGATGCATGTATAGTTAAATAGTATGATGGTTTGATAGGTTAATGAGTTAAATTATTTTTGGGGGTGGAATTTGAGAAAAGAGGTGATGAGTTAACTGAGGGTTAGTTTGGCTTGGCTTGGCTTTGATGCGACGGTGGGTATAGAAAGTAGAAGTTGGGATGGAGAATTGGATGGGTGTGTATGGGATGGAATAGGATAGGAGAGTATGGCTGTGAAGGGGGTGGGATGGGATGGGAATGGGTTGTGTGGTGTATATTGTAGAAATTTCGCTTGGATGGGATGGAGTGTGGAGTGTGGAAGGGAATATGTATATGATGATTTTATGAGTTGGCGTGATTTCGAGGGAATGGAAATGATAGATAGAAGGTAAAGAGGATATGATTAGGATGTGGATAATATTTAGGTTAATATTAGGAAGAGCTGATCTGAAATAAGGAGGGAGGGTGTGATTATGGTAGGCAATACTGTAGTTGGTATATGGTAGTAATACTGTGGCTGATATTATAGTTAAAATATGTATCATAGTGTATATTATATTCAATGATATGTATAGCTATATACATTTCTGAAAAGGGTAATAATAGAAATATATCTCAGAAATTCGATATGCACTACTAAAGTGGGGCGTATCCAAAATACGGAAAATACTAATGACAACACTGACATTGGTAGGTGGGAGATAGTAGAGTTGATGATGATAGGAGAAGAAAGAGGGAGGAGAAGGAGAAGGGAGAACAAGAATAATAGTAAGAAGGAAGTAAGATTATCTATCCATCTCCTATGTTTCATATATTGTTGACTAATCGACTAATAACTGATATCTAACTCAGTATAGTGAGGTGGGATTATATTCTATTAGAATGAAGTAGATTAGTAATCGATCTTGATACTTCTTCCCTTCTCAAGTATTAGCTATTAGTAGTAAATATAAAGATTAAGTTTCGAGATCGAATATAAAAAGAACGCTTTAAGAAGGAGAAGGGAGGTGATAGTACAACTCATAAAAGAACCTCAGATCCAGAGGTACGGGTAACAAGATTCTTTGTTACCTAGGGAGATATTAGGTTAGATACTGCTTTAGTAAAGGGGGACTATGATGATAGTGTGGCTTGGAGGTATTTCTTGAAAGGGGGAGAGATGGACGAAAAGGGATTGGGGATGTTTGGAGGATTTGGAGTGAGCATGGATGGATGGATGGGTTTGGGCTTGATTGGGTGATTGAGTGGTGCGGTGATGTGGTGGTGTGGCGGTTTGGCGATGTTGAAACTTCTACTCAGAGTAGTGTATATATGATTGTAGGGTTCTATAATTTGAGGAATTCTGAAGTGTAAAGGTGTTGTGTAGGAATGGTGATGAGGATTAGAGGAGAGAAGGCAGAGGTTGCGAGGGGTTATCAGGAGTCGTGGGCAGTGTATATGTTTAGATATCTGAAGGGCTGAAATTAGAAAGTCGGGAGGAGGTGCGGGAGACGGCTTGGAATGATAGAGGATTGGGATTTGGGATTGGACGGATGGTGGGATAGAATGGAATGGGTTGAGTTCCGACTCCTCATGATGACCTTGACACGCGTATTGAACTCATACAATGGATATCGATGACGATCAATATGTTATGATCATACGATTTGATCTGATGCACGTCTGTGTATGTGAGTATATTTTTATATTCAGAATTCTAGAATACTATGTAATCTAACCTGAGATAAACTGATTCAACCTAACCTGGCTAATGGTGGTTAATCCTAGACTAAAAAACTTCATAACCAACTTGCTTTGAAAAACTTTTCTTTGGGTATCATGTGCTTTTCTTTGTGAAATGGGAAATGAAGCTATTTTTGTTGAATGACTGGAAAGCTGGCTGGCTGCAAGATTGATGATTGAAACCCTGAGAAGAAAAGATGTTTAGATGTTCTTCTTTCCTTTCTTTGCGGCGGTGGAAACGGAAACGATACGCCAAAGACGGATGAACATATCGATGGCCATTACGGTTGCTGTTTAGAGTTAGTTTTCTATTCTATTATTATTCGTTGAAGGGAAGGATGGGGGTTGGATTCTCGTCTATGTAATATTTATAGAAGAAGAGAATACTTACACAACAAAATATAAGGACCATAAAGTTTAGTCAAATCAATCTTCTGATAACGTGGAATGGGCCAGTAAACGTATTCATGCATACAGACGAGGGTGGTGAGGAAAGTTTCGAGGGCGTAGGGGAGAAGGATTAGAGGGATGCGGGGGGAATCTAGAGAGAGAGGGGTTAGTGAATGTTATGAGTTGAGAATTTTGGAAGGGTGGGGGAAGAGAGGAGAGGAGATGGGAGGGAGAAGGTGGAAAGAATGGATAGGAAAGGGAAGGAAATGAAGGGTAAATCATGTAGATGTGTTGGTATGTATGTGGAGGATAGGAAATAAGAGGAAAGCTGGACATTCGAATGCCTACTAGGTAATCATTGGATATTTCAAGCAGCAGAAAGAATTGACCTAGTTACTAAGATCACGCAAAGATATCTTTGTTACACACTTATGTAAATAGACATCATATCACATAGTAGCAGACAGGCCTGTCTCAAGCCTTCTCAACTTTCTCCTTCCCTTCTCTCTTTTCCTACCCTCCCACCAAACCCATCCATCACAACCACCCAACTCTCATCACACACAAAAATAGAAAACATACCTCTCAACAATCCTCCAATAGCCCAAAAACTAACAGGTAAATGAATCAAACATTCCAACCAAACAAATAGATTGAAATAAATGGGTGGTGAAACGAAGAACAAATCGTGGTAATTGGCGATGTGGTAGTTTTTGATGGCGGTCAAGAATGATGGGGTGAGAGAGGCGGGGTAGAGAGATTGGAGATCCATTACTAGAGAAGACGGGAGGTTAGCTGGAGGGTTTGAAAATGGGGGGTCTGAGTGGGAGGGGGGAGTGGAGGAGAGGAGGAAAGAAGAGGGGTGGAAGGGGGTGATGAGAAGACTCTTCTATATCCCAATACTGCTTTAAGAATTGAGAAAGGAAGAATAGACTGAAAAGCTATCTTCAAATCACAACCCTTAGAAATTACTTTTCAGAGAAGAAAAAGAACCATAACTTACAGAACAAAACCGGGATATGCAAGCAGAAATAGACCAAATAGAGAAGATCCAATTTGCGGTCAAGAATTGAAGATGCCATTTTGAATCAGGTTACCGTGTAGAGTTTTTGATAGAATAGATATGCAATTATGCTGATGTGTAGTATTTCTTCAAAGAGAGTCTAGATTCCAACCTATTGTGTTGTTCTTTTGGGAGTTTAAGGGATTGAGAATTTGATATTCGACTCCGTTGAGTGTTGAAATATCTCGGGAATTAAGAAAATCATCACGCGAGATACGGTATAGTCACGTGATTAGATTAGATGTGGAAACGAGGGTCATTACAGTGAGAGATTGGATTTTGGTGAGATTTGTGTGGAACAACTTCTTTTCTTCCATTTCTCTAGAGATGAGTGAATAGTTTCAATTGAATGTCAATTATTATAGTCAATGAATCCATCTCGATTCATTTCTCTATCATACAGGATCTATATGAGGTATCTAGAAATGGATCACTCATCATTCCGCCTCGCCATTCTCTTGAACTTCATTCACTCTGGCCTCATGCGCGAAAGATGGGAAATGGACAAGGCTCGGAGTCCGTAGAATTCTTACAATGTTTCCGTGACATCTATGTTTTATCGTCCGGAGGGTTTTTTGATATGAGGGACACTGTGGTTCTGGTTACTAGTCCACCAAGACTCATTAATCCAGTCCCTAACATGCAAAGTCACAGACCCAATTATCTTCGCCTCTTCCGCAATGTTATCCACCTTCTTTATTCTTGCCATATGTGAAGAGCGGCGTGTCAAAAACGGGGGTCTTCCCAGTGAGAGTTATGGTTTCGGGTAAAGAAGACTTGATTTCGATTGGGCCCTTCGCTTCTGCTTGAATCATCTTTGTTTCAATCACGTTGCAATCTTTTTCATAGAGTGTGAGATCTTGGGCATTGCCATGGTGCCGGATTTGAGGCCGGGTGAGCCTGCCGACCATCTCATGTACAAGGTACATTTATTGTGACCGAGGCAGTGAGCATCTTCTTTTATGCCATTTGCAATGGATATGAGGAGGGCGAGGATGGCGAAACAGGTTGTGGTGAAGAATTGCATAATTGTCGTGTCAGGAATCGGATTTGGAATGAATTAATCTATGAAAATGGTCAATAACTCCATCTTCATTCTTGTATTTCTACTTACTGAGGGCTGTTTCTTTAGAATGGAGTGTTTAGTGACACTCGAGATCTACGAATGCCTTTTCTGCTTGTGGAACTGGTGAAGTATTGAGATGTACGATCTTTGTGGTAGTAAGATTTTGACTCGGTCGAGTTGGATATCGATCAGCTTTTGTTCGAGAGGCGGATCAAGTATGACTAGATAATTGCAACGGATGTGACGAATTTTCTTATTCGAAATGCAGTGATTCGTCGAAGAATGATTCCGAATGATTGACAGGAGATGATCCCTTGTTCTGACTCAATGGCAGTTCCGTGGGCACCGCTCTAGAGTTGAGGATCAAAACTAGCTCTATCGAATCGTAAAGGCACAGGATCTTATCATCATTGGGTGTTCATTTCTAGTATTGTTCTTATTACATATATCATATTTGATTTGGAACAAAACATCTCAAGACAGTCTTGCAACAGTTCTCAATTCATCGCCAATCGATATTGATATGGAGAATCTAAAGCATGGTATGAATATCTCTGGTCAGCACTGATGACTGTACTTGATTATCATGAGTAACTACTATCAATTACTCATCACAAGTATCATAGAATCAAATCTACAATCAAAGACACTTATCAATAATCGTTCGGTTAGGAAAATGCATCGATAACAAAAAGGGCTCCGATTCCCCAGCTTGACCATTTCAAAACGTAGAATAAAGACAAAACATCTCAAACATTCCAACTTCTCAAACAACATCACAACCAACTCTCGAAACACTTTAAAGAAAAAACTTTCCGTAAGTAAAGCTCTTCAAACAATATACTTTAGTGACTGACGATATGCATAGATCTCCTCAAATCAATAGACATTCAAATCAAACACCCCAACCATGTATCTTCTTGCAACTACATTTCTTACCTCCTCCCTTTTCACCTCTCTTGTAGCAAGCGGAACACTTCAACAACTTGAGCCGCGAGCTAAAGCTGATAAATGCACGCCTCCAGTGAACTGCTGGAGCTTGTACATGCGCTGGGACATGGATCCCAAAGCCAATCTGGAAGATTTCGCGCTGGTTCTAATGAGGCAGCCCAAAGAGCTTGAAATCGTTGACAAAGACTGCAATATCGTCAAAACTTCCATGGAGCAGCCGGACCCGAAAGGGCCAATTACCGTTAAGATGGAGGGGAAAAACCCCAGTGATTTGGTCATTACTGGGGCCGATGGCTATGGTAGACCCGAGTTTACATATAATAATGGACAATACGGTAAAGAGCATTGCGGATGGAAAACGGGACCTGATTGGGCTTCATATATTTGTTTATTTCTCTTTGACGACTGACCGGGGATCGGCTGAATTTTTCTCAGTGTCTCAACATCCCCAAGAGATGCTTTGAGAGCGGTATATGACTGGTGGTAATAGGGAATGGTTATAGACATGCTGGGTATTGTATCTGCTGGACAGATATAATAATACATACGTGATTTTTAAGAACATCAAAAATCGCGGATCAGAAATGGTGACTGTTTTTCATGTAGTGACTGTTCATTGATCAAATGGAGTGATTTAAGCTGATGAGCATGAATGAGAAATGACTCCCCTCTCTAACAATCGAGTCATTTAGTGAATTATGAGTGTGGTGAAGTTCTAAATGCAGTCATGTTGGTGACTCGAGCCCTTTGATACACTATGCATGACACTTGACTTGAAAGTTTCAATATAGGTCTGAACCTATCATCCTCGAAACCTTCGCAAAACACCAACACTATTGTGCCACAAAGTCTTTGGCAGATTACAGAAGTTTATGTATCGAAGCGTAAAAAATCGCGACACAAAGGCAACTTTCAGATTCACATCATCATGCATTCCCTCATCATCACTCTTTTCGCCATCCTCCCCTTCTTTTGCCAAGTCAATAGCGTACGACCTCCAGACACAAGTCCCCTCTGCAACAGTAACGGATGCACCTGCAGCCTAGCAATGATGTGGCAGAACACCTCGAAACTACTTCCATATCCCCCAGTTCGCGCCAGAGTGTTCAACAAAAATTGCACTTTCCTTTCAAAACCCAACATCACACAAGATAGCATGGGGAAATATCCCATTAATCTCACATCGCCAAAGTTACTCTTGAACCTTTCGATATTCGGAGAAGATGCAAACAAGTATCCGGAGTTCACTTATGGAGAGAATATTGAGGGTGGTGAGCATTGCGGGTTTCAGACTATGAAATACGACGGAGCTTATTACAATGTATATAGTTGTACCTTTGCGTGCGAGGGACCGAAAGCGGAATGGTGGATTGCTCCATCTGGTGCAAATCGCACTGAGATTACATGATTGGAGTGACAGCAATAGGAAATATATATTAGGTATAGGTGAACAGCTTTGTGATGGATGAGATGGACGGCAGCAGAGAGTGGAACTGCCCAGGAAATGTAAGAATCGACAATATAATAATGAATTGAAACCGAGCAAAATGATTTTCCTGTCGAGTATTAAAATAAAAAAACGAGAAATAGAAGTTTTTGATTGCAATCACACTAAATAAGAAACAATTTCTAGCTTCCTCAAAACAACTCATACAATTTTACACGAACAGTCATACACATTTCTTATGACTGGTAGCCTTTACAATGACTCAAGCTTTTTGCAACACTTGTGTACACGAAACTTAATGACCAAAAGGATCACTACTGAGCATAATCACCAGAAACTGTCAATATCACTGTATGAGCTCATCATAGATATCTTTGGTATTTCTTTCTATCAACTACTTTGCGAAACCCCTTTTCAGAATTTAACAATCAACTGAATTCGAACGACATACTTTTTACAAGCAAATCCACACTTATCGACACTAACTATCGAAACAAAGTTCAAATCAACAAATATGAAGTACCTCGCTGTCGCATTTATGGTAGCCATCTCAGCATTAGTCTCTTATGCCGAACCACTTCCCGATCTTCTAAAAATAGCCGGTTCCCACGCCGGTTACAAGCCAGCACCAACAAATACACCAACACCACAACTCTGCGCCCAAAAACAACTAGCTTTCGGTGACAAGACCTGCACCTACGTCTATCAGTTTAGCAGTGACGACAACGGTGACAATGCCAGTGCCAGATCCTTCATCATCGACACTAACTGTGTTGTACTACAAACGGGCGAAGCTCCAACCCAAGAGTCCACTTCAAATTGGAGCTATCAGTTTAGAACATGCAATATTGTCAAACTGAACGAGGTGGTTAAGGAAAAGTGGGAACCTACAAATGAAGAGTATCTCATGCCTCTTTATCAGAGTGATGGGCAAATGTCAAAAGACGGCCAACGTGGTCCATCAGAGAATGGCCGCGGCGATAAGAGAGAGGCATGTACTTTGAAGTATAACGATCTCCCGGATAATGGAGCAAGATATGCATGGATTTGTCCATTTGAATGCCCCTGTTGAATCCTAACTGTGATGGATTAAGGGGAGATTCCATGGAGTTACTGGGAGAACATGTTTGTCAGATCTAGGGCTTGTACAAAGCGTGCAAGAGATATAATGGAAATTCAGATCGTTGCTTTAAAACACTGTGCCACCTGTGCTAGCCAACCTCGATTCTTGAAAATAGAATTCACACATAACTTCTTTGCGTAGGATTGAGCATAACTGATTGTTCTACCTTGTAGTTTCTGTTTCTTTGACCTGTGTGACGGCCTTTGAGGCATTCCTGATTTCTTTTTGTTATGACTGGGATAAAAATAATCATTAACATTTCTTCATCAATTACTTCCTTTATGAAGTAAGTCTTTGTGTAGTAAGAACAACAGTAAAAACTTTTCATATAAGAATCAGTAAGATCCGCGTGTATAAGTTTGGATTTCTTTCTTCATACAAAACAAAAGAACAATTCTCAAACGCTCAAATCAAAAATCAAAGAAAGAATTCAAACAAACAATAGCTATGAAGCTTTCAACATTCCTCCCAATTTTGGCGGGAACGCTTGCCGTCGCCCTTCCAACAGAGGTTCTCACGAAGCGCGACAACAAATTTTGTGTTACTCGAGGCCCAGGTACATGTACCTTCGGGTGGCAAGAATACACAAATTTCAATGGAGACTTTTCGTCCGAGGCCAGAATCTACGATCACAAATGCATCCAAAAGGGAGGTCTTATAAGCCCTAATATTGACCAATTTGTGACAGTTACATCTGCCAACCCTCCCATGACCGTGTCGATCAACGGATGGGCTCAGCCCCCGCAACTAGTTACCCAAGCAATCCCAAAGTTTAATTATAAAGGTAAGACTTGGGGTGGAAAAGACGGATGTGCCTGCGGGACAGGAGAAGGAACCAATTTCTGGGGATGTAGATGTGCGTTCGATTGCCCTTAGATTGGCATCGGGTGAAGAAGTATTACATGCAGATGCCACTTGGAAATTCGATATTCAACAAGAGGAGGGAATATAATTAGAACAATTCTGTTCCGTAAACAAAACAAAACAAAATGAATACTCTTATCTGTCACAGAAACCCCCGCATCACGTGTAATACGTGTAAGTTGCTCATGACTTCGTAGAATTAAGCAAGATCGAATTGTACTCCATGTTATGTAATTATATATCTATATAATATGCTATTTTCATATTTGCAGATTCAGAAAATTTCTTGAGTTTAGTCACAAGTAATATGCTGATATACATATCATTATAAAGGAAATAAACATTTGATTCCTTATTCTAATTCAAGCAATTTGTAAATTGGCTGTTTCAAATTTCAATTTATTCGCTTTAAAAAAAAAGATCCGTGAATCATCCGCTAATGCTATTATCCGCCCCACGGGTACTCGTTGTGCAGCCTAGGACAAATGCACGGAACAGGCGCTTTTAGGACCTATCGAAAAGGAGGTTTGTTGGAAGTATGAGAATCCGTATATCCTCATGACGAGTCGACCAGAGGCTATCGAAGATGCTTACAAACCTTCAGTACCAGACAAGATTGCATTCGAAGCACGATTGTAACCGTAGATATTCAGTGGCACATTCGTCAATGACTTCAACATGACCGAAAGCTGAAATGGCCTCGGGAGATCCAAGAAGAAATAGACGGGACGCTACTGATAGGGGCGCACGTCATGTATGAAATTCTCATTGTTCCTTATGCTTTGATAACATTAGACATTAAAGCCTGATTTGAGTTTTCGAGGAGTTGTGTGTCAATTAGATGCGCTAAGGCGGTGCGGTTGTATAAAAGGGCTCCGGAAAGTGTTGAAAACGCTGCCAGAAACATTGGATGGTATATACAATCAAATATAAGGAGCTTATAAGATATAGACGTAACAAGATTGGACAAAAAGTGGGATACCAAGATGAAATGATAGGTATCCCCGCATCGTCCTCAGTACGAGACATGCTTTCCCATTTGGTCTCACGATCAAGACTTATCCAAACTCGAGTATACAAATTCCTCAAACTCAGTCAGGAGCTTGATAGCCTTCTCATCTCCGGTAGGTAAAAGCTGAGAAAGGTATACACCGGCGACACCGTTGTTAAGATCGATCCACTATAGTGAATCAGTAAGCTGGAGTTCACATTCACTAGGAAACAGACCTACCCAGTAGCAATTTGCATGACCCGACCAGGTAAGCGAGTTTACTCCACGTCGTTTTGGTACTGCAGCTGTATTTATCAGACCTCCGATCCCAAAGTTAACGGGGACGTCATCTGGGACGGTATTCCAGATAGCATTGCGGGACGGCGACGAGTACTCCCCTGGTTTATCGAGGCCTCTGTTATTCTCCAGATGAGGCTGGAACATCTCCTTAGTAGTCTCGGGCCGTAGTAGCTTCGCTGTCAGGACGCCCTGGTAGATCTTGAGCAGATCGTTCACAGTTGCAAATAAACCGCCCCCTCCAAAATCGTCCAAAGTATTCTCTGCGTAAACAGGCTTCGTTTGCTCTCTCAAGCTTTGGCCCTCTCGCTCCCAGTTTCTGGCCTTACGAGCTTGCAGATCTTCTCGCAGTTCGGGATGGAAGGTGGCGTCCTTAACAGAAACGACGTCAAAGATATAGCGTTGCATATACTCGCCAAGCTTCATGGAGGTGACTCGCTCGACCTTCACAGTTCGCGATGCGAATTAGTTAAAGACTGTCATATTGATATTTCCAAACTTACAGCGAGGCCAGCCCAGTCAAGGCCAGGAGAATACACCCATCGCTCACCAGGTTCGAACACAAGAAATTGGTGAGGAAACTTCTCTGCCTACAACGTTTGGTAAGCTATTGTATTGGCGGTTGGAGGGAGTCAACTCACGATGGTTCGATTGGCGAAAGTTGGTGTTTTATGCAACTCTTGATAGCGAGTCAGTAGCGGATCCATGAATACATAGGCAATGCCGCTGGAGTGAGTCAACAGGTGCCTAATTACCATCTCGTGTCAGTAAAATTCGCCAGCCTCAATGGAATAGGAGTATCACTTACCGAAGGGTAACAGGCTTTGTGGAGGGCTTGAAGATAGCTTCATTCTTTTCATCAAAGCCCGTCAGGATCTGTGGATCCTTGAACTCTGGTAGCACTTTTGCTATATCACCATTCAGGTCCAACTGTCCCTTCTCGACGCACTGCATTACAGCAATGGTAGTGATGAACTTGGTGGCAGAAGCGAGCCAATACACAGAATTGGTGCCGTAAGGCTTGTCAACTTCATCTCCAAAAGTGTTAGCATAGTGGAAGGAGCCTGGTCGCGTAGAATTAGCAAGTGCAAACACAGAAATAACAAAAGGGTGTTGCTGTAACACACCATCCCTGTTGGTGGCCCCGAGTGTAAACTTTGAGAGGGGTTGGCTATCTTGCTCAAACCTCTGGCGAAGAGACTGGACGCGTTTATCGAAAGAGGCCATTGTCGCAAGACTGATTCTCAGCTTATGAAGAACTGGGTTATTTTGTTCTGTGCCATCAATAAATTCTACGGATTGTTGTCCCATGTTATGTATGTCGTGGAACGGCTTTTGCCGCAAGTTCTCAGTCTCATTAGATGAAAGGTGCCTCAGTTATGGAAACACTTATGAGTCATCGAAACCCTTGAAGTGGTTTCAAACAATTCAGGGTTCGGCAGAAAGACGGTGAAACAAACTTTGGCTCTGTAGAGATACTACGAACGCCTCTGTTGATACCGCTCTGTCAAGATTCTATTGGTAAGATTGCCCTCTTCTTTAGCATGCTCATTAAGAATTTTGAGGTCAAGAAGAGCCTTTATGCCAGGCTATCTTCGTGTTCTCTTCTCTTGTGCATTACCGCAATGTAGATTATTCTCATTTGAACTAACTTTAGAGGTAGCGAGCTAAATGTCAGAGAAGTCTATCAACGCGGCCGATGCATGACCCTAGTCCGGGAAGATCAACCGTTGTGATCAGGAAACAGTAAAAACACGAGAAATCCGCGTTATCATGTGCCAGACTACATACTTTCACGTACACTTGGCTGGCTACCTGTGAACTACACAGCACAGTTTCCTTCCATAGAGGTATCAAGACTTTGCCAAGACGGCTAAGTATTCCGCTCTTCACTTCCCAATACTTGTAATTTCCCTGCATGCCAAGTCGCCGGGTTGCCGGCGCATGGTTTGAAGCAAAATCCAGTTAGTCGATTCGACGCGAAGTTCGTAGTCTCTAGGGTGAACCAAAGAACGACCCGCGAGTTCATGTGACTGAGCTTATATCGGTCTTTACATCTCGAACCACACACATATTCTTGTTGATAGGAGGAGGGGACCAAATCAAAAATCGGTAACCAGCCTTACAGACAGATTATGCTGTAAAAGTAGGTCTACTCCAGCATGCTTTATTTGCAATCCTTGCTCTTCATCCACAAGTCGGCATTCCCGGCACTGATACAGACTCAATCCTACCCACTTCTGCCCGGTCCTGCGGGGCATTACAGTAAAGTCTCGCTATAAGGACATGCTATACAAGGATAAACTCTTTGTAAGGATATATTTCTCGTTCCCAAGGAATTTAGGCCTAGAAATGATCTGTATCCCTAGAAACTCTTTATTAGAATGTTCTTATAGCCTCCGGTCCCAAAATCAGGTGTATCCTTATTGAACCAGTAAAATTGTCAGGGCTCTGCTATCACATAATAGATATATCGGCATTTTAGTCAAAGCAGAAAATGTTGAAACTAATTGAATAGCCACCGCCGAGCAAATATGATTAGTAGTTGTATAATTATGGAGTGAGATAGATGTTAAGTTCCAAGTGACTACTCGTTATTATTGGGGATTAAGACGCCGAGTTTGGCTTCTACAAGATGTAAAGCCTGACAAAGAGGAATTGAAATAACAATTGAAAGTTGTCTTCCCTGTGCTTCTCTTGCTGACATAAGATCAACGACACGTTCGGGAATATGCCGTCCAATTACGGTCCCATAGTCCCGTGACTTTGTACTTTTGAAATTGTTTTGTTGCATATCTAGAAAAGATTTTTTAGATTTTCTGGAAACCAAAAACGTTGGGTCACGTGAAATAGAGACGCGTGTATTGCTTGCATTCTCGGAACGTATCGATGCCAATTGTATTCTTCACTAGCTTCCACTTTATTGAAGCCCAAGGATCTATTTAGTTCTCAACTTCTTTCTTGTAGGTAGTCTGCGTCAGTTATTTCTCACCTCGTTCAACATGTCTTGCTTCTGTAGCGCGGAGTTTGTTGGGCACACTGATAATGTTCTTGTAAGTACGCGTGAAGATCCCCACAGAGAGAAGGGTAGATGCCATTGATACATTGTGGGAACCGGATATATTATATACCTAGGTATCTGTAGAGAGAAACATACTCTGGGCATTTAGCAGAGATTTGTTAAGACATAACATCCTCATATATTCGCCGATGGTCGTTTGAGAATAATTGATAGGCTACCAATCCTTGTGACGGTGTTTTCACTTGGCGAAATTATGTACCTGCTTTGAAAGGCAAGTGCCCCTTCACACCTCTTTCCTTCTTTGGTCATTACAATATGCAGTGAACAATTATTGAGTGTGTTCTTACATATTACCGTCTAGTGATAAACTCCAAGACTCTTCATATTGAGCAAAGGGAAGAGAGAGCTTTTGTCCACGCGCGCTTGAACCTCTCAAAACTTGCGAAGAATTCAAAGCCGTCTTAATATTACCGATGGGGATCTTTTATTTCATCCATTTGGCAAATGGAACTTTGGAATATAAAATGCCGCTGCCATCTCGGTTTGAGAGCTGGATACGAGAACTATATGCCCTGACAATTCTATCTGCTTATTTTACCAAAAATTCAAGATGAGATCTACCTTCTCGACCTTGGGCTTGCTTGCAAGCTTTGCGGTGGCATACGATTGTTCAGTTAGTGCTATCGCGGCACTTTTACCAGCAAAATCTATTGTTTTCTATGCCACGCATTTTGATGCAGGTGCAATATTCACTCCTCCACCCGAGTATAATGCAGGTGGTGGTCCACCAGGTGCTCCTCCAGGTGTTCTGCCGGGTAGAGGGGATCTATTATCCCCCAGGCTGGTTGTATTGTACAAGGGAATGTGTCCCTCTCCGCAACTTCACAATATAATTTTGGATTGGCACTGCCTGATAATTGGAACGGCAGATTTTTGTAAATCACTCCAATATCTGCCAAAATTCTTTGAATAACAATAATTAGGACAGTTGACAATGGCGAATTTTTTGGCAGCGTTAGCTGGGATTCAGTTGTAAGCTTCTTGTGTATCTGCGCCATTTGAAAATATCTAATATAACTAGATTGATGGCATGTGGTATGGATTTGCATCCGTCTCCACTAATACTGGCCATGAAAGCGGAGGGGCTGATTGGGCCTATAATAATCCCGAAGCACTTGAGAATTGTGGATATCGTGTTATGCATGATACCGTACTAAAAGGGAAAGCTGTCACCCAGGGATATTATGGAATCAACATCTCCTATAGCTATTATCGAGGATGTACTGCTGGTGGTAAGCAAGGTCTGAAAGGAGTTGAAATTTTTCCAAATGACTTCGATGGAGTTGTTGCAGGCGCTCCAGCGTGGTGGACTACTCATTTACAGCTTTGGAATATGATTGTGGGAATTTGGAACCAGCCTGCAAATTCTTCCCAATATGTTCCACCATCAATCTCCACTTACCTTGCGGATGAAGTCATTGGGCAATGTGACGCTCAAGATGGCGTTACTGATGGAATTGTGATAGATCCTCTGGCATGCAAATTCAACGCATCAAGACTTTTGTGCCCTCCGGGTGTTGCAAATACGGCGACTTGTCTCAACAGCGAACAAATAGCTACATTCAATAAACCTCATAGTGATTGGATTGAAGCGGATAGTTCATATTCCCTCCCTTCACATTGGGCAGTGAATGGGGTTGGAATGGACTTATTTCTTCCCCAAGTCCCCTAGGCACAGCGTATGTGCAGTACATGCTTAGTCTGGGACCAGATTGGACTTGGGAAGATTGGAATCCGGCAATCATTCTCCTTTTGGATTTGATAAACCCCGGTCACGCGACAGCCAATAATTTCAACCTTGCACCTTTCCACAAGATTTCTTGTGGAAAGCTACTTCACTATCACGGGTTATTAGATGCTTTCATCGCTACTGGCTCGAGTATCCGATTCTATGATCAAGTCGCTAAAGCTTTAAAACCTCAATGCATCAAGCTAGACGGTTTTTATAAATTCTACTTAGTTCCAGGAATGGGGTAAGCTTGTTTCCTGATTTCATCTATAATTTTGTACTCTACCTACAAACATATAGTCACTGCGCAATGACCTACCCCAAAATGAATGCCCCATGGGTTATTGATGGCGATGGACAAGCTGGTGGCCTCGCCAGAACATCTCATGGTGTCCCTGGCTTTCAAGACGCCAAACACGATGTCCTGCTCGCTGTAATGGCATGGGTAGAAAATGGTACCGTGCTGACTGATATCATAGCTACAAAATACGCGAATGACACAAACCCAGATGGTGGTGTATTGCGACAAAGACCTTTGCGTGCTTATCCAAGTAAGACTGTATATGATGGAACTGGTGATGTCAATGCCCCAGAAAACTGGAGTTGTAAGGCTGCATGATCTAGGGGATAGTACTTTCCTTGAGATGATTGACTTTGGGTTTTCATCCTATCACTGTGCTTTCCATACTAGTTTATCGCAAGCTCTCAAGTCTTGTACCGATGCGGAAAGAAATACTGACAATACTCGAATCTTCGCCGAACCTTTTGTTCTTATCCTTTTTTTGTCATTTCTATTTGGAATATCCTTCTGCATCATTCAAAAACAGGCTTATCATACATTTCAAATCAATCTACTCTTAATTCTATAGTTAAACATTGCTACCATGCCTTATTGTCCGCTAAACGTTTCGGAACTCCCACTTAAAACTTTAGAGCCATCGCCTCGTGTTGTTGACGTCAAGAAGTATATGGAAAGTCGACCTGATGTATATTTAGCTCGAAAGACTATGGCGCCACTCGATGCGGTGGTCACTTTTCTTTGGTTAAAAGACCCTCGATATCTGCAGCAATTTCTCAATCGCCGATGCCCATTGTTCATATGCCAAATTAAGTGGAAAGATCCCGATGTCGAGAGGACCGCGTGGGAAATAACGGTCATGCGACAAAAGATGTCGGAGTCCTTGCACACAATAGAAGTAAGTCAGGCGAAACGAATTCATTAAGACGTTATTCATTTTGATGATTTGTGATTCCAGTTAAGAGCCGTCATACCCATGAGGATGGAGGATGAAAAGATGATTTTTAGAACCATCGAGCTACACTACATCACAGACGGACACATCCTACGATTCGAATATCACGATGAAAACTCATCCGATTTATGGCAAGCTCCCGAAATTTATGCTACTAAGAAGACTTCCACAGCTACTCTAGCAAACTTGAGCCAATCAGAGAAAGTGCTACTCTTTTTCACGATGATCCTTATAGAATTAGAGTGCCACACATTAGTCAACCCACAAATATGTCTGGGAAATGAAGCTCCAGAGTACTACTTCGTTTTTGATGGGAAATGGAAGAGACCCGAGGATTTGGTCATTTGTCCACGATTACGTGGTAGGAGGTGTCTTCCTCTGATAGAGTATTATCAGTGGGAATACAAGAGAAATACAGAGATGACGAAGAAATGTCTCAAAATCTTCGATATACGAATGCTACCTTTATGGCGTCGTTGTATATGCCAAGCGCCGGCTACCAGAATTGCCGTGGATTTGATGGAGAGCGAGAATGTGAGAATAAAGATGGAACACTTCTGCAGGCTTAGCGTGCTTGGGGGTGATTATCGGGATGAAGAGGTGGGTATTTGTCGTTGTGTTTACCCGTCTGCTTTGCATTGCGGATGAATGGGGTGCCCGTCTTTGCATGTCCATTTTGTATGATTTTTCTATGTTCTTCTGGATACGGACTTCATAACCTTAGCATGCCGATTTTTTGTGTTACGATTAGTCCTTCAAGAGGTCGTCAGCGTGATGAATAAGATTACTTCTGCTTTTACTTCTCTCCAAACTGGTGAGGTTCTACAATAAAAATAAAGAATGAGCAGATACCGCAAATAAAGTTGGGGCGATCATTGGGACTCGTGGATGTCGTTTACATAAGTGTTTGACATTTCAATGCTCTGTGTCAACATGCGAGTCAGATGTCAGGAGTCAAATTTTTGAATCGTTGCTAGATTGTGATTCATTCCGAGATTTATGTGGGAATACTCACCGATCTTAGCTCGCGAACGTTTATGATTAGTATCATTACTTGTAGGGCAGTCATGGACGCCGGGAAAGGTTTACTTAAGCATTCGAAATCCCTCAGCTCTTGCATTTTATTCTTCCTCATTTCATTATCAACATCTATAAATCAATACCATAACCCTCTAAGAAAACCAAAACAACACGCCGAAAAAAAGTGACCATAGCGATGAAAACGAAGTTCAGGGTGAACTGTTGCCCCCCCTTTGCCTCCCAGGTAAAACGATGCAACAATCCTTTGACAGGATTGAAAGGGAGGCTCGGGAGTTAAGGGTAGACCCTGATAGCCTTCTTTCACATACAACACCTCGCCTGCGGGAAAACTCAGCCTCGCTTCCACCAGACCGCTTCCATCTGTGCAGTGATACTCAAGCAAATAATAACACAAGTTGCTTTGACATTACCTTTAATCCACAATACAGAGCTGGTACAAGTGGCATATCACTCACAATCCCCTCATAGAACATTCTTGATATCAAGTTAGGTAGTGGTCAGAATTTCTCCTCCGTTCGGCAAGCCTCTAGTGGCTCTGGTGCTGTGATATCCAATAGTAACGCATCACGTCAGTCAAACGCAGGAGCTCAACGTGATAATTCCAGCTGGAACACTGCCAGTCTGCATGCCTAGAACACGCGGAAAAGTACATGGAATGGTCGCGATCAACCAGGCGGAGCAAATTCTCAGAGAGATAGTAGGGGCGGTTATCAATGAAGCGAGAGATTGGGACTGGTTTGGCGGAGATGGAGATTGAGATGGAGCAAAGGAATTAAAGGGAGGGAAATAAAGATACTTGATCGCATCTGAGGGAGTAGTAATTGGGTCCGTGCACATATTTACCTGTTGATATGTGATAGATTTAGTAGATTCGACAAGTAGTTGAATCGAATGCGTGACTTTTAAAAACGATGTGTCATTTTATGACTTATCGTGCATGCCATGTCTACAAATGACTCCTGAATTGATTTGAGAATGTCTGAGTCTCTCGCTTCAACTCACCACGCCGCTATATCTCAACGCCAGCAGCCTTCCTTCCACTCTTTTTACTTCTTAGCACTCTAGTTTTATATCCTCACCCTGACTTCCCTCCCCTATTCAGAACCATTACGAAGCTATATCCTCTTCAAGCAAACCCTATAGCTCCGCTAACAACACCAAAGTTCCCAACTCTACAAAAACAACTTTCACCCACTCACCCCCAAAATCCCAGAATACACCCACTGCCGCCAATCGAGAAACAATTCCGAACTTATATGCTACCCAATTATCTTGGAAAGCAGCTATAAATTCGTAGAGGTTTATTAAGATGAGGAGATAGGCTGCTGATATTAGCGAGGGATGTTTAAAAGGAGTGAATAGCGGGGAGGGAAATTGCAGCGCATGAAGAAAGTTGAAACACCAAGAAACAAGAGATAAGTGAGGAAATCTTACAAATCAATCGTACAGCCTCGGGACTATTGATATTGAACTCTTTCGTGGTGTTTGAGGGGTCGATCATATTAACAATACGAGTCGCGATTGTGACGGTGGTTATGATGGTTAAGACCCATCCTGGTGGTGAAAGTTTCATTTTGGGAGAGGATGGGGGAGGTGATCGATAAGAAGGTACTAGATTTTCGTGCCGGTGTTTTCAACGAAAGGAGCGAAAATAGAATGCTGTGGGTGATAGATGAGATTTATCTATTACGTCGCCGCAAGGTGCAGACAAAACTGTTGGGTGAGATATCGGGTTTTTAGTGTTGGTAGGTGGGATATGTTAAGTGGACACTTGTTTTGGTTGAACTGACAGATTATTATACAAACACTCACTTGATTCAGTATCATCTTGTTATATCGTGAGATGCGTAGCCATTGCTCTGGATATGTAGTCACGGATCCTACGGAAAACGCGGAGTAACTTCACCTATTTAGAATTCCAACTATTATCGATTGCCTATTTGAAGTTGATTACAAAAACGACATCAACCTCAAAATCGAAATCGAAATCGGATTGATCAAAGGCTGTTCGAGATCCCCCGTTGCTTAGTTACCTCCAGAATCAATAAGCTTTAAGGGGGGACATCGGAGTTGGACGTGTGTGCTGAGCGGTAGGGGATCTTGAATCGCATACAATCACACCATAATCATGATGTTACCTGGCTTCGACCTGATCTTGAACCAGATAATTTAATCGGCGCAAACCTGGTTCAACACCTCGCTTGAGAGTACGAAGGAGATATTTGTTTAGATCATCATTGAGAGATGTACGGTCTTTGGAAGCTCTGACTACGTCAAATTCTAACGACATCCCCCCTTCCACCCTCACCACCTCACGAGATGTGATGACTAATCAATTTTATTGGTATTACACTCAGGTAATCTCACATTCCTCTGACTTAATCTTGACTTATCAACAGAAACAAGTAGAGACATGAATGTGCATCCTACTCCTGAATCATATATACTCATGTGAATTTGTTTGGTATATAATGATTATTGATAGTCAATACCTTTCGATTAAGCTCTTCGTGATGCCTCTCTTCTCTGCTTCTATTTCTTTCAATCACAAGTTCTCTTGTCTTGTGTCCTTCAGTATTAAGGTCTCTTAGTTTCCTTTGTTAAACACTTCAAGCTATTTGTTTCCTTTGATAGAATTTTGCAAAGATTTGAACTTTTACATGAAACACATAGACTGGAGATACTCGATATCCGGTCAATTATTAACATACCAGATAGCATTTCTCGGCATCGAACTTGCTCTAAGTCATGTCCAACAGACGTGGTGGGAAATCATCTCCCTCTTCTCGTAGACCTGTAGCTTCTAATCAGGGGCCTGATACGGTGTTTAAAGAAAAATATGGCCCTTACCCGGGACAACCGAACGATAGACACAGCGGATTAACGCCGATCGTGCCGCACATTACAAGAGGCGGAGTTGGGAAAGTCGATGCGAGTACATTACGAAGAGAACAGCAACAGAGGAATGCATTTTATAACTTTACAGCAAAGCAATTGCTTGATCTGGATGCGAATATAACATCGACAAGACCTTTGAAAGGAAGCGATTTGAACATTCCATTACTACCCTGCTTCAAAAGAGACCGGTGGAAAACAAATGGCAAGCCATATGCTCTTGGTCAATTAGGACCCGGAAAATGGTTTGCTACAAATGATGTTGTGTGGGAATTATTACAACCAACTCTTCAACTTGCCTCAATGTTATTAATAAACATTCAGAATGACTTGGTAAATTTACTCAAACCCGATTTCGAATTATCTAATAAATAAAATATAGTATGATACTTTATTGTGTGGCAAACGAATCCCAATCGATCCTGAAAGAATTCCTGAAAATCTACCAGAGCGCGCCACACCACAATTCCTAGAGACGCTTTTTTCTATCAAGTCGAGAGGATTAGCTCCAGATGATCCATCTCTCCAAAAGAGCAAAAAGATGCTTTTACACGCACTGTCAAGTTTCGCTTTCTTGAAATTCAAAGACACTTCCGTGACTTTTTCTTTCAATGGCTGTACTAAGTGCGGATTGCAGAGAATTCCAGATAGTCCACCACTTCTTCACTGTCACATTATTTTAAACCATACCAACCTCGAACCTTTACTACGACCTAATATCACAGCTTCGGAAAAGCTGGCATATCAGTGGAGAGTGGCCGTAACACTCACTCATGAATGGCAAGTGACACCTCCTTTATATTATGATTATTATTCTAATATATCTCTTTAGTTTTCATGCAATGTTCAATATTAGCGACTTTATTCGGGCAAAAAGAGATAAAATTCTGTCAAATTGGAACCTGGGCTCGGAGGTGAGTCACTGGGATATCTCAAGGATTTCCTCATTACTAATTAGCCAAGCCATATTATGAGAACCACTCAATTTAAGAGTGCGGCTTTTTGATGGAGCAGGTTGGTCTTGGTGGTGTTACTCGTGGAGAGAAGAACCCAAAGGGCTCTTTGTACCCTACAATCGCTCTTTTCTGGACCGAGTGGCCAACGGTATATTGGGCGAGCTATGTGTCGAATTTTATTTTAAAAACACCCGCTCTCAACCCCCGGTACAATTTTTACCCCATACCAGTAACTTACTTTGAAGATGTTCACCAGATGACTTTCTGGCTTCATACCGTCAGAATATTTGGTACCAAGATGCTTGCCCTTAGATCCAATAAGGTAAGGATGCAGGTTACTCGACTTCCGCATTTTCCTGACGCACATGTACTAAGTACGGATGATGACGAAGTTAAACACTTTGAGTGGAAAGCTACGCATTTAAGTTTAAAATCAAAGCAGGATATGAGTCCAGATGAACGAAGAGCTTGCAAAGCTGGGGATGATTTGATCAAGAGGGCAGAATTGAATGAGGAGTTTTTCATCAACAGCTTAGAACAATCCAATCAATTGAAGGCTATCGTTGATTTTAACAAAAGTCTAAAGGACAGACTTGAAGCTTTCACTTCGGATAATTATACTTCTCCAGGACAGGAATCGAGACAGCCAGATCCGTTGGAGATCATCAAGACATCCATGCAGACTCAATATGATATGCTTATGAGTGCTACAATGGCTCATCGTGCAGCTGTTGACACTTATTTTCAAATGGCAATTTCTGGAGATGCTCCCATCGAGATTAAAGATCATTTATTGATGTTCAACCAAGGATTTAGAGGATTTGCCAGACAGATCGCTCACGAATACTGGACAGATGAATTACTTCGAGATTATGAAGATATAGATGAGAAGCTAGAATTTTTGCGACAAATGTTATACTCGCCTGCCGACGCAAAAAGCAAAAAATATGCAATGGAATATGAGGAATTTGGAGAGATTGCAATCATTATGAACGCCTACGACCAATTCCACACTGAACCTGAGTATATGTCACAGGTGATTTCTCAAGGAGTGGAGGTCTTGGAAACTCGATGGAGAAGTTCCCGATATAGCAGGACTTGCGCGAATATCATAAAGTTGGCTACAAGTATAGTAAATGGAAAGACTGCAGACCCATTCGATACGATCAACAAGATCGACGCTAAGATACAAACATTGATCTTTTTGTTAAATGGGGAAGATAACAAGCGATGCGATTCGTGGACACCGACACTGGATGATATGATTAAGAGAATGAGAAAGATTTCATCAAATTTGTTTGATAAGGTTATGGCCACGGGGGGTATTGAAATGGATGAATATGATCCTATCGATGAGGATGACATATCAACGGATAATGATATGGACGATGATAATGAGGTGGATTTCATTCCTGGTCAGCCTGCTTGATAGTATGTCATTTATAGAGGGTAAAGGTTTTTCTCCATGAGATGCTTTCAAAATTCCCAATGTTTTCCAAAAGATCAGACAGCTTGATTTCCAGACAGATGAAAATTAGCTGTGGTCTATCTTCGAGTACAGGTTCATATCACTCTCAGCAAGGTGCGCTTTTAGGAATTCACATATTGAAATAGATAGTTAAGTCAATCATGTAACCCTAGTTGAGCCTTGATCAACAAATCCTCGATGATTTTTATACAAGGTTTCAATAGATTGATTATTAAATTTCTTCAAATCCATAACTTTCTCCGAATTTTAACTTGACTTGACTGGAATAGTGACAGCTCTTTTGTATTCCTTCGGTTCAATAATAGGCAGAATAATGAATTTCGAATTCGAAACTCCTATTCTTTCCCCTTTATCATTTTCCAATTAGTTCACAATCGCTGAATCATATATTCTTCATGGCCTCCGCGTCAATATTTTTAATCCGAGCGCTCAACACCAAAGAAACCCGGTTTATCTTCTCAATTCACGATTGAATTACAAATATCTCCCTGGATAAACCATACAACATCCAAATCAACACCTATCCTGATTCATCAAATAGTACATCTACCTGCAAAAAAGTTCCAAATCACAATTTCACCATATCACTCTATGATTTATCATTTAACGAAAATCTAAAAATGATGATAACACATTGACACTTTACCGATCTCGGTAATTTTGCCAAATTGGCTTAGCTTAGACCGAGCGAGTGGTTTGTCAGTTGGTCTTGAATTTGGAGGATAGATGTTTAGGTTAAATTTCAGAGAGTGTTCTTTAGAGGGAATGTGGATATATGATATGTTGTGAATGAAGTATGTATAATTATCCCGGTGTGGTTTGCTATGTTATATCTATTTATTCATCTATCCATTCATACACAGTGCACGGCCATAACAGCTGAGGTATGCGCATGGATTATTTAGGTGGTTTTGAAATGTAAAGTTCTTGTGAATTGGTTATGAGCAGCATGATTCGAGGATGGTTCGCGGATGGGTGTTCAGATAATGATACAGCTAGGTAAATAGGTTCTGGAGACTTGGGTGCAAGAATGTATGTTGGTATGGTGATCTGGGATGGAATAAGAGGTTTTATTGTTTACAAGAAAGATGATTTGGGGAAGATGAGAGAGGTATAGATGAAGGATGAGAGAAGGTGCTGTGAGATTGCGAGGGCATGGAAAGGCATGGAAGGGATACTGGCAAAAAGGTTGAAATGGCATGATATTTGCGATAGTGAAGAGTTTCTCGTAGTGAAGAGGAGGTGTTATAGGGAAGATTACGAGAAGGGAGGGGATTTTCATGAAGGAGATTATAAAGATCAAGAAGTTTTATCGATGAGGAAGCTTATACAACGACAGGATGGGGTACTTTTTTGTGGTAAAGGATATTTTAACCACGAAGGAGTTATATTAATGAGGAATTTGGCAAATTATACAGATGATGATGATGATGATGATGATGATAAAAAAACATCACTTGCAAAGGAACAAAAAACGTACAGGTAGTAATCAATGAATATCCATAAAAAATTAGCAAATTAAACACGAATACAACTACTTCACATGTTATCCCCAGAAAATCGCTCCTCATATATTGATAGGATATCTCCGTCTTCAAGAGCGGTAATCACCAAGTCGAACAGAAACCCCGCTGAATGGATCATTTTCCTTCACATACATATCAAGATATGAATGATCGAGAAACCCAGATCTAGACCCTCTCACTCAAAATATAAAATAGAACGAATGACATCCTAGATCTCCTGATCCCTTCCATATTTCCCAATCTGTCTCAAAACTGACATCAATCAATCAGTCCAGAAAAGGCGAGATTGTTAAGTTACCCGAGCCGTTGGTACCCTTTCTTGATTTCCACGCAAATGCAATACATCTCCCAAGATTCAAACCCAAGATCTCTCATAGTCTAGAATTCCATCATGCACATTTCTAAGCACTGATATTTTATATATCCCCGATGGAATGACAGTATTCAGGGGTGCGTATCCACATTCCTCGCGTAGCCTCATCTGACCCGAAAAGCATCACTCTCGGTATTCTCCGCGGAATGTGGGAGAGACATGCGTTCCTTCTGCGTCTGGTGGTTTTCTGAGATGCGAGAGTTGGATGGTATAGGAATGGAATGTGTAGAACTTGGGGCAAGGGAGAATGAAGGCACTGAGTGGGTTGATGAGATGAGAAGAGAACTGATGAGAAAGAAGGGGAAGGGCAGAAAAGAAGATACATATGCATATATATATGAATCCCACCTTCCTTCGCATCATTTGAAAAAAAAGCACATCATTCAGAATTCAGAGAGAATTAGATCACTTCTCTATACAACACCCTACTATACGATACTATTCCATAGTATCCAATTCCCGCAACACCCCAAACCAAATTTCAAATTCCAAAAAGGAAATCAAATCAAGAAAAAATGCGCTTCCCAACCCAAGTCCTCCTCGCCACCACCCTCCTTAGCACCCTCGCCCTCTCCATCCCCCAAGGACCACCTATGAATGGCGGCGGTGGTGGCGTCCAAGGAACTGTACTTATCCTCTTCCCTCTTCCCTCCCCCCTTTATGTCTACCGCCACTAACCCCCCTAGTGCAACTTCTTCTGCTGCGAACGCAATCTCGGCACAGGTGGTACCCTCTGCAAAAACAACACCGCGATCCCGCATCCATATTCCGATGATTGCTCCACGATGCCGATTGGAAATAAGCCGAATGGTGATGGGAAGGCGACGCCGGTGTGCTGTGCGAATGCGAATTGTGCGGGGCAGCCGGGGTGGTGGACGCCGATTACTAATGTTTAGGTTTGGGTGCGAGGAGGGGGGTGGATGGGGATTGAGATTTATATTTATATTGGAGATGGGAAAGGAAGGCCAGACAAGAAAACAGAAGTGATCTTCTTCTGGAAATCCCTCACAATGTCGCATGCAATCAACCCACTGAAAATGGGAGGGACCTCCGCAAGTTCATCAACCTCTCTTCATATCTTATAACGCAGAGTATAGCATCGGGATAACACAGTCATTTCCACGATTTATCTCAAAGGATTGCTTAATCGTTTTCATTTTATCGTTTATTTATTTGTTTTCAATTTGAAAATCTCATTATCAATAGTGTTCTTTGTTTCATTGGGTGTTTGTGCATGTTTTGGACTTGTAGTTCAGTTTAGTTAGCTAGCGACTTTAGGAAATCCAGTATGCAGAGCAATACAATGCAATTGGTACCACCACTCGTGATATTTAGAATCACTATGAGGGAAAGGGATGTATGCTGTGCACTGTGTCATGTGTGTTTATGTAAATTTTTGAATGAGGATGATCTAGGAGGCCAGAGATGTTTAGAGAGATGATCCATCAGACTTATACTGTAAATATTAGTCCAGAACTAGAAGTAATTCCATTCGTTAAATCAATAAATAACAAACAAAGTACTGTAAAAGTTCCCGCAAAAAAACCCCAATTAATCGCAGACGCCCACTCTCAATCAACTACCTACCCTCAAAGTTTCCCCTTTCTTCCATCCTCCGACAACTTCAAAATAAATTTCATATTCTCCTTCTGCACACTCTCCCACAACCCAGTCTTCCCTCCCGATTCTTTTCTCAACCTCTTCTCCTCCCTCTTAAAAAAATCCTCCGCACTTCTAATCCTGCCCGGATGGATCTCATCCAACAACTTATAATCTCTCTCCAACAATCCATCTCTAAACTGCATCCACCAACTCGTGAAATTTCTTCTAAAACTCATCGTTGCCTTATCCTTCGGATCCGCATTAAATCCCGCTGGCGCGTCAGCCAGTGGTCCGTATCTTTGAAAGTACGCATCAAATTCGGTATCAATATATTGCGCCGGATGACCCGTGACTTTTTCAAACGCCGTGGCCATCTCAGAATATGAGATATTGGCAATGGCGACAAGGAGATCCATACCATTACTACGCTCTGGATGATCGAATAACCATCGAACATAGGGACCGCAATCTTCCAACCCCACATGAGGTACTGCGCCATTTCCTAGTGGAACTCTCCATGTTACAACACCATCCTCTACACTAGGTGTCATGACTGTTTGTCCCGAAATGGCCATTTCGATATATGGACCCGTGGTAAACAATGCGGCTCCCATTCCATTAGGATTCTTTTGATTTTGCCATAAAATCCATTCGCCAATTCTTCCTTTCCCATCATAATGACCAGCATGATATTTTTCTTGCCATCCACTTTTCTTCAACGCATAGTCTAGATTTCCATAGACGAAGAATTTAATTCCTTCCTGAATAGCAATTTCATAAGAACGAATGGCCCAAAACATTTCGGTTTTTTCTCCCGTGTTAAATCCATCAATATTAACAAATGCTCCATCACAACCTTTGTAACCGGCTCGAAGAATGTCTTCATCGGCAAACGTACCTTCGAAGAGTTCTACATTCCCAAGAGCAAGAAGTTGTTGAGCTCGAGTAGATGTGGTGTCCCGGGTAAGAACTCGGACTTGATATTTTTTGTCGGCAACGAGAGATTTGATGACAGGAATGCCTTGAGCACCTGTACCACCAATGATGAAGATTTTTGAAGTATGATGAGATGACATTGTGTTTGAAGGTTTAGTTATGTAGAAGGCTTGCTTGAGGAAAGAGGAGAAGAGAAGTATGATATTTTTGAGTGTTGATTTTGAGACATTTCAGTGCCAGTTGTGACTTTATAGACAAATCCAGATACTACAGCTTTGAAATATGACGATTGATTTAATTGATGCTTTCAATGAAATCCGAAGATGTTCACTAAACATCTTGTTCAACATGATTACTGATTGTGTATACGTTTGGTTCAGTAATCATTAATTGAGGTTATTCAAACACGGAAGATGATGACGCCCCCAAAAAGAATAGTAATCAAATGAAACATTATCAACATGATTGACTGACTAACTTTAGCTACTTAGACATATACGATCTAGTCCTGCCGACTATTCGGCAAGGGAGAAGAATAAATAATCGTGTTGGGCGGTTTTCATAGCGAAATGGGAGAGGGGACAATTTTTAGTTTACCACGAATAATGACACCTATCTGTTGGTATTACGGATTGGCACATGCGAGACTTTAGAAACCAGTCTCCCGAACCTTCAGTTGAAGAGGCGATGTGATACCTAATTGAAGAGGAACTTCCTCGCAATCTTTTCGATTCTGTTAAGCACAAAAAATTGACAACTAAACATCACTTTACACACTCTCTGCCTGCAGCAGACGCGATAAGCCCGTAGAAGATTCTCATTTCACCATATCAAAAAAGCATACCTTGTACCGCAGCACCCACACTAAACCCACCCCTCTACACCAACAATCATTCCAACCCAAGCTACAATAAACGCACCACACTCCCTCTAAGCCCATCACAAAATATCCCCATCCCCAAAGCCTCATCAGCCACATCAGCCACCACCTCGCACGTAATTTCCTAGAACTGGAACCTTGGTATGACTGAAATATCACGTGTCTCGAGTGCACACAGGTACGGATACATTACACCAAAATCGCGCCGATAGGAGATTTTTTACGTAGCCACTTGTTTGAAATTTCCGATTCTTGTGGTTTGGAAATAGATAGGAGCAAAGAAGGAAGGGAAATTAGGATGTTTTATGCATAAGTGAAGTCGTGCGTCGGAGATTTGTATTGATATTGTCAAATACCACTGAGCTTACACTTGACATGCGGGATACAACGCAGGTTTGTTGATTCAAGATCTACCATGTCGCTAGGAGAAAGACCCGGGAGCTCTTTTTACATGCACACCGAATATTTATATACGTTTTCCCAAAACGCGTCTTGTAGGTTGTATTGTGTATTGTGTATTGTGTATTGTGTACTGTGTTAAATTTATTCGCGGAAATATTCTTAAACTGCTGGATAACAATCAGAACTTAAGTAAAATATAAAGCCAATAAGTATACACGGCCCATTCCTTAGCTTACATAGAAACTTTAAATTGCATACCAATAGTGAACAAACTTGGACCGTGAATGTGCTGAGGATGTAACCCTGGCATCGACATCGATTAACAGGGAGCCACCAATACTCCACATAGCCATTTTTCTCTCCAAATTTGTTATCAGATATCGTTGCTATCGTTGTATAGCTCGTCTCATTGATGTGAGTAGACATAGTGTTGAGACTAAATCTACGCCATTTGTTCCTTTGACTTTTCTCGCTCACTGGCTCCTTTAATCAAAGTACTAAGATCTCCCACTGGGATTTGGAGTGGGAAGTCTAGGGCCGCTAGCATGATAGCAAAAAAGATCCACCAACCCGCCAGTGATGTTACGAAAAGAGTCGCACCTGCAGCAATCTGCAATCTGTTTGCCAACGCCAATCGAGTCGCATCGTTATTGCCAATACCGTTTGCCGTGTGCCAATATACGGAGGTCAAAAGTGAGAAAGCAACAACCAATGTGAAAAATATTATAACAAAGACGACATTTGTGCGCAGAGAACAGACCAGGTATATGAGACAGAGGACCCCCATAAAGACAAAAAAGAATCCGAAAGAGGCGTTGAATCCAACTGTTTTCAAGCCGTCGGTTGGAGTACCGCCGGGAGGAGAGTAAAGCCCATATGCGTAGTAGAATGGTTGAAGTGTGGAGGCGAACGTAAGCCAGAAAGCACCGAAAGAGATAAATACCACAAAGGGGAAAGTGTTGCCTAGAACAAATTCGAGGAAACCGCCGACAATCATGAGGAGCCCACCAAAGAAGAAATAGGAACCACTGAAGGGTCGTTAGTGGATATAAAGACACGTTGAATGAGAGATCAAGACACTTACATTCCTGCCGCACCGTTGTTACCCGCCCCACGCCAGCCCATAAGATCACACGATAGTGGTGATAAAGTAATGAGAAAACCAACTATCGCTCTACATAATCAGTCAGCGTGTATAGAACTCACGGCTGCAAGACATGAACCTACACCGGAGTAGGGTTTCCAAAAGTTTTTCTCAAATCACCTTTCACGGCGTTTTGCGGAGAGAGATATATCTTCTCAAACAATTCCGGACTGATACTGATACTACCAGCGGTCTTAATCCTCTTTAATGCATCTTCCGAACCAATTGACATGTCGTTAATTTCATATGAATTGCTTCCCTCTCCGTAGTGATTGCTAGTATGTGAGAAATCCTTTTCCTGTGGGACACCACTTGAATTTGCCTGGGCGTTCTCCGTCGCCATGTCGGATTTAGTTCAAATCAACAGACGATAACTGATAAAACAGAAGCCAGTGTCAGTTTATTGATGTAGGAAAGATAGTAAGACGATATAGAAACATTTCGCGAACGTGGGAAATCGGGCATTATGTACATATTTTGAGATGTACTAAGTTTTCCCGCAACATTTGAAAATTTCGCCTTCTGTTCCTCAGGTTGTGAAGATCAGCGCACAAGAAGAGCTCAAACTGTAGAGCTCCTACGAAGAGTTGGATGGGATATCCAGGTCCAGCTTAGTGGGTGAACACCAAAGCCCTTGAGCTCGCCAAGTGGGAGGCAAGTCTGGAATAGATATTTTGAGCTAGAATATAGCTAGTATGGGGATATCTAAAAAACAAGCGCTGAGATCTATACCGGTATAGCAACTTGCTTCAACAAAACATCCGAACAAGGACATATTCCTCCGGATTGTATTAAACATCTGATTGCCACATAGTCCGTCCATGCTAACCGCGGGCTTTTCATTGTCAATTCGTGATTAGTGAAATAATCATGAAAGAGTTGTGCTGCCTTTTAAAATCCTCGTTTTAAAAGGGAAGTGTGGCATGTGCGAATCGTCTTACTTCTGTTGATATATGGGTTACGAGTGCTACAATAGGATTTCCAGTCAAGTTGAAGCACGTTTGGAGAACACATAAACTTATGCCTTTGATACGATAACTTAAAAATCCGGGGGAAAATTCGGACCTTAAACCAGCTCTTGAGTCACCCGGTAAAGCAGGAGATTGACCATTGGTTCTCAAAGAAAGCGAATCGGGGTACAAAGCTGCAGGGAATATTATTGAACGATACCACATATCAATTATGTCGGAAATTGGATCATCAAGGTGACAGAGATCAATATAAAGTTCCTCAATGTTTCCTCAAGGCTCGTGTTTTTGCCGAAGAAATAGCTCACCAGATTTCCCATCATTATTTCCGGAGATGTGCTGTCTTCAATTTTCTGTATGTCCGCAAGTCTTATCTTTGGTCAAGCTACCCAATATTTCACTCAAAATATCGAAAAATGTAGCATGGTGTGTCTTCACATCTAGCTTCTCTCTTGCTCGCATCAAATTTCGAGTCTTCGCCTGTTTATTATACTGAAGCATACATTCGATACCAGGGAATTTCCAAAGGCACACAATCATCAATGCACTGTGTGTCGGGAGCTCGGAGTCGGGACACTTCCCACAAGCTGACAGCGGCAATCTGACAGTTTTGATATGTAGTTTAGGCTAGAAATTGCCTCCCGTCACTCCGAATCTTTACATCAGGGGGACAAGATTTGGCCTGAAATCAGCCTACTTGTAGCGTAGGTTCAGTACACTATTCCTACTTGTAAGATAGGAACAACAAGCTGCCACCTCCATCAATTCAGTTGATCGTACCACGCCCTTACAATAATAATAACAATCGAACGTATGAACATTCAGACGGCCTTTGGAAATTATGTAGCATACGTACGACAAGTGGCAGGGCTTGTCACACATGAGCTGTGCTGTGCACGCTAATATGACCGAAATTGCCATATAATTTAGCTCCCCAAATTTCACAATAGGTTTCCAGTCCATCATTCGAGACCTAAAACGAGATTGCGTCTTTACTCGATCTAGTACGATATGACAGATGATAAGGAAGATCTGATTCGGCTTAAGAATTATTGAATATCCGTCTGGCTTTTCGGAAAGTTGCGGTTTTTTAGCATGTCTAGTATTAAAGTTTGATGCGCGTGTTGATCAATTTAGGTGCCGCTTTGACAACTCGTTGTTCCATCTATCCAGCGAGTCTCGTGATCAGAACAAAACAGAGGCTTCTTTTATATTGTACTGTTGATCGTCATTCGGTGTGTTGTTTAGAAACGTTTATTCGTTACTTGATGATTTGGCATATAAGACAAAACAAAGAAAGAGCGACGCTGTAAGAATATGTCACGTGGACGATCATCAAGTTATCACATGGGTACAATAATCCCCGGCCGGACAATAGATCTTCATTCGAATAATTGTGGGTATCCAATCACTTCTCCTCCCTCAGGTCCATGCCCAAAGTCTAGAATCGTATAAACTGTAGAATCTACTCGCAGAGCATTGGGACTGGCCAGTACATTAGGAAATTCAAATTTTGATGTCAATATCGAGCTGAAGAAATTTTCGTGCGATATTGTAGAATTCTTATCTAGTAAAACCTAACGAGAAGTTTAAGTTTGATCTACTCTGAAGGTTTGACCTGCATATACGAATCAAACGCGAAAAAAAGAGACAATCGATCACTCCGCCGCTTCCGCCGTCTCAACAGTTGGGATGATTACACCATTCTCAATGAAGACTACCTGATGGGCCTAACACTTTACAGACCATCCTTGTTACTCTCATCCCCGCTTCTCAATCTAAACTCCACCATTGGACCTTCATGCCAACTCACAAATCTGTCCCAAGTCTGGAACTCTTCCTTCCTCTCTCTGCCCCAACCCATCCCCTTCTTACCCTCGCCAAGTCCTACTCCCTCCTGAACACTCAATCGCATATCAAACTCCCAAATCAATCGTGCCAACACCACTCCCATCTCCTGATACGCTAGATATTTACCTATGCAGCTTGTTCTCCCAGTGCCAAATGGGGTGAATGCTTTTGGTTCAAAGACTTTGGAGTTTCTGGCATTTCCTTTTGATGACTCATTTTCACCCTCTTCATCAAGCCAACGCTCAGGCCTATAAACGAACGGATTTTCGAAATATCTTTCCTCGTGATGAATACTGTAGGCGGAGACCCCAACTGTAACTCCAGCTAGAATGGCGCAACCATCGATGACAGCTCCGCCTTTCATTACCTCCCTCGGTATATTCGCCCCAACACCGGGTGAAAGTCGCATGGCCTCGTCAATACACGCCGTAAGATATTTGTAGTCATTCAACTTTCCCCCAACTTTGATTTCACTGACCTTGGCCCATCTCTCTCTAATTTCCCTTTTCAAACGTTCGAAGACCAGTGGGTTGTGAAGAAGATAAAAAATGGTTGCCGTTAGCCCTGATGCAGTGGTATCCATGCCGGCTATTATCAAGACACCGGCTTCAGAGATCAACTGTTCTTGAGTATAGATCTGTCCCGCTTCTTGATCCCGTGCGGCAAGAATGGCGGAGAAAATATCTGTGTTAGCTAAATCATTGCTGTAATTGATCCGCCAATCTGTCTGAGATTTGCTGAGAGCAAAAAGCTTCTTGGCACCATGCATGAAAGATGGTGGAATCAATTTGAATAGGCCGAGTTTTTCAATCGTACGCATGTGCCCTAGCTATTGTTCGCCAGATTTTCAGTATCTATCTGGTCTTAGTAGATTAAGGGCTGTTTTACCGTGTTCATAGCAAGAGCCGAATCAGACATGAGACCAACCATATGACGATTTTCCTCATCATTTAACATACCCCAATTACGACTGAACGTTACATCGCCCATGATATCTGCTTGTAGATATGTCAAAGCTTTTGAAATATCGTGAGGGTGTGTCCATTCGCCCACTGACACCTTCCCATTTTTGCCCTCTCGAAGATATTCGGAGAAGCGTTGAGTGTTTCGATAGATAAGATTCTGTAGCTCTTGTACCGCCTGCGGATTCAGAGCTTTAACCAGAATACGTCTCTTGAGTGCGTGAATCCTCTTGTCGATAGTGGTGAGCACAGATGGAACTTTAAAAAAGTAGTGATATATTGTATAAAAGTCGGACTTCTGCGTGTTGGCAGCGGAGCTATATATATCTTGAAGAGCGGTGGTGCTATTGAAAGACAGTCGATTCGGTCCAATTCGTACAATCGGTCCTGGAAACATCGTTAATGGTTAGTTTCAGAGTGTCCAACAGTAGGAATTAGCGGACTAGATGCAAGCTTTCAAAATCTGAGAATGATTCAGACAATAACCTTGTTAAGGTCCAGTCCGTATTATTGAAAGTAATGTATTGCTTACCATAGATTTGATGGAGTCGGTATTCATTCAAATGACGGTCGCCCTTGAGGCAGAGATGAATATTGTACCAGTCTGTAACGGAAGCCAAAATCGGACCAGGATATCCTGCTAAAGGATGAAAATACAGGCGATAGAGGACAAACCAATTGAGCACCAGCAATAACAACCACAACGGAGCGTGTGGTCTGAAGCCGTCAAGGGTAGCCTCTTTGATGAGTCTTGAGAGACCACTCAATGCCCAATAGCCCACTACACATGCCGTCGGTCCGAACAAGAATACTCCATGCCATTTCTGGGGTTTACGACCCGCATGAATCCCCGACATTTTACTATTCTCCATTATATAACTGTCTTCCTAACAATCAGATAACTTGACACAATCAATTAGATTTGGAAAGTCATGTCAATTGAACAGATAGAATGGATCTGAGTGTTAAAAAGGTGAGTACGAAGTCATATTGAATACCCCGCACTTGTCCTACCTGCGAAAATCTCCAGAAATGGAAGGTGTGGTTACATTTCGTCACATGCATTGAAATGCAACACAAGACTTTCGACTAGACGCAGGTACTGGATAGAAGTGTAGCAAGGAAGCGTTGCTTGATCATCGCGTATTTTATAGATACATTGTATAACAAATTGAAAACGTCCCAAATCAAAACGACAAGTGACTTCAGACAAGGATTCAAACTCGTGATTCAGTACCATCTCAACAACGTCCGTCATACGGAGTACATTATTTACTTTACAACGGCGTCAATAATACTATGACTCTCGGAGAAAGGAAAGGTATTTGAATATTTGTATGTATAATGCAATGACTGGTACCAAGTCTTCTTTTGCATCCCGGCAAGAATAAAACCAAACGAAAGAGCATGATACAAACACAACAATCTCGAAGTAATTCTCTTGCGGCACGTAGTTTTTGCTTGAGCAACTTTATAAATAAACTCAATCCCAACCTATAACAGCCATTAACCATCTGCCGATTCCATGCTACAAGAGACGCACACAGTCGACCATCACTATGCATCTGGCTCTATGCCTATTGTATCTTATCCTTGAAGATGATGAAACGTTATCGCGCTCAGCATTCCTATTCATGGTATTGTTCACACTGACTAGATTTTCAATCGCATAAACCTAAACAGATATCTTGTCAACGGTATCAAAGCCTAACGTCGTCAAGTTAGACGGGAATATCTGCCACTCCAGTGCAAGATCCCGAGCTACTATGCTTCTCGGGTGTTGTCAATGAGTTCATCTTGCTTCGCTGAAAAATAGCAGACTACAGCAGATGCAATTTTAGGCACCCCGCACATTGAACAAATTTCATCCATCCAGTTCATACTCAAGAACATGTGAATCATTTCATTAACGTGTATGTGTAATGTTGAATTGATTTGCTGTAGACTTATGCTCTTCTGCTAGTCTCATCCAGGGATTTCGGAGTCACAGTAATGCTATCAATAACTGTTTTAGCCGCAACGCTTTTGCTGCGTCCATTAGAAAAAAAGGTGAAATCATCACCGGTCACTTGACTCCATGGCTGATCCCTCCACAAGACACAAGAATACAAGAGTAGGGATGAATTGCTGTTTGAAGCACTTCACCCTGGAAGATAAGACGTCTTTATCCATTCTAGACCGATCCGGGGTTTCCTTTCCGGAGTGGGGGCCAGAATTCAGGATCGAATTGCTGTACTCCACATATCAAGGTCGCGTATGTAGCGAATGCAAAATCGTGTTGGGAGCTGTCTTGCCACGATGAATATGTATATCACCTTGGAAATATGTCGATCAAGACGTGGAAGTCTTAACGCAATCCTTTTGGGCGACCCCTTGATGAGATACAGGAAAGAAGACACCGGATTTCCTGCCAGTACAGACTGCAGTTTCTAGACGAAAATCTAGATCTATGTTATTTAGTAGATCCCCATGCTTTAAATGAGATTGAAAATATTAAATTAATTTCGTCGTAAACTGAGTTTGAATGTGATCTTACCATATGAATGCATTATTGCAAACTTAGTCGGGAATAAAATGTCTTGCGTCGCTAGACAGCCTCGATCTTGAATTCCCAGCATGTAGAAAGCATTGGAAGGAAAGAAAGAAATGTTGTCTGCCTTGTACGGAGCCCGAAGGAGCTGCATAAATTAATATGGAGAGTGGAAAATAGGCGCCAGGCTTGAGAAGGTGATGATCATACTCTCAAAGCCCCATGCGCCAATGCACAAGATCTCGCACGAGCAGTCCCAAAGGAACTTGCGTAGCGTTTGCGAAGTGGATGTGTCGAAAACATGTTGGATTTAATCCGCGGAACGAAGATAAGAGAAAAGATAGATCACGCGTCTGATCTTCATGAAAGATGTCGACGCGTGTATCTTATCATTCCGCAAGGCCCGCCTGAAAGAGAATGAGTTGAGAACCGTTTGTAGGATTCCATGGCCACACCGTCCATGACATACATGGTGAGCAGCTGCACGGACGTAGTGTATGACTTGTCGTTATCTATGAGCTTCTATTTGTTGAGAATTGCTTGAGATCTTTGGGTACGTATCCCACTCTTCTAGAGACGATGGGGTTAAAAAACATCTTGTAAAACCATGTGGAATGGAAGTGAAAATAGAATTCCACATATGGAATATTTCACCGGGGAAGTTACCCGTAGCAAATGTGTCTAGTGCTGACATGCCATCCTGCTGTTCATTTCCAATTCACAAACTCAGGTCCCTTTGTTTTGATCCATGTGCAGATCGGAAGCACTCTATTCGGATATCCCACTTATCATGATTTGATGCCTCAGATAAAAGGAGCAACACCTAAAATACAGCAACATTCGAGATTCTAGATTTTGCTAAGAGAGGAAAGAGTGTAGGAGAGAAATGTTAAATAAAAAATTGAAAATAAAAATTGGATGCAGCGGACTAACTCTCCAAAACGACACCTGAGTGATTCGAACACTCGCTCCCGAAGGAAATGCCTGACTCTGAATCATTCAGTAGCAGGGCATCGCGTTAACCACTCCGCCAAAGTGCCTAATCATGTGACAATTATCGCATCAAAACAGTATATATCCAAAGATTGAGTGGACATCCAAAGAACAAAAAGCTCATTTTCCTTGTACAAGGCTGTGAGGAATGATAACTTCACGTAAATTCCTAAGGTAATGATATTGACCAGTTTTGGAAAGTACAATCGACGTGTCTTTCATTACCTTGGTATGACGCGCCATACCTTGGAGCTGAAAGACTATTCCTACCAACCGAAATTCTACCGAATATCATAATTTCAAACATTCAACTACCTAATCCAGAGGGAACCTGAACACACGAAATATTCTCTAATGCCACCATATCGCGCACGCATGACTCCATAGATCCTATAAGACCACGTTCGTAATGTAGTCGCGGTATTTGAGTACTGTCGACTTTGTATGAGCAATGACGTGGCTTTAGAAATCACCATCCGCAAGCAAATATTCCACAAAATCGAAGCGCTTCGACGTCCTAATTCCAACATAACACGCGATCCCCCTTCCAGATAGACCTTTTGCATGTGTTTAAAGGGTCGAAGTAACATCTTTGAGTGTTCAAGTTTCCCACTGGGTAGTTGGATCAACACAAAATAAACGCAAGATACAATCTGCCTTGTTCGCAGCCATTTGTATCCGTCGTCTTAAGCGCCAGCATTATGCGAAATCATGTTCGGATCCTTTAAAGAGAAGAACGGAATGTTTCAACACAGACCATCGAGTGCTCCCTGAGTCCCCTGCCAATCTTGTTCCGCAATAGCCACATTACCATGCTGCCATGTGTTATCCGGAACATGCCTGGAACATTTCTGTATGTTGAATAGGTGGGGGTTAATTCTCAATGTGATGATCAGAAGGTGTGAGAAGCTATGAGGCATGATCTGTTGAGGCTTGTGAAAAGCATAGGATCCATTCCTGCTTCACACGCAAGGGCAGAGGCCCAAGATACCAAAATATCATTATGCTTTTGAGTTTGAGCTTGAGCTTAAGCTTAAAATTGGTGCTGGTAAGCTTACCACAAACTCATTTGGAGCCCGTCTGATGCAATCATTGTAAATATATTCCCACTATTATGACTTAAGTGGGGCTATACAATTTCTGGGGTTCGTCCGCGTTGACTCCCATGTTCTAGGAGTTTTATTATCCAAGATTAATTATGGAGGCTCAAGCAAAGATGGGCATCGGCAGGATTTTGATACGGGTCTACCTGGTCTTGTACCGTCGACCAGGTTGAATCTTTTTGAGGGGAGATAATCACATTCAAACCGTTTATTAACCAACTCGCCTTTAGTGGAGGTTGCTTTTTTACTTCTCTATAGTTCTGGCCTTTCTTAATTACCTTGCTCGATTTAAAGTTTGTGACTGTTCCAACCACACTTCTTCAAACATGATAGACTTCGGAACGACACTACTTGAAATGGAACTACCTCGAACTTCCTACTGGCCCCAATCATCAAATTCTATTGTCCACTTTCAACCAAGATCACATACACCAAAGATGTCGCCAAGCCCTCCTGGGAGCCCAAGTAGTGTGGAGTCTAGTGGTATTAGACGATATCGTAGGACTACGGCTTGTACAACATGCCGCGATAGAAGAGTTGGTTTTTACTTCTCAGTCCATACTTATAGAATGTACTGATTCGATAAATCTAGGTAAAATGTAGCCGCGACAGGCCATCCTGCACCCAATGTAAGAAGGGGGGACGACTTTGTAAATACTTGAACAGCGAAATACCCGAGTTTGAGTTCATTGAGGTGAATCTATCCAGGAGTCCGGCTAGGAAGTCGCCATCGCCAGTTATGTCAAATCCAATCAGCGAAAGGAAATCCGGTATCAAGTTAAAAACAAGTAGCCGGTCGGTGGTTAAACAGTCTCAAATAATATCGTCTCGTTTCCCTCCAAAGATCCTGGCAAATGATATAGATACTCCATTCCATCAGCCCATCAAAAATTTAGCGATTACCCTTGGTGCACTCGGCGAAGATTTCATCTCCTATTTTCGGACGAAAGTTCCAGCGCGAGAAGTTTGTGATCATTTCTTGAACAACTTCATAGGACTACAATCTGCAGTGCCCATATGCAATATTGATACTCTTATAGATGAGTACACCAGCTTCTGGGCCAATTTGTCTCCTGAAACCTCGCTTGAAACTACCCTACTCATCTTAGCCGTTCTATATTGTGGGGCTGCTAATTCTACCATAAACATTTCACAAGCAACAACATTACACGATCTATACGAACAGCTATTAGATATAGTTAATCTTCCAACATATCATTGCACACACCGAGGATCATCTGCGATCCAGCTTCTGCAGGCTTACCTTCTTGTAAACACATTTCAAGCTAGCACATCATCCTCACAGTTCCGGTATGGATTTTTACTCCACGCAATTAGACTCGCTCAATCATTACAACTCCACTTCGACAAACCATATCAAAGTAATGGTTTCCAAGCTGAGGTTGAAAAGAGAATCTGGTGGCATTTGCTGTTTTTGGATCTCCAATCGACTATCACGACCGGCGCACCTTTGCTGATAACTAGAAACGGATACGAAAACGATGTTTCGTTACCCATGGTGCTGAATCCTGCCTCTAGCCAAGATTCAGCTTCACCGATGATGATCGCCTTTTACGGCCAGTGCCAGTGGGCGCGTTGTATGCGCGACTGGATCATGAAGATGCCAACACAGGGAGATGCGGTTCGTCTCGTTGAAAGCATCGAAAATCTTCTAAATTTATTACCGGGAGTAAAAGCAGAGAACTTGGGACCGCGGGCGTACCTGAAGTTATTGATTGATAATGTATATTGCCTTCTCGGCTTGAACTTCTGTCAAGCAAAACAATTGCAAGATATTGGGTGGCGAAATGATATTGTCCGGTTTGTTCATCACCAAAAATGTCAGTCTTACTCTTTATCACTAACATATTCAATCCAGGGCTGCAAGTTCGTTCCTGCAAAACTACCTTTTTCTATCCGACACAACCTCCATAACACCATTGAAGTGTATTCTTTCTGGTCTCATACAGCCTCACCACGCTGTCTTTATCCTCCTCATGCACCTTAGTCTGTGCACTTCCTTGGATTCCAATGCCCAATCGCTAAAAATTCTCGTGGACAAAGTCTTTGATGCCGAAATATCTAGCCCCAGACTTGGTGTCAGTCGTGCCGCTTCCAGATCGCCCGAATTCACTCACTCTAGCCCCACTTCTCGGATCTTGCGCAAGTCATATGGTTACTGTCGTCAAGAAATCCTCATCCTACTTTATAGAAAAGTCCAAGCCAAACTAGGCCGGAATACACCAAAATTCACAGTCATGTCTCGCCCTACTTCTCCCAATATCGGGGTTTTACCACAACTTAAAGGCTTGGTCTCGCGAGACGCGAAGAGCAATATTGTCTCCAGTGAGAATTCCGCAAGTGGACATTCAGGAACTAAATGGATGGAATTGGCTATGGAGATGAACACGGAGGATTGTATGATGGATAGAGAGTTGGATGATGTCCTTAGAGGCGGACGAGATGTATGGAATAAATGGGAAAGACTGATAGGTGCGGTTTCCAAGTGCTGAAAACTGGACTATGAGATGTTCGGACACGGACGAGAAATTTTTATGACAGGCTTGTAACTTATGAAATATCTTGGTGTAATAGCAAAAACAGCATCTTCACAGTTTGTCCATAAATGCTTTGTCTTCCCATCAGCATCTGGACTGATTTCATGCATGTATTAGTCTAAATTTATCCTCAAACTCTATTATAAGTATAATATACTAAATCACTTACTAATTTCAAGTGAAAAAGTAATATCACAACTGTAAAATATGTTTGAAACATGATTTTATAAGATGAAACTATGTATCTCATTATATAGAAATGGGACATGCGATTGGCCATATTATGAATAGCCATTAAGCATTCCGCCCTTACTGTTATAATAAATTATATTATTGGCTATAATCTAATAGTACCCTCCAAGATATTATAATTCAATTTAGACTGGAAGTATATGTACATAGATAATATTCATATTGCCCGCATTGACCTCAAACAAACACACGATCGCAAAGTCAAAAGATTTCAAACCTGTTCAGTGGACTCCTGAGTTTTAACACTCTTCCATTCCAGAAATAGAGAAGAGATAAACGCCAATGCAGTAACAGGAATTGCTGCGATAAAAACTTTCTGTAAAGCACCATTGTATACTTCCAATAGTGCAGGCAATTGATCCGCATCAACTACAGATCTGAAGCCTGTGGCACCAGCATCCAAAACTGCCTGGATATTGATTCCTGGTAGTTGTCCACTGTCATACGAGGCTTTCAATTGGTTCTGAAGAATTGTATTTCCAACAGAAACAAAAACTGCACCACCAAAAGACTGCGATGCGACCACCGCAGCGGTGCCGATAGGAATTTTCTCCAATGGCAAGACGGTTTGAACAGCGGTAAATCCTTGTTGGATTGCAATTCCGAAACCCGTCGAACTGAGAAGTTCGTAGCCGATCCACTCAGCTGATGTGGTATCAGTTCTGAATGTGCTGATGAATCCACAGCCTATCGTAGCGATTGCTGTACCGATGATAGCGGGTGGTGTAAAGTATCCGGATTTGGAGACGAGAACACCGGCCACGAGTGAGAAGAAAGCATTACAGAGGACATATGGAATCATGTCAACACCAGATGTAATGGCAGATGTATTCTTGATCGCTTGAAACCACTGAGGAAGATAATAGCCGTGAATAATCAAAGCTGAATAGAGAAAGAATGAGAAGAGACAGCTTGCTAATACGGTTCGTTGCTTGAGGATCTCAAGTGGAACCAAAGCTTTGTCGCCTCTGTACCAAAACCACAGTCCTAACACAATCATGGTTACACTGAAGCCGACGAGAAGGCCAATAACCATTGCGCTGGACCAAGAATTGCCCTAATGAATAGTCAGTACCTAGTAGTTGTAGACCGCCAAACCACGAGAATAGAACTTACCTCTTCAGTATGCTGGAAAGCTATGAAAAGCATAACGCATGCACCGAGCAAAAGAATATTTCCAAGAATATCGAGATCCAGAACTCGTGAGCCGAACGATCGTTTTGTGACTATGCTATTCTTAGGGTTGAAGAATAAGATCATGGCCAAGATGGTTACACAGCCGACCGGAAGATTGAAGTAGAAACACCATCTCCATGATACTTTATCTGTGAAAACTCCTCCCATCAATGGTCCCACTGTAGCTCCTAGTCCGAACCTACGGTTGAATTAGTCTAAGGACGAATAGCCAATTTGAAATACTCACATCAAACCCACAGCTGCGGTGAAGACGGGACGTCTCTGTATCGGAACACTATGAGCGACCACAACAAAAGACCCGGTCAAAATACCCGCACTCCCAACTCCAGCGATTGCACGCCCTATAATCAATGTGAGAGAATTCGGAGCTACACCACAAATCAATGATCCTATCTCAAATAGCGCGTTTGCGCCTAGATATGACCATTTGATACTGAAAATAGTAAAGATTCTTCCATACATCGGTTGGAACGCGCATGCCGTAAGTAGGTATGCACTTCCATACCACCCAACGTCCGCGTATGAATGAAATTCTCCACTAATATATGGAATCGCCTAGTAGAAAGCTTAGTAATGCGTGCAACGAAGGAAGTGGGAATGTCAGGCATACAGTTGTAATAATTGTTCTATCCAAAGAAATCAAAAGCACCGACAAGCAAAGCCCGATTGTGAGAATCGTCAAAGCAAGGGTTCCAGGATACTCGATTTCCGCATCCAATTCTTGTGGCTCTGGTGGCGCAACAACCTCCTCATTTTTTTCGGTCTTGGCGCGAGCCCCGAACGCATCCAGATTACTGGTGGAGGACAACGATATTGCGTTTACCTCTTTGGTTTCCCAATCCACCATCTCATCTATATTCTTCATGAATTGGTCACTCCATAATCCCGGTTTCCCGGGGTGTCTTTGCTCTTCCACTGGAGTTGATAATCGATGTGGTCGCTCATAGGTCTTGCTTCGCTTGGCGCTGGACACGGATTCACTAAGCGTGCTTTGAGATGCTAGATGTCGAAGTGATGGAGCTGCAGATGCTATGATATCTGTGAACAGTTCATTGAGGACAGCATTATTTCGAGGTGCTTTGTTCGGATCAATATCCGAAGATTTTCGTGTCCCACGAGATGTGGTAGGTTGTAATATTCGAATACTTTCCTCCTCGAGTGATGTTTTTTCCAACTCCATAATAGATTCAGGTCCTACACAATCAGAGCCTGCTTTCGTACTCTCCATAGTAGAGCGACGCGAAATTGAGCTCACATTGCGCGACTTTTCTTTGAGGTTGTCAAATGAATCGTGGGAGACCTTTGGCTTGTGTTCTTCTGGCTGTTGAGGACTTCGTTGAGAATTTAACCTCTCTGTCGGTGTCTCCTTGTTGCGGCCCAACTGTGATTCTGCTTCTCCAAACGTAGTTTCTGCGAGCTGAGGTTTAGTTCCATCTTTGATCGCTTCCACATTGTCTTTAGAGCCTTCTTGTCTACCAGATCCTTTGTTTACTGCTTGTTGATTGTTGTCAGTATCTGAATGATGAGAGAGTCCACTGGCCTCATTTAAACCCGGTTGGCCTCCTCTGTCATCCAGAGTAGTTTCAGATGACGGTTGTACATGGAAAATCCGACGCGAAAAGTCAAGGTCTTCCACTAAAGCTGTATTTGGTGCTGCATTTTCAATTGGAGAGCTCGCTTCACCGTCTGAACCCATATTTGCATCTCCAGGGGATGCCTTCGTGGTATTTTTTGATATTAATGTCGATGTAAAGTTGTTTCAACTCCTTTGTTCACTACAATCCAAATTACTATGTGAGATATTGGGTATAGTTGATTACGTAGGTGAACCATTAGTTGCGGATACGGGATTGCCGATCAACAATATATACTATTGCAGATATGCGGGCTACAAATTAGTACAGATATCCGGCACCATTCGGGATGAGAATTGGGTTTTTCGATGTAGATCTTTACCGGAGAAATTGGTCTGTGACATCTCATCCACCTAAACATTTTAGGTTATTTGGATCACGACCCGAATTTTCGATGGGCCGACGCTGTGACAAAAGCTTCTTTTGTACGTATGGATTGATCTCCAACAGACAAAGATTTATTCAACGTGTAAAGATGAAGTCATTTTAACACCATGTGACAAGTGTGCTGCGATTATTATCTATGTACGCGGCATATTAAAAATTATAATATATACAGCAAGCAATGAAAACCTTATATCTAGAACACATGAGCGTTGGTAGCTCATAAGATTTGGTGCTTCTTCAGCCCCACCAGTTGAGCAAGAGTAGAGAAAACACCAACTAAGCCAGTACCATCAGTGTGTCTTCCTAATGCCTCAGATTCACCAGTAAATGATGCCTCCAACTCCTGCTGGCTCTCCACAGACAAAGTGTCTGCAATTTTCTTTCCCCTCAACCTCTCTTCCTCGATCTTTGCATGTGTCCATTTTTCAAAGTTGCCTGATTTGATTTCTTCATTCAATTGCACATCCATATCATTCTTCTGAAGATCATCCGGAAGCAGTCCGGAAGCCTTCATCATGAATTCAGGGCTAATTGTTTTGCGGCCTTGCTTGAAAACACATTTGCCAAGCGAGGATGCTACGACGCCAGCTCTTGGATCCAATTCCTTGCGTTTTTCATCATCTTCGTCTGATTTCTGCTGTGGATAAAGGGTGTATGACTTTGGTTTTGAAGAATCCTTTCGAACAAAATGCGTGACAGTCCATATCCATTTCTCGTCCCACGATAGAATTCTTGTCCACATCTCATATGATTCATAAGGCTTGAGTTCCTTCTTAAAATTGCAATTTACTGCTCCCAAAGCAATGCCGAAAACAGGTCCCTTCGATCCTGTGACTGCCTCTGTTCCACCTCTCATCTGTTCAATGGCCTCGGAGAATAGCGTACAAAACAAGTGTGTTCGAGCTACATCAGCATCTGAAAAGTAGGAACTGTTACTTTCTAAGGGGAGTCAGCAACTACACACCTGGAAAAATGATAGCATTCATAACTTACTATGGAGGTTCAAGTCAATCTCCATCAACGGGGCATGTGACTCAGTGATCAAGGGCTGGAAAATTTGGTGTGGTCCACATTTAACTTTTGGCCTCTGTGAGCGAAGACAGAATCGAAAGGCGTTAACAATACGTAAATGCCAAATCAATGGCAAAGTCTTGAAATTTCCAATGGCTAGCAAAATGACAGCAAGCTTCCATACCGTCAACGACGTATAAAGATAATCTAAACATCTCAGAAGAATCTGTAAAGAGTACGTAATGATGGTCCAGAGAAGAGTTTTGCTTTGGAAGAAAGGTTGAATGGTAAACCCAGTGTACAGGTGCGTGGTTTCCGTACCACTGACTGTAAAGTTGTTCATTTTGAATTCCGATGGTTTGAAAGGTGCTGAAAATGGAGAATTCTGCGATGCAGAATATTATTTTAGAATATTTGACATGTGTAAAGAATATGAGATCATAGAAAATAGAAAGAAGAAATCATTTCGGTTTTCTGTTACTAAGATGCTTGAATTCACCGCCAACACTGCAAATGGCAAGAGCTAGCCTGAACTTCTATTAATACATGTCGTAGATGGCGCTCAGATAGACCCAATATTCGTGTGAGATTTACAGTCTTTTAAGTTCACTAAGATTTCGTGAAAATTGAGCACGATAGCCTTCCATGCAGAGATCTTCGTTCGCATTGTTTGTTACCAAAACCAAAGATCTACCTTGCCAGGTTGATCACCATACACGCTAGTTAAATGAAGACGGCTGGGCGAGGATACATCATTCCAGTTTCCTGCGGCTCTTGCATTAGTTTAAACTCCAATGGACTAGTGCTGATCTCTTTCGTTTCCCAGTTGGGGTTCCGCGTGAAACCACTATGTGTTAATAGTATAAAGATCTACACATAAAACCTGGACGTGGCCGAGAAAGTTAATCTATCAAAGGTCCGAATCGATTACTGGCTCGATAGCGGGTATAAAAAAGACTAAACTGACTATGTTCTAACCGACCTTGGGCCGACAATACCTTAATGGGAGTCAAAAGACATTTTATTTGATTCATATACCCTTTCCGGGTTAGGGTCTTTCTCTGAGATCTACACGCATGGTTGCTTTGATTTAGGGCTGACAAGATTGCGAAAGCTGGCAGTTCTTTAGAGTCAGTGCAAATGATTGTTGCCAAAACCTGTATAAACCGCTCGAGCATGTGGATATATTCCTGGAACCAGGTAAAGGCTATTAGACCTAGCCCAGGAAGTAGTTGTTGTCAGTCTGGATAATGATACTGCCGTATTATCTAATCAAATTACACAAAAGATTGTATTTCACATGTGAATATGGTGCAAAATTCCAGATATTACAATCGTTTTCTATTCTTACATTCGAAGCTCTCGCAGGGAGAATATACATTATGCTACAAAATAAAACTTATCAAATACAAACTTCACCATCCAATCTCCATTAGAACTACTTCTCGAATTTATTCTCCTAAAACCCTCCTAATATGTGTCTTGTACAGGTATCCCCCAAAGCTAAAGAGAGAAAGCTCCTCAGCCCATGGCTTTGTGGTGTAAAACTTCAGTATTTATGACTTTACTGCAGTTTTAACATCCTGGGACTTGATTGCAGTTCTCTTCACTGTAGTCTTCTTGTATGTAGCAAGATAGAAAGAGATGAAAAGAAAGAGGTAGGAGCTCAAAATGGTGCAGCCAGCGAAAGCAGCAAATGGCTCACCAGCACATGTTCCGATGTGGGGGAGACCGCTGAAATAGGCGCTAGCATAGTAGTTGTATGTGGCGAACTGGAGAAAAGTCAGTAAGAGTTTTGTTTCCTGATTTTGAGACTTACATAAACTGCGAAAAGATCAATGACAAATTGGGTAATTTGCATGCGAGTAATCCATTCCTTCCACGTGATCCGGATTCCACGTGCACTCTGGAAGTAGTACCAATACATCACAACGTGAACGGAAAGATTGAGAGTAATTGGGACCCAGGATACTGGAGTGTGTCCAACAAGTTGAGTATAGCACAAGAGGGCTGTTGCTGGGTGATGATAGCAGTGAAGGAAAGCTAGTATAACAATAAGCATTGCATAAGTTCAGGTTCGGTTGTGACTTACTCAAAGGCTTCTTCTTGAGGAACAAGAAAACTGTATCAAGCAACTCCACATATTTGGTGATATAGTTCAACTGTATTTCTTCATTAATATAATCGTTTCTCAAGTCTCGGGAATGTAAACATACGTAGTAGAGAGTAACCAATGGCTTGGTCCATCCAGTTCCACCGCAAACACCATCAAACAAGCCATTTTTCCACAGACTTGGAATGAGCTGCTGGGCAAACAGAACGAGCAACGAACCGCTTACGACAGTCAACATCAAGTTGTGTGCCATGAACAAACCATTCAGTTTATATGCTGGACGGTTCTTCATCCATGCTTGACCTCCGAAGATGATTACGTAGTAAAGAGCTATTGTAACAAGAGTTCCTTTCAACGTAGCCATTGGCGTCTTTCCTGGAATGAACTCAAAGTCTTCGGCAGGATATCCTGCTATCGATGTCCAGAGTTTGTCGAAGGCTTCCCATGGGGAGAACTTGATGGCCCCATCGAGCGGCAAAAGAAGTGTACTGCTTGACATATTGGCTGATGCTGTCGCAACTCGTGGGAAAAGAATGTGTGAGATAAGAATGAGATTCAAGATGGGATTCTGATTTCAAAGAGAATTTTGTTATTTTAGGGGCTGATGATTATATCTTAAAGAATTTTGCTTCTTTCGAAAGATAGGGAGACGGTACTAATCCTAGTTGAAATGCCGTTTCTCATACATTGAAAACTTTGAAAACTTCCATGGACTAGTGACGACGATCACAATCAAGGCTAGAATTTGTAGTACTGATGATCTGAGCCAAAATCTCGAGCTGAGTGATTGAGAGTTTGGAAACTACTTTCAGTTCCATGGGTCTGCAAAGTCTACTTCCTGGCTAACTTTCGCCATGAAGTGGAGCTTTGTCACTATGATGAATGACCGCCATCAGGGGCGACGGCAAGTGTAACGACAGATTTGGGGAAACAAATTGAGCTTCCGGACGTTTCAAGCATCGAATTATTGCTACCACTTGGCGTGCATAGAAATGATCGAATGGATGAATTTCTCCGAAGTACATGGACTAGCTCCGCATTCGCTATTAGTAAGGATCCATAAATGATGTGTCGTAAGGGGCCTTGTTGGGAACGTCTAAGTAGAGATAAGCTTTTTGCGGGTACCTTTCGCCTATCTTGAATCTTGATGATCGCGCAATTACTCGTTCCGGCTGTCTGCTTCCCGCTCACGTTGAAATGCTTACTAGCGCTTGGAGATCAGCAGCAACAGTGGGGATGACACTAATCCAATCCGCACAAGCGGACCGGCTGTTTCACGTTATTCTTTTCTCGAATATTTAAAGTTCACTTTTTGAGTCAATTAGAATGATTTCGATAGACTCATATTCATAAAATGCTTCTTGCACATCTCCACAAAGAAGTTTTTGACCCACTCCCTCTGAAATTCCATCACGCCGAGTAATTAGTTAAGACAGCAATTTTGGCGTGCCAAGCAAGGATGTGTCCATACCGTGCTGGCATTGTACGACATGTTAGCCGGATATATCGTTTACCGTCTATTGAAAGTTATTTGTATTTGATACATTCTTGGGAATGCACTTCTGCAATATTTGTGGAGAATTTTAGATAGATTCGATCGTAAATGTGTGACGACGATCAATTAGATCAACCTTTTCGAGCATTCTGGCTGAGATACACCAAGTGTTGTTGAAATTACGACCCACAAGTATAGACGGTGAATAATTTCATTAGCATTTCGAATTCATTCATCAGTGACATAATTCCTGTTTTTGTCTTGTCGTTTCCTTCTCAACTCATTAACACTTTGCTTTGAGCAACGATATGGCTATCGAAGTATCTTTCGCCTCCCTTTCTGGGGCAGCGACATTGATTGCACTCCTAATTTCAAAGAACTCCTCGTGGGGCACTCTATACTCACTCCAGATTGTCTTTGGAGTCTTCATACCATTATATGTCTTTTACCTCAGTTACATCTTCCCATTCTATATTTCCGAGCTGCGACATGTTCCTACCGTCCCTGGCTTCCCTCTCTGGGGTCAGTTCTTTGAAATTATCAGCACTGAGATTGGTGTGAAACAGCGTGAATGGCATCAAACACACGGCCCAATCATCAGATACTTCTTTCCCTTTGGAGCTGAACGTCTATCGGTCGTAGACGACGATGCAATCAAGCAGGTATGATAGATCAGTATAACAACTTACTTTTTATAATCTTTAACATGAACTCGTAGATGACAACCAGAAATCCATACAACTATCCAAAGCCAGTGCGCGCGAAGTTGTGGATGGTCAGAATTCTTGGAGAAGGTGTACTTCTTGCTGAGGGAGATGAGCACATCCATCAACGAAAGTCCTTAGCACCAGGTTTCTCTATCCAATCGATTCGAGCGCTCTACCCAGTATTCTGGCAAAAGTCATTGCTTCTCACCAAGCTTTGGAAGGAAGAAATGGACGCTGACTCGGTAAAGAGTAAGCCTTTTGAGGTTTTGGAATGGTTGAACCGCACAACTCTTGACATCATTGGTGCCGCCGGCTTTGGTGTTGATATCAACTCTCTCGAAAACCCCGAAGCTCCAATTCGTGAGGCCTACCGACTTGTCTTTGCTTTCGACATCGGATCCCGTATCTTGCACGGTCTTCAAGCTTTTATTCCATCCACTAAGTACATTCCCGCCAAGATGAACCGTGATATGGAGAGTTCGCGAAAGATTATTCTCAAGACTGCAACAGATATCATTGACGAGAAGCAAGAACAAGCTGCTCAGAGAACTAACCATAAGGACATCATCGCATTGATTGCTAAGGACAACTTGAAGATGAAGGAAGCTGGCGAAGAAGGTTTATCTTTCGAGACTATGCGTGATCAAATTATGGTAAGCAGAAGTTGTAAATAGCTCACTGTAATCTTGCGGAAGACTAACATACATTGTCCACAGACATTCCTTGGAGCAGGCCACGACACAACAGCAACAGGTTTAGCATGGACAATTCATCTTCTCTCAACTCATGCGGAAATTCAAGATAGACTCAGAGCCGAGATCCGCGAGCACATGCCTTTCCTATTCGATCAAAAAGCCCGTTATGAAGGAAGTGTTGAAAAGACTGATGCGGATCTTCTACCATACCTCGATAATGTCTGCCGTGAATCTCTCCGCTTCATTCCACCCATCCCAATGACAGTCCGACAATCTCTCAAAGACGATAAATTGGGTCCATACACGGTTCCAGGCGGTACGGTCATCTATATTCTCGCAAACACTGTTAACCATCTTCCTATGTACTGGGGTCCCACAGCCAATGTTTTTGACCCTGATCGCTGGGACAAATTGCCTTCTACTTTCACGGCGAATGCTTTCATGACTTTCTTGCAAGGCCCTAGAGGTTGCATTGGACGCAAATTTGCAGAGACCGAAATGAAGGTTTTGATTTGTTGTTTATTGAGCATGTACAAGTTTGAGCGTGATGAGAGCGTGGAAAACCCCGAGGATTTGAAGATGTGGAGATTGGTTTTGAGACCAAGAGATGGTCTTCAGGTTAAGGTTACTACCATCTAAAGTTGTTTTGTAATTGATGCGATGTCAATGTTTGTCGGCTTGAAGGAAAATTAGGAGATGGTGCAGAATCATTTTAATTTTTACATAGATTTTTTTCACAAAGACTCTTGCTTGTAAGAGCCCTGGTCATAGTTTACGCACCCTATCCATTCTGTAGTATAATTCTTACAAAATTCTTGCTCTCCTATATAAATTGAAGTACTGAATGATCTCCAAAAAGTGAATTGACTCAACCGAAATTCGGATATGTAGAGGTACCTCGGAGCAAAAGTTTAAAAAGCTATAATTCTTTCATGAAAATAATAAAATTATTTTGCCTTAACTGATTATTAGTTTTACTAATGAACAATCATGGTTCTGAATTTAATTTTTCACCAATCTAATATTGATATATCAAGTAGATGATAGTCTGGGTAGATCAAGGGTCTCGTTGCGTCTTCGCCAAAGGTGTGAGGAGCTATGAGTAAAACTTACACAAAAACCTCGATACCGTCGGACAGAATTCATAAGGTGTATACACACGAATCATGCATAGAAGTCAAAGAGGGGCTGTTTCCATTCTCTCTGCCCTCTTCGTATGAACCGGGAATATCAAGATATGGTACCCCTATTCTACTTTGCCTAGGGCACTGTCACATACGTCATGCGCGTACGAGAGTGGGGAGAAGGCGGGTTATATTGCCATTAATCCGACAAGTGCGCTTGTTGAGTGCTTGAGAGCATGGTTCTTCCTATCTTGCACGGCAGAAGCCAAAAATAGACAGAATTTGCTAGGCTCCCGAACTTGTCAACTGCTCACATGCCTGTATATTCGAAGAATTCGTAATTCTCACTTTGCAAGACAGGCAATTCACATTCTTAAATTCATTTGAAGTTCATAGAATCGAAAACTCGGGGCAATGGATGGAAACAATTTCAGAAAGGTAAAAATGTATATATTAGAATTAAAAATCTCCACAAAAATCATCTCGCCAAAAAGTTTTTTCCCCAAATTTCAACTATCATCTCACAGACATGCAAACTCCATCTCCTACTACATATTCTCAAGGATCTCGGCATCATCTCTCCCGTCCCAGTGAAGCGCGATCAATGCATAGCTGCCGTGCCAGCTTATGCACTGGTGCTTCCCTCTCTGTTAACTGTAACCGGGTTGCAGACAGCAATTCCTACGCAATCGATATCAATGGGAAGAAGGAGCTGGTTGTTCACATCGATCAAGGAATTTCCTTCTCGATCGCCTTGTACTTGCTCTGGGTTGTTGATGACTGGGTGAAATCCAGTTTGTTGAATATTGGCGGGCTGGACATCGGCGGGTTGGACATCGGCGGGTTGAACACCGGCGGGTTGGGCATCGGCGGGTTGAACAGTGCCTGGGTGGACTGGGGTTGGGTGGACTGCAGCTGGGTGAACTGGAGTTGGGTGAATCACAACTGGTTGGACTGGAGCTGGGTGGACTTCAGTTGGGTGGGCTGGGGCCAATGGACCCTCTCCTGCTTGAGCAGCCTCGTATCCTGGGTTTCCTTCATGGCGACGGAGCAGCTGTCGATCAATCTGTTAGAAACGACTTCTCAATAGTTCTATCTGAAATTTTACTCACACCACTGGTATTGGCTGGAACGATTTGGCCTAAAGCGTCAATCGATGAGCCCTTGCTAACGGGAAGAGCAATGCTGAAGTCCGCAAGGACAACAACGAGAGCAAGAGCAGAGATACGGGAGAATTGCATGTTTTCGGTTTGGGGTTTTGAGTAAACGAGTTTGTTTGATGATTAAGTGTGGTGAGGTGAATGAATGAGTGGATAGTTTGCTAAATGAGTGTGATTGTTGATGAATGAATGTGAAGTGTTTGATGAATTATTCGATTTCTAATGCAATGAGAATGAAGATATATACCGCAATCCTGGCGACTGACCGGTTGTTCGACCAGGATTCTCAGAATCTGCTGATCATACTGATCTACCATTTCTGAGACATCAAGAGACCCCGAAAGGGAATCTGGTGTTCCCAAGAAGGCCGCTGAGCGAGTAAAGTTTTCCCTACCGCCGGATCTTAGATGCGAAAGGGAGATCGGCAGGCCATGATCAAGCAATTGTGGATACAATGGAGCAAACATTAAGCTCACCTTCATTTAATAATCTTTCCAAACTAACATCGATGAACTCCTTGTCGACCGCTTGAAACGCCACAAAATACTTTAGTGTAATTGACAACGATACTTAACACTGTCACGTGAGACGATCGCATTCGGACATTTTAAGCTTGGCGATCTAAGGCCAAGCGAAATCTGGTCAAGTCAGGGACAGCGAAGCTAGCGCTCCTTCAGCTGCCCCACCAAAGCACAGACAGAGATTTGTCGTCACCGCTAAAGACCCACTAATTCGGAATGTTCTATGCAATAACAACGGACCACACATAAGACATACTGTACCAGAACGAGAGAGATTTTGCAAATCGCAATTTTGGTGATTCTGCTTGAGTCAAATTTGATTACTATACTCCATAGTTCACAATATAGAACAATTGTTGTCTAGATCGAATCGTTATGTCTGAACTATCTTGCGGAGAGTCAGAGTCCGAGGTGTCGATGAACTTTAAACACTACTATCTCGTCCAGACGTTAAATTTACGTTCTCGGACGACAATGATACAATGGCTGACATCGAGGATCTCTCGATCCTTTTCCCCGCTAGAAAAGTTTATATCATTTTTTTGGATAGTTGAGTGGATCTAAGAGATCGTCGGCTATCTTTTTGAAGGATCCTTGCTGACGATTCTTGATCGGCATCTGAAATACCCTCGTAGCACATCATAAACTCAATTAGGCGACAGGCTACCCGTGGCTCGTCTAAGTCTAGGAACAAGATTGCAAAAAGTTTTATCATGTTAAGGTATTAATTTTATATCCACTTCAACAAGATATTAACGTGCATTTCAGCGAGATGAGTCATGTGTATTGGTGGATTCTGTGTTTTTTGTAGAAGTCGCCAGCATCAACTCTATAATCGATAAGTTCAAGATATACATCGTTTCAAATAAGATTACTGAACACCACAACCCGATAAAAAAATTGGCTCTTGATGACATGCCCAAAGCCTGACCCTCAAGAGCACCTCCACTCTGCGAATTGACCGAAAACCTTGTCCTCTCTCAATGCCAGCAAACATTCTTTGCGCAAGCCCATGCAAATCTCCAAGCCCCCCTCTTCAGCTCTCTCTCCCTCGCCTCCGGGAATTCTCGGGAAAATGACAAAGACTCCATCAGTCTTCAAACTTCTCCACCTAAATCTTTTGCATTTACCACCTAGGTTGTCCCCCCAATCCAAGCCGTAATATGGTTGTCCCGACCAAGATGAGCATCCAGCATTACGTTGGTAAGATTCAAAGCCGCTTGGCTCTAATCGGTTAAGATCCGACACCTTCTGGATTGCTTTGATCACGTCTTTAACCCTCGCCTCATCAACGTCACGCACTGATTGGCGAACGATGCGTGCGATGGCTCCAATATCTGCAGTATTCGAGGACATTGATATCAGATCAGAGAACGTGCTATTGGATTTGGCAATCAATACAACATTTCCAGTGAAAGTTGGGGACATAGCAGGTTGAATGCGGTTGCGTCCGTTGACCGTCATGACGAGCAGTGAAGGAGTAGATGGCTCGACGGAGTTTGAAGTAGTTGAACGTGCCGAAGTTATCCTAGACCAAATGAGTGCAACCAAAGCATCGTTTGTAGAAACCCAAGATGAATCGTCCGAACCCTCATTAGCCAGCTCTTTCAGACGTCGCAAAGAATCGTCTGAGAAGAAAAATACACCCGTTCCCACTACATCTGAAGAAATCGAAACGTATGGCGTGGAAGATAAATCCTCTGGCAACAGTTTATATTCTGGATAATCCTCCAATTTACCCATTCCCTGTCCTTGCAACAGAGCAGAGTTATCAATCCATTCTTCAGTCACCAATTCATGACCATTTCCCCCATGACAGAATGTAGACCACAATTTTAAAACATTAAACATTCCCGCTTCATCCATAACACAATGATGCACGGCGCAAACCAAAACAATGCCACCCCGGATGATGTTTGCTTGTGCAAGAAAAACTTGAGAGTTATTTCTTACCAAATCTGGTAACACATCTCCATCAACTGCATCGGTAGGAAATTTATTGGCTTGAATACTTTGAAAGTCATATTTGGAACTGAGATCCTTCACCGAAAGGATTTCATTGACGTTGAAATAAGGAGCTTGCACGGAAAGTGAGCCTATTTGACAATTTGGTTCTCGGGATGGCCCAACCGATGCGGCAAGGACAGGAAATGCCGATATAGTTTCTGAAAGGCCATCTTTGATAGTTTGAATGATAACTTGGGACTTTGAATTGGAAGAGAAATAGAGGAGCTTGGGGACGTGGACGTGCGGTGATAGGTGGTCGAGTGGGGAGAGTGGGTATGGTTTGTTCATGATTTCGATGCAGAGTGCAGATATAGATTGTGGAAGCAAGTTTTTGATCAGTAAGATGACATGTAATTGATTTCAATAGAACATGAATGCTCTGGGTGATTCTTGGTTTTATTACGACTTACAACCGGGGCATTCGACGATGAACTGGCACAACAAATATTGACAACGCACACCACTTCATCGGGCATCTCACCCGTAGAAACACGTATAACCATATCCCTTGATAGTTCCTACTTAGCTCAGCACAACCCTCTTTTCAATAATTGACGTACTAGTAATAACCCAGGTGATAGTATTGTGGACCGCTGTACCGAGGATATGATCTACACGCACTAGCGGTACCCTGACTAGGCATTTCAATGAAGCTTATCCAAGTTCCGAAATATTATATTTGTCAATAATGGCACTGGAAAGGCGTTATAGCAACGCTCATGTATCATGCAGAGTCTAAGGTATATCACAATTAGCCCACTCTATTTTGTTTTTTTTTGAAGATCTTCGCAATGTCCAGTTGATGTATGTAGCTCCTCACTCTTCCTTTGATCCCTGTTCCAATCGAAGTTCCTCTCAACAAGATTTTACTTACCATTCTATTATGCTCCATTGACAAGTACCATTTGAATTGATAAGATTCTCGAACACCTGAGATCATCAAAATATCATCAATTCGTTAATTCATGTATATCTTTTCTCTTTCTTTGTACATTGGCGTGTTTGCCGTCCTTTCGAAATGCATTTCCATCTTCCTCGCTCAGCGAAGACGTCTACAAGAATCCGAACGGCATGGCTGCGCGCCCCCTCCAACAGTGTCTAGATTTGATCCCTTTGGCATCATGAGTGTTCTTGCAGCAGCGAGAGCAAATCGCGAAGGAAGAAGCCCGATATGGTTCATGGAACTTATGGATAAGATATCACCCGATACTTTGACGGTGAGGGGAATGGTTTTAGACACTGAGATTATTATTACAAGAGATCCAGGCTTGGTGCAGTTCATTCTACAAACTGAGGCAAACAAATGGGATATTGGACCACAAAGAAGGGAGATTTGGAGTCCCCTTCTTGGCGATGCTATCTTCACTGCTCAGGGTATGTTACTTTCACTTGATGATGAACATGCAATTAGTTCTTGTGTAACACGAACGCTAATTTCAAGAACACAGGCGATGCATGGAAACACTCCAGACAACTTGTACGACCACAATTTTCGAGAGATAGAGTATCGGATCTCGATCTCGAAGAGCGACACGTCCAGGCATTATTTGCTCGTCATGAACTTCAAAGCACTCAAGATGGCTGGACAGGAAAAGTTGATCTAGCCCCTCTGTTTTACAATTTGACTTTGGACGTTTCAACTGAGTTCCTCTATGGAAAATCTGTACATTCTCAAGAAGCGGGTAATACAGCCAGTCCAAACCCCATACAGAGCATAGAAGACACGGATTTTCGTACTTTCGGACGTCATCTTGATGCGGGAAAAGAAACATTATTCATGAAAGGTATTGCTGGTCGGTGGAATGGATTTGTGAAAGGCCGCAACTTTGATTATCACCGCGATGAGGTGCATCGAATGGTCGACAAATTTGTGGAAGGATGCCTCCGTCAAACTCAAGACGAGAAAAGTCCAGAACTCGATTCGGAGAAAAAGCCATTTTCGCTTTTGGATGAATTGGCGAAGGTAAATCAGGACCCAGTCCAGCTTCGCCACGAAACGCTGCAGGTACTCAACGCTGGGCGCGATACAACTGGTTCATTGCTCGGCTGGATATTTTATTTCCTTGCACGTAATCCAGATGTCTACTCCAAACTCCGCAGCATCATTCTCTCTGACTTTGGACCATCCGGTTCAGAGATCTCATTTCAATCTTTGCGATCTTGTAAATATCTTCAATATGTGATTGACGAGTCATTAAGAGTTGGTGCACCTGTTCCATTGAACGATCGCACTTGTAATCAAGATACTGTTCTACCACGCGGAGGAGGCCCTGATGGTACACAACCTATGTTTGTACCAGCTGGGTCAAGAGTGTTGGTATCAACATACGCGATGCAATATAGGAAAGATATTTGGGGTGAGGATGCCGAGAAGTTCAGGCCTGAAAGATGGGAAGGGAGAAGGGCCGGATGGGAGTTTATTCCCTTCGGCGGAGGTCCAAGGAAATGTATCGGTCGTAAGTTTCCCCGTCTATGAGATGCCAAATGTATAGATAGCTAATTTGCATTGGCAGAACAATTTTCGTTGACTGAGACTTCATATATTATTATAAGATTTCTTCAAAAGTATGATCAAATCGAGAATTTAGAGAAACCAGGCCCAGTACTATATCACCATACTGTCACAAATCGAAGCATGAACGGGGTACAGGTTAGATTGCATAAGGCAGATCCTTTGAGTATTGTTTGATTTGTGGGGTTTAATTGGGACGTTCGGAGTGTATACCATTGTTCCATTGTTTTATTATTTTTTAATTAATCTTCTATATTATTGCCATGAGCACAGCGTCCAAAAGCCAAGGACAGTTGTGCCGTTGCCATGTTACCAACAAACAACATCACTAAACTTCGTGACCATGACAATCAAGAATAAAATGTGAACTGAATCTGGTAATCATCATGTCATCCATGAATGCATAGGAAAATGTGATGTTACACCTCTACAAACTTGCATACTATTGAGCATCGCAATGAAATTTACGAAGTTGCTCTAGATCTACTCATGCTAATCTTTGACTTAAAGCTAGGCTGCCAGATCAAGATTTGAGTAAGCTATTAATATCAGAAAAAGATTCCGAACTTCGAGATGAAACCATTATTGCAAATCCTCAGATTGTTTCAATTGGCTTCAAGGTTTCACAATTTCTGATTGGCAGACTCCAGCCGGGAAAGCCATTGAATGTACGCTATCACTTCATATATGATCTGGTAATTCTTGTTTTCCGATTGAGCCAAGTTTGATGGATTTGAAGTTTCATTGGACTATTAACCACCAAGGAATCCATTGCTTCAATGAAGAGAATTGCTGACTCGAAGTATTCTGACAAAAGGAACATGGTGGAGGGACGTTGGTCACTCATTTTACCACGCACAAAATAAGGTAACAATTCTATTAATAGCATTTTTGTCTCCAACGTTCAGGTTAGAGATGTATACTTCTTTCATCATTAACCTTCTCTGCTGATGACTCCATAAATGTTCGTTGAGGTCAAATGAAATTGTACTTAAGCTTGTTCAGCGTAGTTTTATCGTGACACATAGTTATCGCAGCACCCGGCCCAAGTCGCCGATAGAAATCTCAAAGGCGACAATGAAAATTGACCTCCCAATCTCACAGCTTTTTATAGCATTATTGAGGAAATGTCTCTTCTTGAGCCTGGCAATGACTATTGACCGAACGCCAAAAGGATTCAAGGGATCAGAAACACATTTTAATACCAACCCTACCATCCTTGAAAGTATTTGCTGAACGATCCGAATCATGCTGCAGTTATTAAATGCCCACCACTTTCAGTGTAGATATATCATGAGATCGCTATCCGTACCACGCTTGACTTGAAGCATTTCAATATCCGCATGAAACCGGATTCAAAACGAGAATGGGGTAAATGCCAGGAATCTGGCCAGTCAATCAACTCCAATCAAGTATGGATTGACCAGTGGCCATTAAATCCATCTCAGCCCTTCAGTCCTGATATGCTTTTGAAGTTCAATCTCAGCTGGTCATTGCACATCTGAGTCCAATAAGATGCGGACTGCAACAGGATCCCGTTGATGAATGCTTGGCCCCAAAAGTAATGACACCATGAATGAACTTATGGGTTCGACTAACGATCCGTTCATATACCACGCTTTTTAGTTCCTTTTCAGCTTTCCGGATACTTCCGGAAATTGGGAGATTTGTAGTCTGAACCTTTTCCAGCCCAGGTTTTTTTGATGTATAAGTTCCTTCAAACCGCCCTTGATGAACGTAGGTCAAGGCTTGAAAGTATGCAAAGAGTGATACTCCTGATTTCAGGACAATCGATCTTGCAAGACTCTTCTGCCACTGTTGAAAAGAGCCCAAAGAATCTGAAAGCCAAGCGCTGACTGACTGTGTCGCTCCCTCGATACCAAATTGATAAATATCAGATAAAATCAGTCAAAATAATCAATTCGCCACTCATTCCTCCCTTCGTTCCTTTGCCGCCTCGTCACTCCACACGCCTTTTGCTTTCCTTAAAATCCATGTTTTTATACACAAGGCAATGGGGATATAGCCATCAACCTTCAATCCTTAGAAATTTCGTATCAAGGTCACTGATTCCTTGAAATTTAGTGTATCAACAACTTTTTGAAGAATCATATCTCAATGAAGAGCTCATTATCATTAGAAGGTTGATTCTTTCTAGAATGGAGAGGAAGACTTCTTCTTGTATGGCTGCCACTAAAGCTCTGTTCACGGCGATTAAGAAACATTGAGTCGTTGACTGCCACAATCATTTCAATATTACGACTTTGAAACATTCATGATTGTCAATATATAAGAATATCACAACAAACTGTCTATAAATGCGTTTGCACAGAAAACTGAGAACCTGAATTTTTCGTGCGGGGTTGGAAGTATGGCTAGTTATTGAGGCCGATATGGATCATTTTGCTAATACACCAAAAATAGAATTCTATCTGGTGCAAAAAAAAAATCTAAAATTTGTATGGTGTGTTTATATAAATTTTGGAAAAATAATTTGTATTGTGTAGAGTGCAATTTTATTGTGTATTATTATAGAAATTATTTATAGTATATTTTCATTTTTTAAATAAAATAGTAATGATAATGATATTATTATATATTAGCTTATATTATAAGAGTAGTTTTTTTTTTTCTATATTTATTGAGTTTATATAATCATTTTAGTATATGTAATCTTAGAATAAACAAATATACAAAATGTAAATAAACAATTGAATTTATAAATATTTCAATTTAAATTATTCAAATCTATTTAAAAATATAAGTATTTAATTAT